CCCCCACCCCCCCGCTCCAAAATCACGCACCATTAACCCCCGAGCCATGCTCAGCTGTCCCACTGATAAGACCGTGCAGGAACTATTGATATCCTGCAGACGCACGGCGGTAGATTCCCCCTCCTGAGAGGCGGCTTCCAGAATGGCGTGGTGATAGTTCCATTACCCCGCCCAAGGCAGCCGGCGTGGGCAGCCGTGCGTGTGATCGCGCCTCGGCGGGATTGGACGGAGTGTGCCCTATGTGCTGGCAGTCGTGGATGATGCCTCTTAACCCATAGCCGACGGACGTGACAGATGCAGCAGCCTTGCATCACCGCTTCATCACTTCCACATGGCCTGTGAATTTACCGCCGAACGGGCTGAGGGATTTGTTTGTGCATTAGCCGGGCAATAGTTCCTTCACCTGCATGATGTGATTCTTTCTCGGGACAGTCTGGCGGTTGAGTTGAGTATGCCATGGTGTTGAAGTCATTCCGGTTATCGGGATTATTTCTTTGTACTTGTCGCACCTGGGAGATGGGCTGACTGCTAACTGATGTGACAGCGACAATATGTGATCGGTTGGACAAGTGATCTCTTTACCCCACTGAACCACAGCGCAAAAACATGATTCACAGTCTCTAGCCTGGCCATATACAACAGAGGTGGAGCATCGAGACTCTTTCGAGCGAAACTTTCTATTGGCATCTATTGTCATCATGTCCGACCGACGGACACAGCTCCGTGATGACATTCTTTCGAGAAGAGATGCCACCTACCGCCAATTAATCTCCACTCCCCACTAAATCCAGTCAGACAGCAGCTGGATCCACAGGCCATCTTATTCATGATATGGCGAGGAGACCGCCGCAGCCCAGAAACCGAGTCAGTGAGGCCCTTAGACTACTGACTGAGTCAGTAAGATGCCTTGTCATTTAGCGCTTGATGCTATCCGACGCTCCGGTCTTCCCGTGCTGCGATGTATCCACCCTCTATTCCGCGGATAATTGGTGCATTACGGAGTACACTCGTTTACTAATTTTCAAGCTATGCTCGAGATTTCGCGGACTGGTTCTACAATGTATATGTACTTTATGCCTGGCTGTCTGCATGGCTATCTGCGTAAATCATAGGTCATAAAAGAGAATCCGATGAAAGGATATGGAAGACACGAGAACTAGATAGTGCTTAATAAATACTAGGTCACGACCTGCAGCTCTACAGTCACCCAGTTCAATGCACGAAGCATCCTCGCAATATCTCACCACATATCTTAAAGTATTCATTGAAGACTTTCAAAAGACTACAAGGGGTCTTACAGTCTCATCAAGTACTCTTGGACTTCTAAGAGCTCATCAAGTCCTCCCAAAAGGCTTGTTAAGTATCTCTTGGGAAGCTCTACAAACACTTGAATGTAGTACTTGATATAGATTTATAGTCTGAATCTACATAAAGTTCGAGTCCAGACTTACGGTGTGAAGCTATATTAGGAGAGTTTTAGTTATTTCTTCCTAAGTCCCCATTCCCGCTCTCAATCTTGTTTGGTTGAAGTAGTGAGTAGGCAATATTTATATCATATTAAAGCATCTAAATGAGCTAATGAGGAAGCTTGAATCTTGCATCCTATAAAGTGATAACAAGTCTTAAGGGTTGGGCCTCCTCCGGGGTAAGATAACTGTGTTGATGAACGAATCATGTCCATGGGGCGTTAGGATCTTCCACATCATCATACACCTAACCCTCGCTAATATGACTCTACGACATCAATCTACATTTTGAAGCACAAGCCATTGTACTCTTCGCTCTCTTTCTTCGTCTAACCCACGTTTCTTAACACGCCACGGGGCCTCGTGTATCTGCACCTAGCCATGGGCATTATCCACCTGTCACACAAATCATCACTGTTTGATAAAGTCATCAATGATGATGAACCTCGATGATTCTGTGTTAGTATAATTTCTTAAGGTCCTTGTCTTTAACCTCGGCGGTATGAGGATAGATTTGATTCCTCGTGAAGTGGATAAGAATCGCTTGGTTTTAAGACTGTTGATTGTTGATATGCTCTTGGTAGCTGGAGGATACTTTCTTCAGTAGATGATCAGGATTAGTATGTATGGAGATTGACCAAGTAGCCATGCAAAGGCTCTGTGGGGACTGTGTATTATTTAATGAATGTTGCTATCACTGTAGGTGAGGACTAATAGTATTATTATTTTAACCATGAACGACTACTACAATCCTTCTAAAAATGGGGGTGGATATATCTACTACTTTGCTTGAATAGAATTTATAGATATAATATTCTGCATGAAATCACTATATAGAGCCTTAAATTGGACCGACCCCCGCCGGGCTTACAGTTTCACAACAACCTGATTCACCATGACAGACTCCCTCCTCTACTCACTGCCAGCATCACCCACCCCCTTCTTAAATAGCCACCTCTTTTCAACACCACTGCTCCTCTGTTCGAAATCCCCCATGCATCTCCCATCCCGTCAACCCAATATCCACCCTTATTGGCCCCCAATGAAAACTTCCCGAACATTCTCCAAAAAAAGCCCAAATACCCCAAAATCACATAAGAACAATCGCCCAGGTGGTCTAGTGGTAAGCCATACTTGTGTCTGTTCCGATGCTAACTTCAAGAAGGTATGATTCTCGCTTTGGGATGGAATGCCAGAGGTCCGGTTCGGGCTTTTTCTTTTTGGCTATTTGGCTTGTTCTCTTGGGTAGGGAGTGTTTGAGAACGGAGAGGGAGGAGCAAAAGGGTGGTAAATGAGCAATATTCTGCTCAGTGGAATTGTGAAAGTGCGTGGAAAGATGCGAGTTGGGACCAAAGGGGGTGGTTTGATAGATCGTGCTTTGGATATACTTGACATTAAAGAATTGTCTTGTAGATGTAGTTCCGCATGACCATTCAATTTATACAGCTAACATAGGAGGAATGATATTTTCTGGTACAGATAACCTACTAATGAGCTGTACGTAAGATGTGCTCTAAGTCCGGTCTTTCATCGCCAATCTGGCAATTCTACGATTATTCATAGCACCCCTGGGTTACATCGTGCCACTGAATATAATGCATCAGATTTTACTACTCACAACAACTGTCTATCTCTTCTTCTATCGAATTCTATCCCATAGACTATATTCCCATCCTTCTGTTTCCCTACTTCTTGACCCATCACAACCAACCCAGAGTAACACTATCCATCTCGAATGAACAACAGAGCACCCTTCGGATCCTATTATTTCATCTAGCCCAGGAACACTCTTACATTGGATGAATGTTTGGAGGGAAATTTCGTCAATTCGAAATTTCCATGGCTGGGCGCTCAGATGACCATACTACGCCAGACTGAAATGGTCATTAGGGCTCCATACGCTCACGGGATGCTTCAAGCATGATATGGATGTCTCCATAAGACAAAGACCAAAAACGGTGGCGAATCGGGTGTAAGAAGTGGGAGTAAGGGATATGATCGAGCACAGAAACCTTCTGCCTGCACTATCGACCGAGAAAGTCCGGTTGTATCGAGGAACATCCGGTGCATACTGCAGAATCAAATGTAGCTCCTGCATCCTAGCATTCGTGTAGAAAGGTTCAGGTTTGCTTTCTCACTGATTATCCTCGGTCGTCACAGTGTCTGATCCACGGTATTGGCCAAAGACAGGGTGGTCCAGCGTTAAAGTCCTGCATCATACTCTTCCTCGCATCCTGTCGGTACGCTACGCCCCCATCGTCAAAAAATCCAACTCTACCAGACCCAGGGCAACGGTTCCATCTGAGTTTGTCCATGATAAGACATCCCGTCTCGTGCCAGAGCATGGACAGCAACCCATCGTTCTCTACTCCTTGACTCCGGTAAGTCTATCCAATCCCTACCATGCCGATGGCTACTAATACATCTCGGCGCCGGCAGGGAGCGCATGGTGTACACCTGGACGTCTTAGTACTCTAAGATCAGATAGCATCGTTACTTGAACGAGACGATTCTCGCAACCGGCATGACCATGCAGCTGTTTCGATGAAGAAATGTGCAGCCAAGTATGGGCTGTGGAGGAGTATGATCGTCGTGATCCGTGGATGATAAGTCTGGGGGGAGTCTGGGGGGTTCAAGGTTCATTCGTCGTGAATTAAACGTGATCTAATAGGGTGTTTCCATCATGAAATCTAAATAGATAGGCGCTGTAATCTTAGCCACATAATCATCTCACTCACGATCCATATTATATCAACACCAAAGATATAACAGCTCAAGAGAAACCTCACCGGAATAATACAATCAAGCCCGTAGGTTGATATATACAAAAGGGCAGGACATCGCTGTGAAACGGAGGAGTTGAGTCTGTGGACTGCGTAGATATCTTATACCCACCATGGCGATGCGACTATATAATTGCCAATTCCCACCATGTCCAGAAGCGTAAGATGAGATAATATATGTAATGAATGACGGGGATATATCACTGTCCAAGATTCACTAGTCTTCATATTACAAATGATATAGCGCCGCACTGGGATGATCAGATCAAAACCGTCCATCCAGCCGGGTATTTCGGAGAGAGTACACGGGAGTCCTACGATGGATAGTTTGGCTGCCAGTGGTGTCTGGATCCGCCGAGGGTGATGCGAACACGATTGATGGTGTCTACTGATGATCATGTCTATGGTAGGAAGTTAATAGCGATTGTGGCGTCTTCTTTCTGTAAGAGGATGGTTATATCGAGTGGTGAAGTTTTACATCTTGGATAGAATGCATTGTCTTTGCTGAGTGAGGGAGCCTTCATATAAGTTTGACATGCATGCAGAAGGAATGTATTAAACCTATGTAGATATATAACATGGTGTAAGTGATACTATAGACCTCCTCTGAAGCATATGAATAATAAATCCATCTCGACCATTCAACCCGAAAATCAACAACCCCAAGGACTATCAATCACACTCCACCCGCCGCAGCACGCACATTCGCTCTCCGATTCTATATTCAAATCAGCACCCTCCATACTACCCTTTCCATTCAACAAGGACTAGGGTATACGTACCGCCATCCCCACCGCACAAACCAAACTCACCCCCGCGCCCACAGCAACACAAACGAACGTATTTTGTCAGGCTGAAACAAATCACCCCCAACACTTGTGCCCGCAATATGTCCGATAGTGAGGCCAGAACATGACTACTCGTCCCCGAGACAATCTGTCGCACTTCCGAACGAGGAATCCCCGGAAGAAGAGCGGACAGGTGGCTTTAGACTCTATTAACGAAGATGGCGCCGCTGAGGGAGAGGCCGAGGGTCATGCCGCTTAACTGTGCTGTATACCATCAGTTAACGGTGAATGAGGTGTTGTGGGTGGATATTGGGGGTACAAACCTAGAAGCATGAGTGTTAGACCGTTGGATGCTTCGGGCGGAGGAATCACGGCTTGGATCACGGCGAAAGAGTCCTGGGTGTATGCTCCGGCGCCGAGACCGAGGAGGATTTCGAGGCCGTAGATGGTTTTGGCGGAGGTGTGGGGGGGTGATGACCTGGGTTGAAAGGAGGGGAGGCTACCCATAAGAATAGCCGGAATTAGGGCTATGATACTCCCAGCGAGATACCACGGTTTATAGTATCCGAGTCGAGACATGGCGGCGCCACTGGCAGGGATAGTGGTAATGAGGAGGAAAATGAAAGGTAAGAGTCGAACAGCAGAGTGAATGGCATCGTCGCCTTGAGTAAATTGGAAGTAAATAGGAATGTAGTAGACGGTGATATAGGAGACGGCACCGACGGCGGCACAGGCGATGAAGAGGAGGACGGGCTCTTTGTGACGAAGGAGATGATGTACACCCATTTGGCATCGAACATGGTGTAGAGCTTGCCGAGAGAGCATACCCGACTGATAACCACGGTAGATCCTCTACCGCATTGAACTGGTTGACGATGGTCTGTACATGAGTTAGAACTAGCTGGGTTGGTCAAGGGGAGGTGTACCGGTGCAATGTTCGCCACGATAGTATTGTCAAGCGAATAGACAAAGATCGCCGTCAGAGTACTGAGTACGAAGACAAACCACTAGATTCATAAGTCAGTATAGAGCGTCTAAAATCCCTCAAGCAATACCTTAACCCCAACAATACGTCCCTCTTCGCCAAACAGGCCATCCCCCTCAGCAGCACTCTTCTGCGAATCTTGCAAGTCAGCCATAACCCTAATGATCAGAACTCGAGTGCAACTACACATTCCCCTCGCCGATATTCATATATATACCGAGCAATCTCCATGATTAGAAATCGAAATGTGCTTCGGAGACATCTTTCCGCATGATCTGCATGGCGATCCCTCCTAGCTCAGGACACAGATTCAATTGTAAATGGTTGGTTCTTGCCTATGGGTCATGGATTCCAGCCTGACAGCCGGGTGGAGTAGTACTGCGTACACAACCCAATACTTAGAACCGCTAACGACTCACATACCTTAACCCTATACAAAAAAGGGTTAATCCCAAGGTAGAACCCTACCACTCCCTCACCCTCCCTCTCCCCTCCCGCCACCAACCCTAGCCCAATACCACCACTAACCCGCGCCAATCTCCCAAACCCCAGCCAGATCGGATCCTAGCCCCCTCCTCTACACGAACCATTGTCAGCCCCAGCCCCCACACATTATCCTCATCATCAGTAGCAGCAACATAAAGATCAATACACACACCCACCGTCTTCAGGACCTCCCAACCAGACCCCCCCCCCCCCGCTTCGTATCCACCCACCGGGACAGCAACAATCAAGCAACAGATGGGGATTCTCACAAGCTAAGGATGCGCGTCGCAGCATTCAAGGCCGCTTTACTTATGAAGTAAGTGGAGGCCAGCTGCGGTGCCAGCTGCTACCGTGCCGATTGGAGACAGCACTCTACAGCATAGTTTAGTAGATGGTTCTCTGGGCGAGGAATAGGCAACGGTATATCCCCACAATGCGTCCAATTCCAACGTCAGATCGGGAAGCAGAGATCGCTGGTGTAGACGGGGATGGAAATATTGTAGTTGTCCGGTGAGAAGATATTGATGATACGGCTATTAGGACGAAATGGGTAGGAGGGCTTGGTATTAGTCAGTCTCGCTCACTTCTCGAGTGGAGTTACGTGTAAACTGCTGTGGTAGTAACGGTGAGGGTTTCGCGTTGTGCGGGGGTGAGATCTTCTTGAGATGGTAGATTCCGGCGTGGTTGATGAGGATGGCGCAGCCGTGGTGATGGTGGTGATGGTGGTGAGGGTGTAGATGCTGGTGGGATCGGCAGGGAGAGTTTGGCAGGGTGGATGTTTACAGTTGGTAGTTCCAGCACGAGAGACGGTGGAGGGTTAGCAGGCTGGGGTGGTGGTGGGCAGGTGGGTGCAGATGGCTCGGCTGATGCTGTGGTTCTTAGATTAGAGTGGATTGTGGGGTGAGATATGTTGGGAAACTCCATGACTTGAGAGATATGAGAGTGTAGACTGAAACTGGTGTATGGATTTATAGGGTGGAGTGAAGGCACTAATGCAGATTGCAGCCTGTGTCCCCACCTTTCTTTATTTCATTCACTGTCTATCTCGTTCAGGTGAGATGCCTCTCTGGCTCAAAAGCAAATTTAATGTATCATCCCAGACTTGCCAAAAGACACTTGGCACATCATCGAATCATCGCGAACCTATCTGCCTCACTAATGGCCCAGTAGGTTTGAGGCAGCAACTGATACTCAGATATTCCCACTAGTTCCAACCTAAATGACACCAGAATATAGGGCCACACAGTTGTCTCAGCGATATATCTGTATCAACCCCCTAAGGTTCAGCATAATTTAACTATAAATAGGGCTCGTGGGTGAGGCTTGGGGCCCTTCACATGACTCACCTCCCGTGAATGGGGTTTATAAGAGATGCGCGTTCTAAGCCGAGTGGCTGAGAATCCTAGTCTTTTGCCAGATAGCCTAGTTAGTAGCAGCTGGAGCCTGGTACGATCCCCTCTAAAAGCGCACTTAGGAAGGATCGTGACAGTGGGTTGCCAAGGGAGGAAAGTTGGAGCGGGGGCGGATGGGGCCGTAGTGCAGCTGTTAGTGTTGCGGGTCTGCGGCGGGTTGACCCAGATGCCAAGGACGCGGACAAGCGGAGTCCGTTGTCTCAGGCAGCGGGCGGGACCCGCTATAGTACCGCTGGCTGCGGGTACATTGTATTGACTAGTATTGATAGCTAACTCCACTGATCAGTGGAGTATCTCCAACACGGTGGGCTGTCTTGGGTCGGGTCATGGTATCCACTCCTCCAAATTTGAATCCACAGCGGGTCGATGGGTCGATGGCTCACCGGGGCCATGGATCTATGGGTCTAGCCCACAGTAGTCCGCAGTGAGCTCAGATCCACCACACCATGGGTACGTCCACGTCGCGGTGGGCTGGTGGACTGAACCACAAAAGCCAAAAAGCCTAATCTGACCCGCAGATATCAAACCTTAAGTTGACCCACCAACTCACCAAAAGTGGATAAAGAATCCACTATGCAGGGAATACTAGGTTAGGTAATAAAAAAGACAGGACAAAAGGTTTGACCAGACTGGGGCTCGATCCCAGGACCTTATCGGTGTTAACGATACGTGATAACCAACTACACCATCCGGCCAACTTGATGGTAGATGCTTGTAGAATGGCTACATGAGCGGTTGCTAAGCCTCGAAGCTATTGGAGGTGTTTCCACTAGGATGGTGATGTATGAGGAGTATTAGATGTTTCATTACAAATCTAGCAGATTTATATATTCTAGCTACATTACGGTAGTTCATATATGGTGAGGGTAGACTGCCAATATAAATTGTCGTTTAGATTGGTCTTGAGCGGGCCAACTGGCCAAGCAACTATGCCCTAACTATATGGTTTTTGCTACCTGTTGAATGAAGTGATATGTCCATCCATACTGTATATTTCTACCACGATATGGAAATACTAGTAGCAAGGTAACTAAGTATTTCATAACAGTTGATTGAGCTCATCAATACAGAACTCAGCTAAAACAACCGTCTATACCAGTCACATTGGAAAGCAACCCATCCTGAGAAAGAACCATCACAATTTAGGTTTCGCCCACTCATCAAAATCACATCGTAGAACAGTCGCCAAGCGCGAAAACGAGTAATAAAACCCCTAGAACCCCGTTAGACCTCGATTCCAAATCCCACTGGGACACACCTACCTGAAGAGAAATAATCTCTACAATCTCCCTATCCGAAAACTCACTCTTCACACGCTCCCACAACTCATCACTGACATTCGGCTGTTGGATAATCGTCTCCACAAACGTCAGCAGGATCATATCTTTCGCGCTGAATCCCGCCTCGGGGTCATATTTCCCGCTGATAAAGTAATTCTTTTCCTTGGCAGATGTCTCCAGCGCGGATTGCTGCTTCTCGGTTACGCCGGCTTTGCGTGATACGGGAAGATGATGGGTCCATTCAAAGGTTGAGTGGAATTTGGATGTGGTCAACAGGATGACGAGCTCGCGGTCTCTGGGAGAGAGAGATAGGTCTTTGAATTGGGCATTTCCGAGCGCTGTCCAGTGGTTGATCGTGGCGGTGCTGTGGGATAGGAGTTTGATGATGTTGAGGGTGGGATGTGTTTTGGACAGGGGTGTGTGGTAGTTGGGGTAGGGTAGTCGAGCCATCTTCCATATAATTATTGACGTGAGATATTTCACTCTGGGTGCAATGGTATTTGTTAGAAATGGAGGAGTTATTGGTGGAGTTATCAGCTGATGTAGTGGTATTTAAACAAGTAGCTAGAGAACCGAGGTAAGGGGCAATATAATCAACCTCGGCTCAATATGCAAATAACCGCCTACCCCTTGCCATCTGGGAAACCTAATTCAATTCATCGTATCAACTCTTGCCACATTTCAAGAATCTTGCATATTACACGTTTCAACCACGATCGCCTCAGTCGACCCGCCTCAGATGATCCTATTGGCAAACAAGTCCATCGTGATATAATCCTGCCAAGTCGGTAATCACCGTGATAATGTAACCATTGTCTAGAGTCGTCCACCACTAGCCTCACTCAATACGGTCTTCCATTCGATATCGTGCAAATCATCCGCGTGAATCGAAACTTTGACATCAAGCGCTTTTCGAAGCTGCTCTTTGGTAGAAGCATACAGCATACGAAGCTAGCACAGTTAGATACCCTAGATGAGCAGACCTACCCGGGTAGGTGTCGCATCCGGCATCCAGCTGATAAAGACGGTTGTTGTTCTGGAGACTTAGCAAAAGATTCAGTACTTCTAGGTACTTCATACCTTCTCCCATCCTCATTCAAGTCATATTCCACATCGTATACCGCATAACGAGGTGCACGGTTTTCATCATGGTCTTGTGCTGATGTAAGTTTCTGAAGGAATGCTTCGTAGTTCTTGTTCGTAGAGCTCTCCTCTACGCTGATGGACTGCTCGTCGTCGGCGATCCTGTAGATGACAAAAGCGGGTTTATTTGCCCCTTTTTTGTAAAGAAGCTCTCTCTGAATGCGCCGATGCATTCGTTCGAGATATTGACACTATTGCCAATCAGATCATTATGAAAGAAAGAGTTTGGAAGATCAGACATACCCAGATGGTAGCTAAATTAAAGACGTTAGTGACCACACCTGATCAAAATAGAAATCAAAGTAGAGATACTGACCGACCTGTTGCAGGGATAGAGAAACGAATGGGGTGGCTGGGTACTTCACTGAAAAATCTACTTCACTAAACAGTCTACTTCTCCCGACAACCTTCAAATATAACACTTAGATGTCGGCCGTTCGGATGCACGGGCCCGATATAAAAATCAACCACCACGACTAATCAATCTATAAATAGTCTCGTCACCATTGACCAACAACGATAGATTGATTCATAAAGTGAACTCTGTTGGCCGTACCAGGTGGATGCCTCGGCCAAATCTCTTCCAACTTTCCAATTTCTAACACACTTTCATCACATCTCTACCAAACCTATCATGTCAGCACTGGGCGAAGAGACTATCCAGGAAAGGCAGCGCCGCCTTGCATTAGTTCCAAGAGCGGTGAGTCCGATACATACTATTCATACTATCTCTGCATGGCTAACAACATTAGTGCGAGGGATGTAAACGACGCAAAGTACGTGTCCGATAGAGCATGAAACCATGATATAGGCTAATATAAACCTTCAAAGATCCGCTGTGACCGTACCATACCGTGTTCGAACTGCCGAGTATCCAATCTGACTTGTCGACACCCAATCCCAGTCGAGAATGTTCCAAATCAACGTACCTCGGCTGAGTCTAGTGAAGGTCACCTTGGAGACTCTTCATTCATGAGCCAGTCGCTCCAAGCGAGTAAAACTGCCCAAGTCGCTGCTCTCTCCGCTGGAGGCCATGGTTCAGCTATCGAACATTCCTTTGGCCATCTACGAAAGATTCTCAACGACTCCGACGAGTTGTCCAAGAACTCCCATTTTAGCAAGTCAACTGGTCAATTTGTACCACCAGTGAAACCGCTTCCAGCTGCACTGGTGACCAGTATTCTACGAAGAATGAAAGGTTTGTACCTCCACTCGAGGCAACCCCTGCTTACGATAAACAGCTCGTCGTCCTATCTTCCTTTGTTCATATGCAATTAATGATCTGAAGCGTCTATTCCATAACGGGTCGCGCCTCTGTTGGCCAAGTTGCTAGCATGCATGGAATCTTATTCTTTGTTTTGAAAGAGCTCATCGCGATGAAAGATGAGCTCTGTCAGAAATTTGATCTCACTGCCCAGCTGGTTCATTGCGAGCAAATCTTCATCGCAGCGATTGAAACGTATGATGTACTGGCTGTTCCAAGCTTTGAAAACATTCTGCAATATCGATGGACCCGGCTCTGCGACCATGGGATGAATCTTTTATCATGGGGGTCAAAATGGCGGAGTTTCAGGATTGGATCTTCACCGGGCTCTACTCCCCTGGTACATTAATCAAGGCCCCATCGGAGCGAGCGCATCTGATTAGTGACCTTGCATCTGCTATGGAGCAATGGCACTTGGAATTTAAACAGGTGAGACAGCCCCACTTCTGCAAATATAAACTGACCATTGCAGATTAACTCAGACGGAGTCAATGCTCCCCAGGTCTTCAACATGTCCAGAGGAAACTGGGACATTTCATACTATTCAACCTTGACACTACTTTACCACGCAGCTTCATCCACCGGACCAGGACTCCAGATCAGCTCTCCATGCTTCAACGCAGCCCGAAATAGCCTGCTCGCTCATCTCAACTGCTTTCCCCAATATCAAAAGTCGAATATCCTTTCCGACGGCGAATATTTCCATTGGTACTGCCTTCCTATCGATTCAATAGCCCCGCTAATATACCAGGATTCTTCTATTTTCATCCTTCACCCCATTCCTCGTCAACTTCCTCCACGCCATCTCCGCCAAAGACACCGAGAGCGTCACACTGCTTGCCAAAGTCCTTACCACTTTCGAGAATTTCCGAAAGGCTTCTCAGGGTTCAGAACATCTGTATCAAATCTGCGCTACTTTTACACAAATCGCCGAGAGACTAGACCAGTCGCGCTTGTCGATCGGGACGTATAACCAGGAGGATGATTCACTCAAACTCTCCGATCAATCTGAAACTACACCCCTCTTTCATCCGGACACTTTCCAAGATATGTTTGAAATTGATGATATGACTCGCGTGACATCGTTGTATGCAACGGATATTCTGAATGATTAGGTGACGGGACAGCCGTTCCTATGGGATCGGTTTGATGAGGAGTCATAGCGTCTATATAGATAATTGCTACTGTGATTTGCTGGCTATATGCGATGAACTCTACGTATATTCATTTCCTATTTTTTCAGTCTTCGTAATCGCCTCCTTTATTAATATCACACCATCTTAAATAGACCAGTGTACAAAATGTATTTCCGGTTGTCCTAGCATCGCCGATCTCTACTTCTTCCACTAAAAGCCAACCCATCTCATCAGAAATATATTCCAGAAACGACTCCCTACTATACATAAAGTAACCGCAAACCTAACTTGAGTTGTATTCTAGTACAACTGGTTCAAATTTATAAAATGGTCTTTCTACTCACTAGGGCTCTATCTGATGAGGTTTATAGCCATAACTCTTTTCAAACAAGATATCCTAGCTAGCCCAACTTCTATCCTACCCAACACGCTCCTACCGAAGATATTGAGACCAGCCTTATATCATGACAACCGGTTTGCATTTACCGCAGGGTTCGGAAAGAAGGTGCGATTGGACTGGTAAGTGAAAGAAGAATTCAGGATGTCAGGCACTGGGTGCACTGTATAATGTGCTAAGGTGACTTGGTCAGTATTCGAGCGATGCACATGAACTCACCAGTTGTCGGTAATTGGCTAGGAAGGCGACAGCTGGACCAGAGGACGGAACAGGTGGATGTTTTATTAATTGAAAGTCTTGATTTAAAATGTTGTTTCCAATTAACTTCCCAATTGACAAACGCTGCCAAGTGCAAAGTGAGACTGAATATACAGTGCCATATGCTGGACGGCCGGACGGAGATTCGGGCCCGTGGGCCCGTAGCCCTAACCCAGTCCCTCGACCCTATGCCTATATAAACCCTGCTTCCTCATTCTCTATCCCTCTCAACTCCCAAATCAAAAAATCAAATCATGGCCGACCATACGTTCGTGGAATACTGGGAGTGTGGTATAGATGGTGTTGTATCTATGGCCCCTCGGTGAGCCTCATTCATTATTAATTAAATCTATTAACATGATAAGTCTAAAGTTCTATATCAGACGTAAATGGCCATGCAAATGCTTATCCCAGAAAACCACCCAACAATCAGCCAGAAACGCCCCGCGCTGTAATAAACCCCAAAAGAGAGAAAGAAAGAAAGGTATATAAACGCTCAGAGTAAATGCCGCTCACCAACGCAATCAGTGATTATCACAATTATAGACATAGTTAATCGTCACCAGACATCCGTCATCTCGATGGAACGAGCCACACTTCTTACAGCCACCAATGTTGCGAATGTTCTGGTAGTCATTCCATAGGTCGTTTCCGCTGATACTGCAGTTTTGACCTTGGATGAAGACACCGCAGCCGCGGGTTTGATCGCCCCAGCAGTTTCCGCTCTGGGAGCTGTAGACGTCGCCACTGTGTTGAGAGGTAGGTCAGTGATTGTGTGGAGAGTGATGGATGAGGTTGGAGAAGTGATTGTTGAGGTTAAGACATAGGAATGCGGGACTGGGGGAGGGGGGCACTCACTCAATCACTTCACTTGAGTGATAGAAGGGGTCGTCGTCCCGATATAAGGTATTCACGGCGTGGTCACACCACTTCAACAGAGCTGGAGTGGTGCACATGGATGAGCCCTTGCAGTCATAGGAACTCGCGTCCGGCTCGAAGACGTTCGTCAGGGGATTATAGCCCTGCGCCTGCACCACGAATTTGCTCGTATCGACGGTGGACGTGCCCAGGGGCAAGGTCCATGTGTACGTGTAGCCACTGATATCGAGCGTGATGGTGCTGACCTCGGCCCACGACCACGGAGGCGCGGTCGACCCCGCTGGCAGCACCCCGTTGTATTTGTACAGCGTCGTGCCCTCGACCATGTAGTGGGTGCAGACGTATTCGTCGACGGAGAAGTTGACACTCCATCCCGGATCCTCGTCGAAGTCGCATCCCACCGAGTCCCAGATGTAGAGACGCACGAACGAATACGGCACCAGCACGTCGGCTTCGATGACGGTCGAGCCCTCCCGGGGCGTGGATTTGGAGTTGATCACGGTTTTTCCATCGGGCAACGATTCGGTGGCCACTGTCACTTGGTTCGAAGAGGAACCCAGGTCGCCGCCGCCGCCCACGGCACTGACCGAGATGGTGTAGCTGGTTCCCGATGCGAGACCGCCGATCGTGATGCTGGTCATGGAGCTGGGCACGCTGGCAATCAGACTATCGCCGGAATACACATGATAGCCAAGAGCATTCGAGGCTGCGTCCCAGGATAATTTCGCAGAGGTATAGTCCGAGGTCACCACCGTCAGTCCCGTCACCGTGTCTGCAGCGTCGCCAGACGGCCAGGATGCAGCGTCGTTGTTCAGCGGGGAGCCACCGCTGATGGCGTCAATCATGCTCTGGACGTAGGAGTCGGCCGGCAGGGTGTCGTACGGGTTGGGCAAGGTGTCATCGGTGAGCTGCAGAAAGCCCGCGCCGCGCTGGTTAGCCAACTTGACGACCTCGCTCACCGCGGATTCCGGCACGTTGTAGACAATGTGCCAGAGTTTCCGGGGGTCCTTGGGGGTCCAATCATTCGGGGTGTAGGAGTTGACGTAGGAATCGTAGCTCAGCTCAAACGTCAACAGCGTATCCATGGTATCCTCGAAGCAAGAGGCCATGGGTGACCCCGGGTTCAGCACGGTCAGCGCGCCGGGGTGTGCACGCTTGGTATAGGCGTTGATATACTTGTACAGGTCGGCGTATTCATTGTTGTCGCCACAGGTGGGCCAACCCTCGTCGAAGAAGATGCCGCCGATGTGGTCGCCGTAAAGCGAGTACCACATATCCACGTCTTCCTCGATCTGAGCCGTCCAATCCGCCAGATCGCCCGAGCCCAACCGCGTTTGGAATTTCTGGTCACTCACGCCCAGATATCCGGTTCGCACATAGCCGAGGACCGTTTTGCCGGCATTCGAAGCTCGCTGGATCACATCCTGCCAGTTCGTGTCGACGGCGGAATCCGGACCGTTCACGACGTTGGCGACCAGGATGGGCATTTTCTTCACATCATAGGCGATCAGCCGATCCCAGGCGGCCGGGTCACTGAGCGGATTGATGTACGAGGCGACGGCGATCTGCTGCCCTTGGCCAGTCGTCGCCGACGAATTCCCTGTCGGGTCCGAGCCGACAGCGGTCATGGTGGCCGTGAGAGTGGTGGTGAGCGCGTCCTGCGCGTCGCAAGACGTGACGGTCGAGCAGGCAGTCGAGCAGGCGAATTGAGGGGCCCATGGCTGCACCTCGCACTCGACGCCGCATTGGGTCGCCGTCTGCGATTGACACACCGTGGCGGTAGGACCCCCCTGGAGCGATGCCGAGGGGATGACATTGTTGGTCGTGATGGCCCCGTTGGTAAAGTAGACCCACGACAAGGCAAATGCCCCGACAGCCATGCCATGGAGATGCGAGGCGCTGATAGTCGGGTTCAGGTGACTGGCCTGGGTGAGTGCCCATTGCACCACCGTATTCAGACCGGCCACCAGCTCGGCATTGGTCCAGGGAAACCTTCCCTGGTTCATGAGCAGCCAGTTGGGATACCCATCTCGGCCGATGCCGTCGGCGAGGATGCTCTCGGCGCCACAGATGACGCTGGTCAGGTCCAGCGAGCGAGTCTGGAGGGAGGACGCGAAGTAATTGGCGCCCACCTCACAATTGCTGTTGTCCGAGCCGGAAAGCAGCGCCTGGAGATGCGCCGCCACGGTCGAGTCCAACTGGATGCCCACGTCTCCCGCGCTGGTACCGCTACCGGCACTCGCAAAGGTTGTAATCGTGGCCGGCAGCCCAGTCGCCTTGTCCTGCTCTGGAGGCTGCGTGATGGTTTGCGCTGGCTGAGCGTCCTCCGTGACGACGATGATGGCGGTGGCGGTTTCCAGGTCGAACGAGTCCTCGATTTGCTCCGGAGGGATCTTGATGGGCACCGGGACCACTTTGTCCCCCTTATAGAAGATTGGGAATAAGACGCCGATAAGCGCAAACACGCCCGCGCCCAGGAGCTCTAATTGGCGTGGCTCTAGGGCACGTTGACTCAGGCTGCGGGATTTGAGAATCCGGTTCGAGCCCTCCAGGACATCCATGACCTCTTCGTAGCACTTGGAGTCAATGTCCGCGCAATCGCTATCCATGGTGGACTTGAGGCTGGCCTGCATCTCGGGAGACAGGAATGCTAAAAGCCCATTCTCGGTCGGGTCACCCACCGCAGTGATTTCAATCACAGACCCGGTGAGGACAGGGGTAGGAACCTAGAGAGGCGTCAGATGGGGTGGCAGAACGGCGTGGGACCTGATGGAACATACTCCATTGGTGGTGTACTGGCTAAGGTCGCCCACGGTGAAATACTCATCCTGCGCATGAGCCAGGATGGAGAAGAGGGAAACGAGAGACAGGACAAGGAGCGTGACGAGCGCCATGGTGTCAATGGAAAGAAGAGTGGATGTGATTGTGAACTCCAGATGTAGAACGAGTTTCCTGAGAACTCACACTACATATATAGTACTCCATGGCAGTGAGAGATTTTCGTTCTTTATCTCTTTAGAGAAATGGCGCAGAGCTCGGACAAGCGGACGGTATAGAGGCCCGAGGATACCGTCCCAATCGTGGTAATGACAGTAAGACAAGTGGAGGCCCCCAGGCTTGCAAGACTGGTATACACCTCCTGCCTACTAAGCAGCTTCTCGTAGTTCATGAGTCCTAGGACCAAAACGCACAATCATCCGGGGATGGTTCCTTGGGAGAGGCGGTCCGAATGGATCAGACTAGGAGGACTAGCGATTGTTGCTGTGGAGATTCGAGAGCTTCATCGGCCGAAGAGTCTATATTCCGGAACCCTGGCCATAACATATGTTAACCGTCGGCTATATGCTAATTGAATTGGACTCGCTCGGATGGCCCTGATATTAATATAACGGTCTCCACCTTGCGTATGGTATAGACTATTACATAATCATCTGATAGCGTTTTGAAATCCTCCGTGACCAAATTTCATATGTTACCAAGCTGCTTGGGGTGATTAGGCATTATCTCGTACATCTAGTCAAAGCATGGAGTACCTCCGGAGGACTCCGAGTCTCCGTCAGTCATGCAGGTCTTGGCGCCCGCCAAGGAAATTACACGTGGGGCCAGTGGGTAATGCCAAGGGTCCGACCCACTCGAAAAAGGTACCTGGTGTTGGGCTCCACTTTTGCCACTGCTGCGGCTTTTAACGCATAAAATGATTCGTATCCTAAGCTCCAAACTTCTAAATTACATCCGCTCATTCCACACCAATCTCCGTTCGGTCTGCACCATGTCACCCGACGATTTAGTTTCGGCCTTTGAAGGTGCGTGTATCAACGGGGACCTACCAAAAGTCCAGGAGGCCCTCGCCAGTGGGCGACTTTCTGCCGAGTCTCTTGACGATGGACTCAGTCTCGCTACCAGTCACGCACATGTGGACATCGTGACCACGCTGTTCCAGGCCGGTGCTCGAAAGACCCCTTATGCGGTAGGCTGTCTCTGTGGGAAAGAGGGATACCAGGACCCACGCATCATTCGTCTCTACTTCGATCGGGGTTTGAAACCTAGCAAATGTATCACGCCCGCCGGCGAGCCTCTTCTCCGGTAGGTCCCCAATCAGTTAGATTGTTCCTACTCGCTAGACTAACTGCTGGCATCTAGCTTCTACTATGCCCCCTGTGCGCGTGAATTACTCGAGCGAGGTGTTGATCCCAACCGTTGCGGCCCGAAAAAGATAGCCCCTCTTACCAGTGCCCTGAACAAGGCCTTCACAGATGATGGGGCTGTCTTTAACCTACTGGTTGAATACGGGGCTAAGATAGATTCCAGTCTCTTTTTCAACGCAATTGAATGGAGTCGATCGAATACTGAGTTTAAGGTGAAATTTCTGCTGGCTAAGGGTCTAGATCCGAATACAACCTCGGAGACATGGGGCACCCCTTTACATTGTGCGATTCGGTTTACTCTGGTAGGAGTGGTTCGGATCCTGCTCGGTGCGGGCGCAGATCCTACAGCCCGACCGGACTGCAGTCCATACCGTGGCAAAAGCCCCGCGGACGTAGCCGAGTCCAAGATCCAACAGTATACCAAGCATCCTAGCATGCAAGCCAAATATCGGAGCATCCTCACGCTCCTTGCAGATGCACAAGGAGGTCACGAAATCAGTCAACCGAAGGATCAGGTTGCTACTCCTACCACCGCATTGTCCGAGAAGCCGGAGGAGAATCAACGCGAACAGTCGAACATGGACGCAGAGCATGCCTCAAACTCGGTACAAGCCAATCCGGAAGAGTCAATAACCGAGACTGCCACCGAGCCTACAGCAAAGAAACCGAAAACGAGAAAACAGCAAAATACTGTCCAGGAGACTCCAGAGAGGGAAGGTTTGACGGATAGTATTAGCAGCCGAACACGGAGTCGTACCAAGGTTGCCTCCAACTAGATCTGGCTAACCGGAACATGAGCTCCTTCAGACTGAGCAGCAAAAGAGTATACATTGTTTGTATGTTTTAGTTTCCTGTATTGTACCTAGTGGCAGCAAGGGAGGGGTCACTGGTTGACCAAGGTCGTTCACAACCAGAGTACCGTACCAGATCGTAGAAAGACCCGTGACCGGTGTTTATGACTGTTGGTGTTATAACGAATCCTGATCAGCCGGTTTCTTAGCACATAGCAGATTCGAACAAGCCGTGGTCAGCTCTGCATAAGTTCATATATGTCTTCCATAGTCATACTTGGCTTCTCCCTATATACAAGTCTTGTTACGTGTTAGGACACGCTCAGTATTGTCACAAGAAGGATAAAGAAAAGTAAAAGAAAAGTAAAAGAAAGAGTAAAAGAAGAGCCCGAACTGACAAACAATGTGACAAACAATGAACAGAAGTTTCAATTAGTTACGACCGTGCGAGACGAATAGAGTAGAAAAAGACTAGTGAAGACCCTGCCTCCAACAAATTTACCAGAGTTGAATATGATTGGAGATCGCCCACCGCACATGGCACCAATCAATGCTGACTCCGAAGTGTTCCCAGGCTTCCTCCCCGAGCATCGATCCACTCGGTCCAGTGCCACGAATTGACTTTGAACGGTTGAAAGAGACTACCAGAAGTCCTACTAGAATGATACTTGCTAGGTGACATTCTTTACACAGGGATTGTGCTGGTTCACAAGTCTTGTAATTTGAAGCTCCTATGACCCCACTTGTATATCCATGGTACGAGGGTCATTCGTTGAGACATTTATTATATTATACCTTCTACACCAGTGGCTAGAAGGAATATATTCCTGTTCATCTACGTGGTACTTGGCACTATCTAACAGAATGGTATTAGTTAGACTGTCCGTTCGTTTCGTCCTCTTCGAATGACTATGAGGTTGTAACTTCGATCATGGCAGTGAAGGGTTTTCTAGCGCTGCTTGGCATGATTCGGTCTTCGCCGAAACAGAAACCATGGTCCGCCACACCTTAGTTAGCCTTTAGGGCCGACCTACTCCGTCCATTTACGATGAACCGACGAATCGGGTGTAGCCGCTCCTTACAATGAAGGCAGGAGTCAGACCCGGGGTGGGGCGGACATCAATCGAGGCTTGGCATCTTGGCTAGCTGTCAATAGTGTCATCGTAGTCAATCCGTCGAGCCCCAAGGTCTCAGACCGTTTTTCTGGTTCTACGCAGAGATTTCAGGAACCAACTCCATCGCAATTTCCCGCTTCGACTACACGTTCCCCAGCGTCGCTTACATCGGTGAGATCTTTCGTCCGTATTAGCCGAGAATTCGCCCGGACCAGTGGCAGCTGCCAGCTGGTACCTTAGGACCCTTAACTTGGCAGGGTCTGCGCAGGTCCCTGTGCGCTTGTCCTGACCTCATGTAGTCTCTTCTATTTTCCCGCTTGATCTCCATTCACCTCTCAGGTATCGCGGGCTCTCACAGTATTGGATTCAAAACCAAAACCCATTCAATATCTCATTCACGGTTTGTTATAGTGACTAAGGACTGATCTGTTCCTTACTGTATTAGAACTACAAGAAGCAATATGCTTGGGAGATCTCAGCCCCTACCACTTCCAGCAGAGGGCCTCGGGAAAGGTCAACAAAAGAAACTAGCCTCCAAGCGGGGCAGCATGTTTGGGACTACTATGGTACTAGGGTGCCAACCTCAATCCGGTCTCCATGTCAGCTTTTCATCTCCCCATCGGACCCAAAACAGAGACATTGTCGAGGCGAAAGGAGAGAGACCGATTTGAGGAAGAAACCACCGCGGTGCATATGCCCAATAGGGAAGTCCTAATCATGACCCATCCTCCCTGGGAATGAAATCACCGGGGTCACTTCGCTAGGAGCCTTTTCTTCTGGTCGAGGAGTCCGTTGTCCGTTCTTTCCTCATCTCCCAGCGAAGCTACCTAGCTCGCAGCCGTTATAAGTTCGGCTGTTTGGACATACGGAACCCGTGTCAGCCCCTTGAAAGTATCACTCGCACTTCCAAGTGCTACAACCACTGGCCAGATCGTCGTCTCTCGACCATGAGATTCCTGTGGCTTCTCCTGGCATGGCTAGCATTGGCAGCCTCTGCCGATTTGCTCATCGCGGGCAAAGATCCTTTGAAACGGGAAGTCTCTGGTGCGACCAAATGCGGCCTTGAAATTGTCGATGGCAGCACCAGCACCAGCACCAAGCGCAGCGTCGGATACATCCGGCTTGAGCGCAATGCCACCGGGGCAACAACAACGACGACGAAGGCCCTAGCAAAACGGATGAGGCTGCCGGGACAATCCCTGGGATTGTTCTACCAAGAAGAGTTCACCAAGCTTTCAAAAAGGGTCGTGACACGCGGCTCGGCACCCAAAGCAACCTGGCTGAGTGCTGCGATCATGCAGGAATTCGGCCGATTACGGCGCAAGGAGTGGAGTACCGGCATAGAGGGCCTGAAGGGTTGCACAACCATGTACATCATTAGCCGCAAGGGGGTGTATGTGACGCACTGGTGGGAGAATATTTCCTTCGACCCGGACGCAATATGGCGGGAGCCGGAGAATGAATCGGACGATGAGCTTACGCCGGAGGACCTATTCCAGCTCACAGTCCTCGATATGTTGACGGACGGAGGGAAATACCACGCTAAGCTCGATGGCGACCTGATCGAGGACGATTATATTCGCGCCTACCTGATCCGTCCAATCAAGGCTTACAGGCAGTATGACGATCCTACTGAAGCCGATTACACCGAACAGTGGAATCAGATTCGGGCCAAGGTCGGCGAGCTGGTGCCCACGCTGCAAGATCAATCACGCTGGACAGACATCACGTATGAGGCGGTGGAGGATGAAAATGAACTCGATGACCCTATTACAGTCCGAGGAAGGAACCTCTTCAAATACGACAAAGCTCAGGACATAGGGGGAGGCCAGACCCAGAAATGGGCTATGTTGTGGGTTGAAGGCCGCACGGAGCCGTATCATCAGGATAAATGGTGAGATCCAGATGGGATATAGGTCACGGGAAGCAATGCATGGCGTGAAAGCCATGGTCCAAGGAAGTAAAGAAGTGGTGGTGAAGGTTAGAGGAGCAATATCCTGATACCATCAATATCATAGCTCTCCCCTAAGCACAAGACCCGAAGTCATGGATCACCTAGCTATAATCTATTATACCAAATTTGAAGTTCTACTACGACAAGTAAAAGCAAAAGGAGAGATTTCAATCATGACTATGCGGGCGAAGTTCGTAGTGACTGAGACTCGGACTGAAAAATACATGGCTCGAGCGATGAAGGTACTGGCAATGACTATATCAGTCCACTTTGGCCTTAAGCGGTCTTTGAGGAGGATGGTAGCCAAAGAACTCTAAGCCGCAAAGACGGCCCTGATTTGAGCACGAGCTGATGAATATAAAGGTGTGAAGAGAAGGGTTAGTCATAAGTAAAGGCCTGCACCTCAAAGGCATTAAAGTAATGTTAGTATTTTATGATTCTACTTAAATCTCGATCGTGAATCCTAGATGTCTCTTCTTTTCTTTTCTTTTTTCCCCTTTTTCACCGCATCGAATTATTGCATGCTACTAGCTCATGGCTGTGGGCGACCTGCGGCCGCCCACAGCCCAAGGCATTATGAAGCGGTGAGAACTGGCAAGATAGAAGATACGTACAGAATTGATCACGTTATCTATGAAACATAAGAACCAACTAGGAAGCTGAAGCTGAAACTTTAAACTGAACCTAGTATTGCTAATTAGCGCTAGCGCGCTTCAACTTGTATCTTACTCCCCACTACTGCCACGCACAACCTCATTCTCCTGTCACAGCGATTCTTACTCGTGACATTCAATCTAGCATTCCATTTCGGAGCTACTACCTCGAGTGCGTCAGCACGTGTCAGGCCTCCGATCAGTCAGCCGTTAATACAGCTGTCCTTGTTGACCACTTGCGCACCCCATCAAGCCACTCTACTCCTTCCTCCGTACAGCCTTCTTCTATGAACTCGCCAACTGCCTGATACATAATCTAGAAACAAGGTGGCATAAGAATCATGTCTTGCATGTCTGTAAGTCCATTCGGGCGCGAAGCAACCCTACACCTACTTCACGCTTCAACCGAATACAAATAAGAGGGAATGAAAGGTGGGAGTACAAAAGGGAGGACTGGGATTGCTCAAAAATATAGCTTCCAACTACTATCGGTCTGACTGAAGTACTTTACTATTTTAAAGTGCTTGATTAGGTTTTTTTTTTTTTTTTTTAGCCTGGTAGGATGCCTAATGTCTATTCCGTCGGTAATCATGATATAACTATGTAAGATGAGACAGTCCCATGAGAAGAAATAGAACGCTTATTGGATTGAAACAGCACCAACCCATTAAAGCCAAGACAGTTTCATGCAACCAGTATTATGTTACCAAGAGATGAAGTAACGCCCGCAAGAATAAATCAATTGGCAAGAAAAGGCATAATCCGATAGGAGATGATATGTGGCGTGGAGGGTCACGGGACCTACTGTTGTCAGAGAGGGAGTTGCCTCAGGCACGATGACACTGGACAGGTGTCCGGGATGATCCTTTTCGTCTTGCCTATCGAGAATTTGTTCGGCCAGTTTATCAGATCGTTACATCATTTGCCTCTCCACAACCTTGATTAACTGTATCTAGCGGGGCGCTGGACCGGGCGAATGGAGGAGTAGGATTCGGTTATTAGGCAGGGAGACAGGACCTAGGGACAATGCAGATTGGAATGGACGATTTTGGATCACTAGTTGGTTGGCATGTACATAGTACACAGTAGAGTCGGTTGGAGTTGGTGTATGCAGATATTACCTCAACTCTAGGCAGCATGAAAACAATCTTAAGAAGAGGGGGAATTGCTGGGGTGTCAATCTATAGTGTATGAATATTGTCCGACATTCGAAATATAAAACATTTTAGCTGTTTGGTTAAGGGTATTGTACCGCAGTAACTAGTTAACTAGTTACCTGAAGTTGGTAGAGGATGACTCAGCAAGCTCCAGATCTGAACATGGTTCTGGGCTTGTCAATTGAAGCTCCACCAGATTGGTAGATCATTTATTCGGACAGAATTTGCATCTCCCACCATTGGCTACTATGTATAGTGAAATGTGAGCCATGGATTCTTGCAAATCTCCAGGAGACTTGGCTGTGTGGTTGGTGCGGCGTAGATTTGCCCCACCTAAGGAATTCTCTTTGATCGCCGAATTACTCGGTTAGCCGGGTACCCGATTAGCCCTACACTAATTTAGCGGTTATTCTGATACTCCACCTGTTTCGTTTAGTACGATATAGAGTAAGAATCACAGAAAGAACCTCTTTATCAAGCCGTATACTCTGTATAGACTGTCTGTACGGACTCGGAGTACTGGACTCTAGATTCATATTTAAGTAGTCATTGAGTAGAAGATCTCTCATTATCTCATATAAAGATTCAAGTGTAGAATAGTAAATATGTTGATATTATTGTACTCATATAAAACAGAGCACTTTACTCTATAAGACAAGAGGCGAACCAAGTAATTAATTTGCGGCTTGTGCCTGACCCACTAGACAGCTTTCAACTCTCATGCTTCTAGGCCCCATTCCAGGTGGTTGTATCCGGGACAGTCTACTAGGTTTTGACAGTTCAAAACCCTGAAACCCCTGATTTTGTTAACTTCAATAGATGAACTGCTAAAGACTTGTAGAACACGAATAATACTCAAAATACGCAAAGAACATCAATATAGCATGATACGCAGACCAAAACCGTGCTTGCAGGATGACTTGCATTGATTATCGCTCCCCGGAACCCCCCCGATCAATCTGGACCCGAAGCAGTGGTCAGTTCTCATGATAATTGGTATCCGGGTTGCCTCTGTCGATCTTTATCTGCCAAAATATACCCTGAACTTCATATATGGCCCATCTCTCGCTTCACACACCTGCCATCAGCACTGTTCACTACCACAACATCATGGCAGCCATGGCAGCCGTACCCAGCCTCACAGTCTACAACCTCCCCCCGTCGCCCCCCAACTGGGATAGCATAGGGATATCCTACATCACACTTTACACCACATAAACCACGCCGCTACTAGCGGGGATAGGATTCTGCTAATTCAACCATCGCATCCCCATGCTCCGAGTCCGCGGGCTACCTATCCTTCTCTGCCATTGCACTGCTCCATGTCTACTGGATCCTAGGGCAAATCTCCTATCCCATCGGGGCGACCATGCCTGCCGTCCTAACCTACAATATTCAGTTCTTTGGCATGGGGGATTTCCTTGTTTCAAGCCTCTAACCTGCGGTTTCTGCATGTTGCCAGGATGCAGAGGCAGCTTGCGCATCCGGAGTGTCGAATTGAGAGGAATGTCGGGGGCGGATACCTGGTTGGGACGGTTCAAGGATATGGATTATGTAAAGAGGGCATTTTTGCTTAGTAGGGTTGGAATGGGGGTGCGGGTGGGTTGTCTCACTTCAGCGTGTATCTAAAGCTAATAGTCATTAGTTTATCCTGTCGGTGAGTTGCTGGCGCCAAGTATCATCCAACATACGGGATTCGTGGAACGGAATCCCATGCTTCGACGACCCCCGAGAAGATCTTGTACCTCGGTCGAGGCTGGGAATGGTGGCCGACCGTGTTGTGGCAGTTTATCTGGACATAAATTGTAAGTGATGCTCCGACAGTCATCCATGAATCTGCTCGAATTATCGCTAGGCAGCACCAATACTCATATGGAAAGCCTGGGGAATCCGTGACACGATGGGATGGCGCACACAAATCATCGCCTGCTGCATTTTCGGGTATTCTGACCTTGAACTATCAAGTCCAGTGACTAACTGGTGCAGTCTCCACGCTACTTGGATGTTCCTAATGGATATTCGGGCAACCTATACCGGGAATATCCCCGCTGCATTTAATATGACCATCTTCAATGGCATTGAGGATCACGTCAAGTATCTGGTATGGAGGAATACGTGGCTCAAGTTCGTCGAGGCGATCCGTCGTCGATCGGTGGATTCGAATGAGTCGGGGTATTCCGCGGGATCGGGGACGATGGTTCGGAGTTGGGGTTGGATTTCGGAGACGAGGGGAAGATTTGGTCGTTGGTGAGATGGGAGCATTGGTCTGGGTAGGTAATATTTTTAAAGAATTGATACCCAGGTTATATTTCATCTGTGATACTTGGAGAATACCCAGCATATGCGTAGCGGGAATAAAATACGGGGGATTGGTTACAATACACACACTAATACGATGTAACAAAATAGTCAGCAGCGTAGACAGAGTATCTCCATGCCAGAACAAAAGGTGGTTCTGCAGTTGAGTCTATTCTCTTTCATATCCCACATTGTTTCAGATATCACCACCTCACCAAACAGCAATGTTCCAAAATCAGGAATGACTAGCATGTCCTTCTTCCGACGTCTGCGGTATCTTTAAAGTTAGGCACCACCGATGGGGCCGGCCGCCTTTGGCCCACAGAAGTAAGTGGGGTGCAGCATTGCTGATACGTACCACCTTTTCCTACTTCTTGGCTGTTTAAGCTAGTGGGGATGTCTTGGGTTATAATCATTTTTTAATCATTTATTTTTCGGCCAATCAGAGAGGAGACTTGTTGCGGTGGGCTGAAATGGCCTTGGCGTTGCATAAAATGTGGCTCCGGATTTGTGGTCTCCACTTGCTGTGTTGAAGATAATTTAGACGTCAGGTTATGATTATGGCTGGTTGGTGGATAAGTTGTAGATCATCTCATTGAGCATGTATAATATGTTGGAACGTTTGATTACCTTCTATGACAGTAACGAGAAGGAGTATGTTCGTTTGAATCTACATAATGATAAGCTTGGCAGATTTTAAGCCCGAAAGCCCGTTGGTTACCCTTTACCACACATGCTTCAAACAGAAAAGCAAATATTCGAATCTGAGTATGACTATGTCCAAGACCGAGAAGGCCGCACCTAGTTTATAACTATCTTTATTCAGGCTGCAACCTTCAATCGCGTGTACTATTACTATTGAACTTCCTCCGCGCTGTTCAAGGAGATTATATTTAGACGCTGGTTATACCTTCGATTTCATTACCAGAAGCTAGGAGAGATATTTCCTTCTCATCCGTAGTAACAGCCTTGACACATTACTTTGGTTTAGAGAGCTAGCTATGCCTAATATGTATTCTTCTCGGGGTGACGAACTCTTCATAGCGATGGCTCCGGGCCATTCCACTACCTTGCTTTCAAACCAGAGGAAAATGCAAGCCCGACAAGCTGGACTGAATCACTGGCACTGTGTCTACAAATAGCCCCTTGTCTTACTCCGTACGACAAAAGAAGAAAAGAAAAAAAAAGCAAAAAGAATGACCAGACTGGGGCTCGATCCCAGGACCTTATCGGTGTTAACGATACGTGATAACCAACTACACCATCCGGCCAACTTGTTGAAATACCCGACCTCTTTTTGCTAAATAACCTTAAGTAGAAATTCAAAGTCTGCATCATCGAGCCGCCGCTTGTCCTTTATCAACTTTTGCTTCACCAAAGTCCGGCATGAGAGCCCCCCGACTACTAGTGCTACATAATTAGTGCATGGTGATTATGTCAGCGTGCAATTCTTGCCTACGATTCTACGAGGCTTATGTGTGGTTGTCGAGGAGAGCGTACCATAGCTATACATCAAGGCCCCGATCCGTAGCGGCGCCAATGTAACAGCACGATGCCTAAGTTTACGCTACCTGACTTCCAAAATAGGGAAACCCAGCATTCAAGCGACGAGGACCAGCGCGGACACTACACTGCAGTGTGCTTCAATGAGATGGGAGACGGTACAAGCCTGCACTTCGCCGTCCCGACTGAGAAGTAGCGGTTTCGCTCGGACAGCCTTCCAAGGACAGCCGTTGGGAAAGGAGGTCGTCGCTGCTGCCATTCGGCTCTGAAGAGAGAATTTTGGCTTATAGCTGGAGTACTAGTCTCATCATTATGTGTCCAGTTAATCCAATTTATGAAGTAATCTACGACTACATGTACATCCAATCCCATATTAAACATAGTAGTTGTAGAATCATAGTACTACTTGTCGGGCGTTAGTTCATCGAGCTCAATTCCACTTGAAGCTCCTCGAAATTAGGATCAGCGATGGCAAACCCCTACTTGGGGATGGAAAATATTGCGTTGCCTTGGGTGTCGGTGAATTGTGACACACGAAGCATGGCGCGCTAAGCCTATGGTTCCTTTCAGGTTCGTGGGCGGAGGTTCCCTATTTTTCCCTTTTTCTTCGTTTTTCCTTTCTTTTTCCTCTGATTCTTGTAACCCATGAGCACTCCTCTATATAGTCTGAAATTCTCGACCGTTACATAGACGGAGTTTAAAATAACATGCAATAAGACCTCAATGCTTATGGTATCTTTATTATTTGTCGGTGATGGATGCCCAGGCCCAGGCCCGTCGTGTAGCAAAAGGTAGCCAAGCAGGGCCCACTGTATGACAAATCAGGACTCTGCTCCAAAGGTCGAAGATGGGTGTGATAGATAGTACATTCAGTTACAGCGTTACTAGTACTATGACCTTGGGCAGGAAGGTACTGTAGTGGCCCGAGTAATTGGAACCGCCCGGTATTAAGCGTTCTTGACCAATCACGGGCAAGGAATGGTTACCAATGAGAACTCGCGGAGGAAGCCGAGAGAGTTGCTCCGCTCCGCTCCGCAAATAATAATAGAAGAAGGGGTAAGATCCACCCAAGTCACTGACAAAGAGACAATATCTAAATTCAACCTGATCGCCTCTAAACCCTTTTTACCTTTGGCTCAACACCTTACTCTTTCTTCAACCGAAAACAATGGCCAATATTTCGAGCTTGGGTCAGAAGATAAAGGGTAAGACGGGACTCTACACGATCACCAAACAGCTTCAAGATACGGTTTGGCTAGCAACGTACTCAACCCAGACTCCTTCGATGATTGAATGAAGGTCCAATAGTCGAGCGCGGCAGGTTTCAGAACAATGATGCGGCTGTCGTCAAAAGTGTCCGACATTTCCGCCTCCAGAATGAACGAGACATTCTTCTTCGATTCCAATCCCAAACCTCATATGTCCGACCGCTCCTGGATGAGATTGAGGACCCTCCGGGTCCACCAGCTCTGATTCTTAGACACCTGGATGATGATCTTCTACACGCATCTAACAGTCGACGACTCTCACGTCACGAGGTCAAGTATGTCGCAAGGAGAGTGTTGAGCGCTTTGGCTGTTTTGCATCGGGAAGGCTATGTTCACACCGGTTGGCTCTCTTCCCTCCCTTCCTCCATTCGGAATCACTCAGTGTATGCGTTATAGATATCAAACCCAGCAATGTACTGGTGAATTATGGCCAGGGTGAAGTTCGATTCAGCGAAGTCCAGCTAGCGGATTTCGGAAGTACCGTTCACATCGATTCACCCTACGCCCAGAATGGAGATGAAATGGGGACACCCATGTTTAGAAGCCCTGAAGCGCAACTACAGATGCGGTGGGGAACTGCGACCGACATTTGGTCTTTTGGAGCAACGGTAGGTTCCCACCATCGTGAAACAGCCCTATGTTCGGGTCTAATGACACGAGATTGTAGATCATTAGCCTCCTGTATGGTCATGGTTTCCATATCTTTAAACCCGACGTTCCAATCGACCACGATGAGTATGACATCAAGATTCTCAGGAAGCATCATGCGTGCTTTGGGCCATTTCCTATGTCGTATCAGGAAATTGCTGATGAAACTCGGCTCGCGGCCCTGGCGTGGATAATGCACAGTACTCCGGCGGAGGCGCTCAAACCATTTCATCTGACGACATCTCGAGAAATCTGTGCGGAAGATAAGGAGTTCGTGCTTAGGATTATGAAGCTGGATCCACGCGACAGGCCTACTGCCGAGGCACTCTTGGAGGATACCTGGCTGAATTCAGGGGAGGGCGGTCTTTAGTTGACGGTCTGCTAGTGCCAAGGTTCAGTACTGGCAGATTATGTGCCACATTTACCTGTGGGCGGGTATTCACCAAGCGCTTGGGCAGACTGGAGCCGGCTGGATGACATATTGGTTTTGTTAATGGTTCAGGGTATTCGGGTGTAGTTTAGTGTTATTTTGTCTGTGTGTTTGCATCTCTAGTGCATATAATGGCTATTTTCTGTCCCTGACGTAGTGTGGTGAAATGATACTACACTCAACAATCATTCCGGGCATCGGGTAAAAATATAATTTGGCCGCAACACCACGGCACAAGAATATAAACATCCAGCATTGTGCTTGAACCAGAGAACCGAATAGCAACTGTCATATAGAGACTATCATACATAGCAATTACTAAGCAAAAGGACAAATCGATAATTCTGGAAAATCGCTGAATAGCAGAATCTGCAAATAGGGCTGGGATATGGTCATACGGAGTACCGTGAGTGGAAACCAGCGGGCACATATTTAAAGTATGCTTATATAATAAAAAGTAAGAGGGATCTTCAACAAGCTGGCCGGATGGTGTAGTTGGTTATCACGTATCGTTAACACCGATAAGGTCCTGGGATCGAGCCCCAGTCTGGTCATCTTTTTGTTTTTGCTCCACAGCCTGTCTTCCCGTCGTAGCATAATGGATCCACACATCCGTCACAAGAACATGGAAATTCAGCTATCATCATAGTCATTCTACGTTGTAATTGTCTTCCATCGATATGTAAGTACCAGACCGCAGAGCATTCAACCCCATTGCAGGAACCGAATGTGAGCTCGTCGATTCCTCACCAAACAGTTGCCCCTTATCTATTCCACCGGGATTGCATTAGATTGTTTTAGGCACGGTGGGAAAGCTCACTGTTAGACCAATGTCTGAGCAGGATACTACCATTAATACGCGGAGCAGAGGTGACCCAGGATGAAGTCAGGACAATAAGTGAGGAGCGAGACGAAGCAGCAGCAAGCTGGCCGGCCAGAACTAGAGCTATATGAGATGCCCCGAAGACTTCGTACCGTCCAATAGACCTGGCAAAATTCCAGGATACGATTTAACTAATCCCCTAAGTAAGCCATAAGCCATGTCCTGGGTTTTCTAGGGCCAATACGCAGGCTGTCTGGACATTAACCTCTTGTCCAAACATACCCTTGGCCATGACCCCGCTGCTCAGGCTCCCCATGGAGATAGATGGCAAGGTTGTGGTAGCGTCTTACTGAGGAAAATTGTTAGTGTTTCCTTGGCTGATTTTTATGACACCTTGTTAATACCATAAGTTTCATCCCTGAGATGAACCACGAGGTGGCACCGTATTCTCACTCAAATGGTGTGAATGAACACTACAAGTCAAATACATGCCATCAAGAGATGCAAAGAAAAAGTAAAAGAAAGCAGAGAGACATGTGAATATCACAAACCAATAGTGCCGCAAAGCCAAGCACACATGGAAGCACTCCCAGAAAGAGAAGCCAACAGCTTTCCCAATAACACACACCCAATCCCCATACAGCTGCTCAGACCTGTAAATATCCACCAATCATAGTTGGCATATGACGGAGATGTCAACTGCGGTACACATGCATCCGACAAAGCCAATCTAGGACTACAACCCCTGCACCTCTCACCAATCATATGTCTCGTCTATCCTGGATGTGAACTGCGGTAAGAATACATCCGATGAAGCGACTCCGGAGCTGCAAAGCCTACACCAATCACATTTGGCGTACAGAGGATATGTCAAGTGCGGTAAGCATGCTTCCGACAAAGTCATTGAAGGACTACAACCCCTGTACCCACCACCAATCATATCTCTTGTCTGTCCAGGATGTGAACTGCGGTAAGCATACATCCGGTCGATTCGCCCAACCCCCTACGCACCAATCATATTGACACTACATCTGGGATATGAAGTGCGGGTTTCATGTATCCGATCAACCTATCCTAGATCCGTTAGGTCTGGTCTGCACCAACCACATTCAGAGTATAGAGGAGATGTCAACCGCGGCATGCATACATCCCATTAATTACCAGCCTAAGCACCCATCTACCAGTGATATTGATGCTGCATCGGGAATGTGAACCGCGGTAAGCATACAGCCGATAAGCAACTCCAAAGCTGCAACCATCTACCAATCACATTCATCATACATCGGGGATATGAACTGCGGGTTGCATGTATCCGATGATTACTTCTGAACCTCCATCTATCCACCAATCACATTCGTCCTACGTCTGGGATGTCAAGTGCGGTAAGCATGCAACCGAAGTGACTATACCAAGCTGCGCCTATCTACTCGTTACTAACCATACTGTTTCTACACCGGACATAATAACTGCGGTTCCTTATATCCGATCAGCCCACTAATCATATCAATTCTACATCCGGGATGTCAACTGCGGTAAGCATGTATCCGATCAAATGGATCTAACGCTGCACCTACCTACCAATCACATCCTTTCTACATCTGGAATGTCAACTGCGGTAAGCATGCAACCGACGCAGCGTCCCTAAGCTGCACCCATTACACCAATTTACATCAACTGCCGAGAGAAGTCAGGAACTGCGGTTTGTGTGCAGCCTAGGAGAGGGTCTTCAACCGTCAAAGGTTTTGTTATGGTTATTTAGCAAAAACAGGCAGCCAATTTCAACAAGTTGGCCGGATGGTGTAGTTGGTTATCACGTATCGTTAACACCGATAAGGTCCTGGGATCGAGCCCCAGTCTGGTCATACCTTTTTCCTCTTTTGTTCCCCCATGCGAGTATGTTGCGGAACAATCTTCTTTTTTGAACCAGCTGTTTCTGTCGGTCACTTGCATGTGTTGGATTCAATGAATTGTAGATGTCAAACCACCGACAAGTAGGGCCGACCTGTACAACAGCCAGGGACTGGCCTGGATGTGTTTCACAAACAACTGTTCAATGACAGCTAATGAACCCAACAGACATCCATTGGTGTCACAGTGCATGCCGATTGATCAAACTGCAAATGTAGCGTATCAGGTGAACGGGAACTCCCTCCATGCCATATATTTATGTGTGTAGTTCCGTCACCCGGAATTAACCACAACACCCACCCACTACCTGAGCAGAATGACACACCCAATAATCGTAGGCCTCATCTGGGCCACTATCAAAGCTAGTACGTCCCACCTACCCAGTCATACCCAGCTTACCATCCCAGTAATCGCCGGAACCGTCGCAGCCATCGAGGCCCCCTTCCGGGGCTCCAGCGGACCAGCCGCCATACGACACATCGCAACCACCGTATCCCGCACATTTCTCGCAACCGCAACCGTCGAGCAAATCCGGTGAGTTGCTCTGCAGCCCCAGAATGCAGCTAATAAAGCCTAGATACCTCAACCCTCCCGAGGCCATCCAGCAAGTCATCCAGGCACATGCCCGTCGCAACGGAACGATATGGAAGTCTGTCCAGCTCCCCGATGGGGCCTCCGCGTCGTGGTTCGGGAAACCGGATGCGGAACGGTTGATTCTTTACTTGCCTGGTGGTGCATATTGTTTTCCTATCGTGCCGGGTCATATTAGCTATATCGAAGCTGTTGTTACGGGTTTGAAGCATAGTGGCATCGATGTGGGAGTGCTCCTGGTGCATTACGACCTAGCTCCGAGAGCTCGACCGCCGCGTCAACTGGAGCAAGCTGCGGCCGCCCTTCGATATGCCATTGAGACGTTGGGGAAACGGCCGTCGGATATCATACTCATGGGGGATTCCGCGGGGGGCCATCTCATTCTTTCAGTTCTGTCTCATCTGACGCATCCGCATCCTGATATTCCGGCGTTCTCGTTGAGGGAGAATCTAGCGGGCGCGCTACTGCTCTCGCCGTGGATGGTCGACCGGACTGATCATGAGAGTCATCATACCAATGCAGATCAGGACTCCCTTTCCCAGGGAACGTTGACCTATTGGGCTGAGATATATCTCGGCGATACGGAACCGGATAATTATAGTCAACCAGCGGACGCGCCGACAGGATGGTGGAAGGTCTTACCGGTGGAAAAGATCTTCATCGGGGTGGGAGGGGATGAGGTGATGCTTGGGTCGACCGTGGCGATTGCGAGGAAGATTGAGGTGAGTGGTCATTGTTTGTCATGGCGAGGTGACTTATTGTCTAGGCGGAGCATGCGGGCGTTACTCTTAGTGTTGCGCATCGGGAGTATCACTGTCAATCGATTATGTCCTTTGGATTAGGGGTTGCTCCGGGGGAGCAGTATGGTGTTACGGTGGGTTGGTTGAAGAGTACTTTGTCCAGGTGATGAGGTTAGTGGTGTGGATGCGTTGTAGTAGAGTAGCCTCCAGGGAGATAACCTGCCTACATCTAGCTGATAAGGTATCTGTGATGCTGTTAGTCTGATGACAGAAAAAATGGAATTCAGTGGGACACCAGACTGCCAACATAGCGGATTAGAAGTTACAAGCCTAGGCAAGAAAAAACCAGCCTTTCATGCACTTCCCGTGGCCCTAAGAGCAAAAAGAAGAATGGAGTTGAAGGGGATCGAACCCTTGACCTCTCGCATTTCCCATGAGTATGCGAAGCGAGCGCTCTACCACTGAGCTACAACCCCTGGTTGATGGATGGAGGCCACATTATTCGCTCAGTCTGCGAGAATACCCATTTGCGGTGAATATTCCTCCCATATACTTACCTCATACGATCGAGAGGGAGGGTGGGATGTTCTCTGCCACTTTCTTTCAATTCTGTGTGAATTCTATGGTTAAGCTGATGGTTTATTCTGAAACCGCGGAAGTTAACTTCATGCATGGTGACTGTTCCTGACACGTCCGGACCGGCCCGAAAGCTTAAGATGACTGCACGGTCAGGTCCCTATAGCCACCTATAACATAATTTATCTGAATATCGTTCGAAAATGGATGTAATCACATCATACCCTAAATACACATCCACAACCAATCCCCCCCATCTAAACCTGATTTTTAATCACATCCACAACATCCCGATACGACCCCTCCCGAATCTCCTCCAAGACCCCCCTCCCCCTAACCACCCACCCCAACTCCCTCCTCGCCTTCCCCCCCGACGCGCGATTCTCCACACTCAAAAACCTCGCCACCACCCTCCCCATTCTCCCCTCCGCCTCCTCCACACTCATCCTCGCCACCTCCACCCCCATCATCTCCGCCACCGCCCCGAACATCTCCCCCGCCGTGACCCCCGTCTCCGCAGCCGCATTATACACCTCCCCCTCCCCTCCCCTCTCCACCGCCAATAAATACAACTCCGCTGCGTCGTCCACATGCACCGCCGTGATGCGGTTGCTTCCGTCCCCGACAAGGGGTATCTGGCCGGTTTGAGCGGCGAGGTTCATCCATCGACGGATCCCGCTGCCGGCGTGGCCGTGGACGTACGGGGCGAGGCGGATGCTGATGGGTTTGATTCTGCGCTCCTTATCACCGTTCTCCAATACATACTGCTCTACTTCGCCCCGGGTGTTGATTGGGTTAGGGTCCAGAGGGGATGTCTCGTTGGTTTCGGCCCCGGATGGGTCAGGGGCGGTGATGAGCGTGCCGCTGGTTGTTATGAATGTCTTTTCTTTCTCTTTCTGCTCATCCTCGCCGTCATTTCCCTGATAGTGGGAAGCAGAGTCACGGAGACCTTCGAACATGGCATCAATCCCCCCCATATCAACATGCTTCACTTCATCGTAGCTCGCATGTTTGCCAAATTCGTACGCCGTGGCGAGGTGGATGATTGCGTCGGCGGAGCGGGATTCAGCCCGGAGGACGGCGTGGCTGGTTAGGTCGCCTCGGATAGGGATCGCGCCGAGGGAGCGGAGCAGGGCGTCGCTGGTGGGAGTCCGCGAGAGGGCTCGGATGGTGTAGTTGTATTTGGCCACGGCGAGGGGGATCAGTCTTTGCCCGAGGTAGCCGCTGCCGCCGGTTAGGAAGAGGGTTTTCTTTGCTGTGGACATTTTGGTGGTGGTGTAGATGCAGTTGGGTGGTGTGGGATGGATGTTGCTTGGTTGATGGTAAGCTGCTGGTGCTTGGATTGAGTGAGGGGGTAGTGCTTTATATGTTATGCTGAAAGCAGAGTTAGGGCTCGGATTTCGGGGCGGGATGTCCGTCGGAGGATACCGGTGGTCGGGATTGGTGAATCCCGTCGGGGTTCGGGTTGTTGGGGAGGATATGGGTTGATGATGCTATATTTACTCTTGAGGGAGGAATATTCTGAATTTGTCTAATGCAGCGCTGAGCTAACTGAGATGGTAGAATAGGTATCAGACTGTATGTCCGTATATCTACAGCTCAGGCCGCCGACTTAAGACAACATTCAGTCCTTTGAGAAACACCAAGCCTCTGTGCAGAGTTAGCAACGATATATATACTATGCACGAGCACGTACCCGCATTCTTCGGTCAGTTCCGCACCCGGTGCCAGCTGGATGTTGTAGCGCATGAGGAGAGTGGGAACCAGCTGCACAGTTAGTATTATACCATTACATGGAGGATCGTACCTTGGACATTTCCAGCCAGCTTATATCTATGCTTGTTAGTACTAGCTGTTAATGTAGCTGCAATCACTTACTCCTCCCCACGCAGGTGCGCGAGCCCCCACCAAAGGCAAAAAAAAACCGTTCTAAACTGTCAGCAGCTATTTTGCAGTCATGTGGCAGCTGCAGTGACTCACTGAGGTCACCCGCCTCCCCTAGCCATCTCTCCGGATGGAATTCCTCACAGTCGGCACCCCAGATCTCAGGAATCCGGTGAATCACCCACGGGGTAGACCCCACCACCGTCTGCACCGGTTACTACATTGTCCCAGACATAGGACAGTACTCACCCCCTCTGGCACATAGTACTCCCCAATCTTCATTCCCCCCGCCGGTACATCCCGATTCAGCAGATCCCCCGTGGCAGAATACAGCCGGATCGCCTCGTACATCACAGCCTGCAAATAGGCACACGATTCTGCCTGCTCAAAGGTCACCACATCGCTCAACTCTCCTCTGGATTTCTTCGCATCGAGCTCGTCCATGAGTCGGCGATAGACACTCGGATTCTTCAACAGCTGATAAAAGATCGCATGAAGCGAGATGGATGTCGTATCCGCCCCAGCAAACACATTCGCAGTCATCATAAATGCAATATCCGTGTCACTGAAATGCGGCTTCGCTCGTTGAATCGTAAACAGCTGATTAATGATATCTCGATCATCGCCACCCCGGTCTTTCCGTGCGACGACTTCTTGCGTGGCAAACTGGTAAAAGAACCCATTTCGATCATTAATGGCCAACCAGTTCCCAATAACCGGCTGCAGCTTCTGATGGAGATCATAGAACCAGCGCACCGCCATCAGCCAGGACATGGACAGAAACGATCGTCGAATCCGGGCAAACACGCCTTGATCGTCTCCGGCATCGACGTATCCAAAGGGGCGCGAGAAACTGACGGCGCCGATGATGTCTCTGCAAGTTAGTACCACCTCGACCAATTGTAGCCCACTTACCAAATGCAAATAACTGCAGAAACGCCCCCAGATCAATGACGCCCGATAACCCGTCCAGCTTCCGCATCATGCTCCGAATCACCGGGTTCACGTTCGGCTCCAGGTGAACCATCGAGTTCATCGAGTACGCCCGCGCGACGAGCTTTCTCTGTTCCGCATGGACCTTCTCGTCTCGCTGACGGAAGAGATCAAATGAGTGGGCGCCGTTAGGAACATTGTAGGAGTCGGATTTGATGAATTTGCCGCCCGCCTCTGCTGGTGTTAGTGAGGTTTGGGATAATGACAGCAACTTACTGTATATTTCTCGGAATGCGGTCGGGTCTGCGACGCTCCTGACTTCATTAGGCTGAGTCAAGTGTGAGGGAGGATGACTCACAGATGATTTGGTGCGATGCGCACCACCGGGCCATACTTCCGATGAAGGGCGATGAATTCCCGATGGGACTGTCGCTGGCGGGTGCGCCAGACTCGATGCCAGTTGGTAAGTTTGGCCAGAAAAGGTCCTGGGATGGGAGCCAGGGGCGAGAAGAAGCACTGATAGAGAACATAGATGCTAGTGCCGAGAAGGAAGAGGATGCTAGCTGAAAAAGCCATGATGGACGCTGAGCTTAGAGACCAATTTCTCTGCAGTACGGCCCTAGGGTATATATAGACTGCATCATAGCAGGCTGAATGGAATGCAGAACGGCATACTTGCATCTGAATAACCGGTTAAATGCCGGGGAATGAGATTATGCAGCAACGCGGGCGCATAGTCGCCGCACAACCCGCGTCGATACCTTGCGTTCTGCACCATGCCCGATGGCCGCTATCGCCAGTGTGTAATGTGAACCCCCTCATCTTCATACCCGCAGCCGACAACGCGGCCGTGCGGGGTATTCAAGCCGTCCAATCAACCGACATCAATTGCTATCTGACCAGAGGTGACTAGTCCATAGAGTCCGGTGGCATGAGCTTACCCAATCCACTTCCAGCTTTATCTGGCTCTGCGTGCCGAGTATCCTATCTCATGTCTTATTAGCATTTCGTTACCCCGCTCAAAGCCACGAATACTAGTTCAGATAACTAGCCACCTTCGTATAAATTGCTTGGTGGCAATTTCTTTGCTTTCCCCAAGTTTCTTCTCATTCACTTTGATCGACGGACCAAGATCATTGAAATGGAGTTGTGCCACAGAAAAGTATCAACTACATCTTCTTATCATAGAAGCATACCTTCTGGGTTTCAGGGATTCCGTGTTGGGGATTTAATTTCTATAGGCCTTTCAAGTGGGCTGGAACCGGTATCTATGAATATGTAGCCGAAGTGCACCATTCAGTTTCATTCTAACGAGTCCCCATGGTCGTATCTCATTACTTATCCTTCCACGAACATGTCATCTCCATGCAAGGACCAGAGAAGCCCAGACTGCTAGAAGTCTTGAGTATCCAGACACTGAGCCCGGTACAGCTGACATGCTTGCAGCTGACGCATTAGACACTCTGACACCGAACAGGCACCTCCTCCGGCCCAAGGCTCTGCATTTCATTCGCCAAATCAACCACCTTGCCCAGCTCCTCGCTCGTCCAATCAAACGCATTACGAAAAGCAGTCGCACCCTCTCGAAAAGTCGCCGCATCTTGGATCATGGACCAGGCCCCCAGCTGGGTCATGATATAGTCAGAAGAACGGCGGCTGATCGTGGCACTGGAAACATGAGGAATGACGTGGTGCGCATATAAGGACAGCATGCCATTAGCATAGACCGCGGTGATGGTATAAGCTTGGCCATCATAAACGGTCTTGGCTCGATTATACGACTGAAGAGCTTGCACGGCCCGGGATCCAATGGCGCCCGCATACGAAGCCTTCTGATGGCACACAGAGGTAGGATCATCCGGATCGCCGACTTCGACAAAGAAGTTGGGTGCGAATGGCGCCACGTAGATTTCGTCTTGCCAGGGGATGATCTGCTTGTGGAGTTCGTCGCGCACTTCCGTATGCAGTTGATTATACCGTACCCCACGGTAGTAATCTGGTGTTGCAAAGGGGAGAGGAATCTTGGAAAAAGGGGCGAGATGATCGCAGGTTCTTCCATGGCAGAGCCGGAAGCGATAGTTGGGATCCTTGTCGCCCCATATGGTTGGAAGCACAAAGGTGTCAATACTGGCCTTGGTATAGGCTTGATTGGCTTCGATATGTCTGAATTGTTTGAAGTCGGCGTCGGTGAAGCTTGACTCGGTGAGAGATGCTCGTCGACGAGAGAGCCTCTGCTTGATGGCGTCCAAGTTTTGTGGTGACGCTGGGGCTTTCCTATCATAGGCCGGATGTTCGATCGGATAAATGCCGTTGTCAATCAGCGGCATCGTCAAGCTACCGCCATAGGTTTCGCTCTCCGCTGGAGAGTTCCTCTTGGGGAATACCAGGGTACCGTCAACTGTTTTAGGGCCGGGGTACTGCAGTTCTTTATTAGTATATAGGTGAATGGTCTGTAGATGAGCCTACTCTTCGAAGATCGGAGAGGTCAGGGCCTCCTTGTCGGGCAAGCGCCTTGATCTCCGCGAGGCAGCTCGGTGTGCAACGGCGAAGGATGGTTGGAGCAAACTCCAAGGGTCTGCAGTTGGATTAGCATGTGACATGAGAGTGGTGGGTATAATACCTAGAATTTGATGGCGGAAGGCGGCTTTCCCTGTCCACTTTCGATAGTACGTTTCTTGTCAGGTCCTCTTTGGATAGGATATTTCGGACCTCCGGTGTGTATCGCAAGGGTTGATGTCTTTTCGACAGTCGTCGCTGACGTTTGCGGGGCACCATATGCCTGATGATGTGTACAGATATATCAATAACTCAGAAATGAGGCTAGAATTTGGGCCAGGTGTGGCCAGGGGATTTATATAAGCTGAGGCTTGAACTTCAGAATAAGATCGCAAATGGAAGTGGTTTACGGATTTCGCCTTGAACAGCTTGACCAGGCCCGAAAGATTGCAATAGTTTGATCTGCTGGTCTTCGGAGACCAAAGTGGGATGATATTGTTTGTGATGTGAGGAAAATTAGATTTTTCCTCTCGCTCATGATCTTCAGGAGAAGATCCTCGCCCCTGTCGGCTGGTTCCGTCGGACAAGCTCAACGTTCTGAACAAACCGCTAACTCCAATCATTATAGTTTCACCTTGGCTTGACAAAGGCCTTGTGGTCTACCTTCTTGGAGGTCCGTCAACAAAGGATATACCATACTCACTCCTGTCCGTTGGCCAACAAAATCCGACCACCATCCACACAAAGAGAAACGCCGTCCACGTACGACTGGGATCATTTTAGCACCTGAAACACTACAGTAGCGTTTGAAACTTACCCCGGCTCTGCTCACCAGATACAACACCGTCCCCGCGAGGTCTTCCGTCCTTCCCGCTCGCTTCGCAGGCACTTTATCGAACAAACCGCTGAACATATTCCCAGCCGCGCCAACTGGGTTCATATTACTCGGAACAACTGCACATCAACGGTCAATAACTGTCAACCAACCACTTGGGATACTCACAACCCGGGTTGATCCCCACCACGCGCACATAAAATCGCTGAAACTTCGCCGCCAACAACTTCACCAGGTGATCCGTCGCCGCCTTGCTGGTCGCATAACTTGTCAAATCCACATTCGTCGCATTATGCATACTCGCACACGAGCTCGTAATCACCACCACGCCTCTTCCATCATCCCGACCCCGACGACTATCACCGAGCGGCTGATCGGCGGCCGCAGCCAGGAGAGGGAGAAACGCCACGCTGAGGAAGTAATGGGCGGTTGAGTTGATTCGGAACGTGTCGGCCCAATCTGTCTCCTTGCTTGACCACATCGACTCTTGTAGCTCCGTGAGCGTCGCGGTGAGCACGTTGCATGCGATAGGCGGGTCGCGTCGAATTCCCGCGTTGGATATGAGCATATCGAGTTTGGTTTCTTTCGCGGCGATCGTTTGGGCGAGCTGGGCGATGGCATCTTTGGAGGAGAGGTCGCAGACGTAACTTGATTGTGGGTTAGACTTGATTGATTATGCTGACAGGCTTATGCGTACCCTTCTGCGCTTCCGCCTGATTCGGATCCTGCGTGGTTGAGTTCTGAGACTGTTCGGTCGATGGCGTCGCTGGATAAAGCGACAATGTAGACTTTGGCGCCGTTGGCGACGAGGCCCTGCCGGTGTTAGTTACTGCGTGGCCTTGGAGCTCGGTTCGTTACCTGGGCTATCATTCGTCCGATGCCGCTGCTGCCACCTGTGACGAGGGCCACACGGCCCTTGACACTCATCATGTCCTGTAGTAATAGGGAGTCCATAGCGCGCGATGGATGTTGCCAGTATTGGGAGGGGAGGAGGTGAAGGAGTGGGAGTTCCCCGCTTTATGTCTTCCCGTCGGATTGTCCGACACCCAATTGAGTAATGATAGTGGACGGCATGACCTACGAGATAGCAACGGTAAACAAGGCTAAATTATGCTATCACGATCAACTGCTATCAATCACTACATATATCACTCCTTGTAGTGCTCCTTGGTTCTCAGTTCGGCAGCATCCAAGCACTGTCTGGTCATCGCATCATCTCGCGGGATCAGCCTGACCTTGAAATCTCTCGGAATCGCGACAAGCGCCGTCTTGAATTGGTTGTACTCGACATAGTCCGTGTTCGGTGGCTGATCCTCACTCGCCACTATCTTGTACGACGAGAGAATGCGGATCAGTGCCGAATACAGCAGCCTGATCGCGATGACTTGCCCCGAACAGGCACGAGATCCGGCCCCAAAGCTGAGATGCAGGAGACCCTGATTCTCCCTCTCGGTCGGGGGATTGACTGTTTTCAGCCACCGCTCTGGATTGAACTGGCCTCCATCGGGCCCGAAGTGGTCAACATCTATGCGGATATCAGTGCCTTGTTCATCTGGTTCAGCGTTGAATGACTCACCGTGATTTCCCGCTTGTGCGTTGATCAAGATCATCGTTTTGGGAGGAATAATCGCGCCGTTCCAGTTCACCTCGGTCGCCGTTTTCCGCGGCAGACTCATGGAGCTGACAGTGTAGTACCGCCCTGCCTCTTTGACAATGGCGTTGACATAGGGCACTTTCTCCTCATGGATACAGCCCAGCCAGGCATCCTGGATATCGGGATAGAATCTTTTAATATCTTGGTAGGCTCTATCCTGCCAGATCTGCCCTTCTGGAGTGGACAACGAGCCAATCACCGAAGTCAGCGTACCGGGGATAGTTTCAAAACCTCCCGAGACCAGGGACAAACAGATTGAGGAGACCTCCACCCCGCTGAGCTTGGTCTCTTCATCCTTGAGGATAGCGGCAGAGATACATGGCTTATCCGTTCCCTTCTTGATCATGTCTCGAACCTTGTTTAACAGAAGATCCAGGTAAGCGTCCCGTCGCGCCCGGAGCTCCTTGGACCGAGCGTTCTTCTCATTATTCGGGGCGTAGCGCAGGATGGGGATATAGTCCTGCAGATTTTCCGACGCGCTTCGGAGCAAAGAGATGGCAGATCCTACATGGAGAATCTCCCGAAGAAGGTCATCGTAGACTTCATCCATGCGAATCCCATAGCACAGAGTCAAGGTCGTGTTGAGGGCGTATCGCTGGATGTACGGGCGCACATTGAGTTCGACCTGGCCATTCTGACTGTCGCGAAAGAGATCGCGAACGATGCAGTAGCTTTCCAAATCGAACATGGGATGGTAGTTGCGCAAGGCCGGTCTGCCTAATGCTGTCCCGGCTGCCTTGCGCTTTCTCTTGCAGGAGTCGTCCCAGGGAGAGGAGCCGATGGTAAACCCCTGGGTACTGCTGATGACTCCATGAAAGGTATACAGCTTCGGCCGATCGATGATGGCATTCTGATGACCCAGTAGCACGGCGCGACAGTCTTCGAAAGAGTTGAAGACCACCGCTCGCGTATTACCCAGCTTGATCTGAAAAACTGAGTGACCGTACTGTCGCCACCAGCGCTCGCACACGCTTGCATGATCGTCGCCTAATTTCCGAAGATGACCGAACAACGGAATGGCGCCTGGGATCTCGGGCAGCCCCTTGATGTGCGGAATGTCCGTCACCATCGTTGCCTGTAACGGGTAACGTCAGCAGCGAGACAGCTTTAGGACATGGTGGCCTACCTGGTAGACACAGTAAAGACCTATAGCGATGAAGCCCATGACAATATAGCTGCTAGAAATCGCCCCCAGCAGCGCTGTCGCGCTCTGATTGTCATCCACGTTGTTGAACATTCTTCCGAAATGACTGATCCTGAGAATCTGCGATCGGGTTAGATATACAGCTAGCTGATGGCAGATTCCAGGCCGTGCGTAGCTCTTTATATAAACCACAAGTGTTCGGGACCGACGACAGTATAAGCACACCGTGTCCGATGATGATCGTCTTGGCTGTCGGACGATCCGACGGCGAAGATCGAGATACGTCAAAGGCGCGCGGGCCGATAACACACACCCCAGCCAATCAGAGCAATGGCCAGGTCAGACGAGATGCAAGGCGTGCCACCGATAACGAGTCCGTCGAGATGCATCAGCTTATGGGAATTGGGTCGAGGTGTTAGGCAGCGGCAGTGCCGGATGTAGCGTTTCGTAAGCATAATGATGAGCCAGTTGACATTGTCCCGAATACTGGCTGAGACATTAGATGAAGTACAGATCCAGTGAAGTAACGGAGGAATACAGTATATAAATCATTATTACAGCCAGCTGGACCTCCAATGTGGACATCGCGACCAGGTAACCAGTTGCTTGCCGCCCAGTTGCTCATCTCCCACTGACATCCGTGGAAGTTCTTCTTTCTACCTCCAACCAAGAACAAACGCCAGGACCAATATGTACAAGTGGAATCCACCATGGCAGCGATGGCCTTTGTCCGGGAGAACAAAGCTCCACACTGAGAGGGAAGCATGTGATCTATCGCCGCAAGATATTGTCCAAGATTGGACATGGTAAAGAGGCCTGGTGAAGCTGAGGGTCTCACCGTTACTTGCTGTCCAGGTTGCTGCGTGATTAATGATATCGCAAATGGCGGCATTCGGTAGTCACCGCACCCATAGTTACTTAGCAGCGGCATAACAGCTGACCAAGGGGGCTGTCAAGACATGTTTCCATGTTTTGTCGGTCGCCTCTTGAGCATGGCTATCGCTCTGCAACAACATTGGCCGCAATGCCTCACAGCCGAGTCTGACAGCTTTGACAATGGTTGCAGACACCATTGACAAGTTGTTTGATGATTTCTGGTAATATATAAATGGCAACAAGCTTGTGCTTCCAGTTTGCCGAAGCTTCTACCAGAGTCTGATCAATGCACGAAGACCTTCTCAGGACACTCGACACTCGTAACCTTTTTGCTGATCAGAACACGGTCTTGTTCGGTCGCCGAGGCGCTTGTACAGAACGTCGAGTACCTTCTGAGGAACACAGGGGGAAGCCATGTCTATTGCTGTTAGAGAAACACCACCACGAGGAGTAGAAGCATGCCACCTTTCAGTAAGATTTTCGGGGCGTCCGTCACACTGGCAAGCTTTCCAGTATCGGGGCAAGCAAAAAATCTCTAGAGGGCTCTACACTGTCCAGGAGACCATGTCCAGCTGATTGAGAGCGCCATCTGGGTAGATTCCTAGTGAAGCACCTTCCTAGGGGCCGATATCCTCCCGGACCTCCAATATAACGAAGTCGATGTTGTTACGAAGCAAGACCGAGCAAGACTGAGACCGGAAATTGACCCGTCCACGCCAAGCGGGAGCTGGACTCGGGAGTATTCATTCGATTGGAGCTCAGCAGGAAAAATAGTCAGTTCATGGCTGACCCACCAGATACAGGGGACTTACTGAGCTTTATGGCAGCTTTATCGAGGAATCCACCAATTCCTGTCCATTGCACCTTAGCTGCTTTATCCAGAAGTTCCTCTGGACCATCGTGGGGGCCAATCCACGTCCCAGTGCCAAATAAAGCCGGAGTCGGACGCGGAGGCGATTGAAGTGCACTGAAGTGAATCGGCCGGTGGACCTGAAGCATCAAGGATGAGATACGATTGGCATCATATGACCCAGTCACTTGTTGTTTGAGAACTAACTCGATAGGGTGGATATCTTGGGGACCAGCAAGTCCCACTGAAGCGCTAATCGCTACCGAAGATCACCTCTAGGAGAACTTGGATTGTTGCACCAAAGCAGGAAGATTGTAAAGCCGACCGCCAGGCAAACATAGCAAACGCATTCGCTTCTTCGCTGGTGGAAGCCAACATGTCGATTGCTTCGACGTCCTAGGGACGCCAAATTTGATATCGGTACTTGGAATCTGTCTGCCTAATGCGTACCCAAACTGGATGTCCAGGTCTGCTAGGCAGATGATCTGCCTAAGGAAGACGAGATCTCGTGGCTAATGGGTTAATTACTTTCACAGATTGTGCAGACTCAAGCGGACACTATCATCGATGAGGCATGAGTACACGCTGGGACTTGCCGGACATACTCGACCACCATATCATCAGACATGGTGGCTTCATAAATGCACATTACTACGGGCTATGGTAGAGACAAGCCGGCCTTTGCAGAACACTCGCCTTAGACAAGAGGACAAATATCTGCCGCAATTCTCGATAACAGTGCCGATCATCTAGTGTCAGCCATGTTCCATACACTCACCAGAAAATCCGGGGACCCGAATAACAGAGCTTCGCTATTCCAGCGAGTATGGCGTTGTCAATTGCAACACTGATAGTGTATGGATCTGCGCGTTCCACACTTGACCGTTTGCTCGTTAGATTTGATCGCTTGTTTATCCCACCGGAAGTTGGCGGCCTCCATCAACCTAACCGCACGGCAATCATGTGCGGTAGCGCTTAGAGGGACTAAACAGCCTGCGAGCTTGCTTTACATGAGCTAGTCGACCAAGTATTGAACATCTCGATGTACGCAAAAAAGGCTCCGTGAACGATGAGATTACATTGCCGCATCATTGTGAGATGGCTGGTGGCTGACTGTGTCTTTTCATTGGTGGCTCGGAAGCGCATCAGATTAATGGATTGCTGGTGCTTATGTTTTAACCCGACTGGGTAAGAGGCTGATGACACCACCTCCCACTGACCTTCCACCTGATAAGCCCACTTCCTCACTCTTCCGGACTTGCCCATTCCCTCTTTCGTTGTGGTGGTATTTCTCTAACCACTCAACTACATGGGACACCTCAATCGCACCGCAGGCGTCACCTCTAGCTATATTGCAAGGCGACCGATATGTATTCTGATGAGGATGGCGTCGCATCAAAGCAAAGCCAGGCAACCTACAACGCCCGGATACGACTGCTTGTATCGATGACCTCCTTCCTGTCGTGGTTGGGACTAGCAGCAGCTGTTGCAAACGGTGAATATGCTCGAGACAATCTACATGTCTCAGTATCTCTGAACCAGTTAAGTTCTTTCAGCTGGAGCAAGCTTCTGTGGGCAAGTCACTCTAGAACACGAAGAGTTGACAGATACGCCAAGGCTAACCTGCGAAATAGCTTGTTCTTCCCCTGCATAGTCTATCTCTTCATTGGACAGAGAGTCCTATCAGCGTCTATAATGCTGGGCTGAGAGGGTCCCTCTTAGCCATGCTCACCCTCGCTTCACTTTGCTTCCCGAGAGCCCCGACAGAAAGCCAGCCATTTCCCGCTCTGTCATCGGTGTCTTTGCAGGTTTATGCGACCATTAGCTTGGCGATCGTCCAACTTCTTTTTCCCCGTCGGCCAGATCTTTTTGCGCCAGATGGCAGGCCCGTGGACCAAGAAAACAGCGCTTCAGCCTTTCACAAGTATTCCATGCACTGGTGTACGAGTGCGCTCAGTATTGCTGGAAACCATGTTGGACTCGACCAACTTCCTGTCCTAGACTACCGTACCAAATCAAAGAGCCAGCCACCTCTTCTGATCATGTCCTCTAGGGCCTCTTTATGGAATCGCATTGTAACCGACCGGTTTGCCGGGTTTGCCAAACAATGGATCCTTATGTTTGTGCGATCAATCGTTACCTTTGGATCTCCTTATTGTGTCATGCGGTTGCTCAAAAGCCTGGAAGACCACCATGATTCAACATATGATGCTTGGATGTGGTTGGTTGGAATTAGTGTATCTTCCTTATGCCAAACATTAATTCACTATCATCTACTCTGGACACAGTGGTCGCAAATGGGTGTCCCCGTTAGAGCACAACTGATCATGGCAATATTCCTCAAAGCTCTCAAGGTGAAAGACTCCAAAGACCCTAAAAGCTCAAAAACAGCGTCCGAAAAGCCCGAAGCCATCAATCTCATCTCATCGGACACCGCTTCCTTCAGCAAATTCACTGCGGTCAACCACTATATTCCTGCCCTTCTCTCCAAGTTTGTTTTTGCTGTGTTGTTTCTCCTGAGATTACTGGGATGGCAGAGCACCCTTGCGGCAATGGTAGTCACTGCAATAAGCGTACCGGTACACACGTTCGTCATTAAACAGGAGCGCGTGGCGCAGAAGAAACTTGCAGGCGCAAGAGATAAGAAAACCAAAGCAATCAACGAAGCCATGCATGCACACCGACAAATCAAGTTCTCTGCCTTGGAGGCCCAATGGGAAGAGCGTCTAGAGACCTTTCGACAAGAAGAGATGAAGCAATTACGCAGGAGCTTTTTTGCCAAAAATGTAAGATCTGTATGGAGTGTTGCATCTCCGTTCACTGTCGCAGCATCTTCAATTTGCACCTACGCATACACCAAGAGGTCAATATCTCCATCCATAATATTTCCGATGATTGAGCTCCTGCCTCACCTCCAGGGAACGTTGGGATTTCTCCCTGTGGTATTCCATGATTACTTTGGCGCCCGGGCAAATGGACGCCGTATGGAGGATTTCCTGAGAAGACCAGAACAGGAGAGGGTCCTTGCGCCCAGTCCATCTGGCCGTGTTTCATTCCAGAATGCGTCCGTTTCCTGGCCATCTGACGAACCCCATGGAGAAATCAAGCAGGAAAAGGAAACCAATTCGCAACATCGATTTTCCCTCTGCAATATCAATCTCGACTTCCCTGTTGGAGAGCTTAGCATTATTCACGGGAAAACAGGATCCGGAAAGAGCCTATTACTTGCTGCTATACTCGGAGAGATCGACCTCTTGGATGGTCGAATTGAGGCACCATCGATGGCTGATGGGCAACCGGTTGCATTTGTATCCCAAACACCGTGGCTCCAGAATGCTACATTCAAGGATAACATCTTGTTTGGAAGCCCTATGGACACTGAACGATACGAGAAAGTCCTCAAAGCCTGTGCTCTCTATCCTGACCTTGCTGCCTTGGCCAAGGGAGATGAGACTCAGATTGGCCTGCGAGGCGTCAAGCTCAGTGGAGGCCAGCGCGCGAGACTTTCTTTCGCGAGGGCAATCTACTCCAGTGCGCAAGTTCTGGTTCTCGACGATATATTCTCAGCCCTCGATGCTCATGTCTCCAGGGAGATTTTCAGTGCACTCACCGGGGAGCTTTGTAGAGGCCGCACACGGATCCTTGCAACTCATCGGGTGCCTTTGTGCTTGCCGAAGACCAAGTACATTGTCCATGTCCAGGACAACACCATAGAGTATGCAGGAAACACCGACTCACTTGAAGAAAATTGGGATGTTGTCGAGCCCGAGACGCCTCCTGAAGCTGGCCCACCGGTGCAAGAGAAACCAAAAGAACGTCCACGCACCAAGACTAAGACCAGAAGTTCTGACGCGCGTACGGACCTGAAAGTGTATAAGAGTTACTTTACCGCAGCAGGCGGCCTTGGATTCACTATCATGTATTTCCTGGGCCTCGTGATCAAGCAACTTCTGAGTACGTTGACGACAAGGGTTTTGGGACGTATCAACTCAGCACGCCCAAAGAGCGTCACTCAATCAGAGAATGTCTCGCCACTTACTGCCAATGAGGAAAGCGGCTTAGAGCAGTATCTCTATCTGTACCTGCTCATTTCGCTGCTGACTGTACTACTGCAATTTCTTGTCAATCTGTATACTTTTGCAGGGTCACTACGCGCGTCCAAGTCTCTACTCCGGGAGGTTACGTCGAGAGTCCTTCGAATGCCTCTTCTCTGGCTTGACAACACACCCATCGGGGAGATACTGAGACGGTTGACCGTGGACGCTAAACATGTTGACGATCAGGTCCTTGTCACCATGTCGGATTTTGCTGACAATTTCGTCCAGATGATGGTTGTAGGATGCATCGGGTAAGATCTAGCTTCTGAATAGGTCAGGATAGCCTACTAATAATCCAGGCTATATACATCCAAGTACACGAGCTTTCTAACCGTGGCTCTACTATATTGGTGTGCCGTGGTCAGCAAGCGCTACATCAAAGCTCGAACGACAGTCAGGCGCGCCGATGCAGAGCCAACCGCTGATATCCTCGAGCATTTCACTTCATCAGCGGCAGGGGTCATGACGATCCGGGCGTTCGGCGCAACAGATCGGCTGGCTGATCAGATGCATCAACGACTCGATAGCCTATCCTCAGCCAGGAGGCATTTTTATATCTTTAATCGCTGGCTGGGCCTCCAGATGTCTCTCGTTGGTGTTCTGTTCAGTACCGGCACGGGCATAATCCTAATGTCATCGAGTTCTGTGATCGACCCATCTCTGATTGGATTTTCCCTAAGCTTCTCCATGGGCTTCTCGCAGGCCGTGTTCCAGGCCATCAACACTTTCGGAATGCTGGAGACCTACATGAACGCAGCAGGGAATATCATCGCCTACTCCGAGATGGAGCCCGAAAATCAAGGCGGCCAGGAAGCTCCAGACAACTGGCCATCGAAGGGAGCTGTTGAGGTCAAGTCCCTTGATGTTTCGTACTCCACGGACCTGCCCCTTGTTCTGAAAAACGTATCATGCAGTATTGAGGGGGCCACAAGAGTCGGCATTGTAGGACGCACGGGAGCCGGAAAATCTTCGCTAACACTGGCTCTTCTACGCCTGATTGAACACCAAGCCGGCTCCATCATCGTCGACGGCATCGACATCTCAACCATCAAGCTGCAGTCCCTCAGGTCCCGAATCGCTTTTATTCCGCAAGACCCAGTCTTATTCTCCGGAACGGTGCGGTCTAACCTCGACTACTTCCACCAAATTCCCGAAGCCACCCTCAACGACGCCCTGAAACGCGTCAAACTTCTTGCAGAGGGCCCAGAGGAGGAAAACACCGGCCTGTTCACCCTCGACACACCCATTAGCGCGGGGGGAGCCAACATGTCCGAGGGCCAACGGCAGCTCCTCTGCCTCGCACGGATCCTAATCAAGGATCCGAAGATTATCATCCTCGATGAGGCGACATCAGCTGTGGATCACAAGACAGATCTATGGATCCAGGAGACGATTCGGACCCAGTTTAGTGGGACGTTGATTGTGGTTGCGCATCGACTGAGGACCATCTCATCGTTTGATAAGGTGATTGTCATGAGTGAGGGAGAGATTGCGGAGATGGGGCCACCAGCCGAGCTATTGAAGAAGGAGGGGTTGTTCTATGATCTTGTTCAGAGTAGTGAGGACCGGGAATTCTTGACGGCCACAATTGGATGAGGAACATGCATCTGGTATAGGCATGTTGGAGATGCCATGGGTTCCTTGGACCGGACTAAGGATAGTTCTTGAAAGTTTGGATGCTAGAAGTCGGGTGTTAGAGAGCAAGCTTCACAGCTATGGATCACCGAAACTCACGCTGAGGTAGACAGTCTCTGCAAGTAGACAAACAATACTAGCATAAGCCAGTGTCGCCTCTCCACCATCAATAGCCAAGATTTGATCAACATCTGTATGCCATAAGCCTTTCATGTCACCAAATGATAAGCGTGCCGGATAAGGGCAGGTCGGAGTCCTGCCGAACGTATTGACGAGACCGGACAACCTTCTGGAAGACTTGGCCCAGCGAGCCGATACGACACAAGGGCCGTGATTGGTAGAGGAGGCCCGAGGATATCATCGGCACCGTGTTATCGCAAACCCCGCCCGATAGGCCTCTTGGCGGGAGACGGGTTAGGTAACAGATACCTCCGGGAATCTCCCGCCAAGCCTGCCAAGCGGTGTGGGTGCCCCGCGGGGTTGGGCCTCTCGGTCAATCCCGGTCCTGCTTACCATGTTTTCTCCCTGGAAGCCTCGAGGTCCATGGTTCCACGCCAGAGGAGGCGTATCTAGATAGATCCTGACCACCAAGCGGACGCGGTGGTATCCTGCCAAGAGCGTCCGCCTCAGATGCGCTTGGCAGATCCGACCAATGGCGGGCATGTTACAGCGTCATGGCGGCATCAGATGTTGATGCTCGGCCAGTCCTCGACGGTTCGATGTTACCCTGAGCCTGGTGACCCTCGGCGACTTGTGTTGGGACGGCGGCTCAGGCAGGTATAGTACTGTACCAATACCAACTGGGTTTGTTTTCCCTTCTTTTACTTCTCCAACCTCTGCTCTTTCTTTCTCTCACCTCACTCCCGCCCCACGAAACGGACCTTCCTTCATTATAGCTCTCTTGTGAATCGATCTATCTCTCTATTTTCTTCTAGTGCAGTGGCTGTGTCTCAGGACAAGAGATGAGCCACAAAGGAGATGCCCCCCCCGGCATGGCTGGCGAGAAATACGTCACGAACTTCGACGCCGAGGAGAATGTCGAGCAGGTCCCGGGCGACCATGAGCTCCATCGTGCCCTCAAAGCCCGCCACATCTCCATGATCGGTATGCCTTCCAACTGGACCCTCACACAACACACAGGCTGACAGATGCCTAGCCATTGGGGGTGCAATTGGCACAGGCCTCATCATCGGTACGGGATCCGCTCTCGCAAAGTAAGTTGAATAGCTAGTCTTCAAGTTTGTATCACGCTGATTGAGTCTCCAGGGCTGGTGTAGGTATCCTGACACTCTTACTATAGACCCCGATCTGACACGCACAGCCCGCCTCCATTCTTATCTCATACTCCGTCGTTGGTTTCGTGGTCTACCTAGTCATGTGCGGTCTCGGTGAAATGGCAGCATGGTTGCCACTATCCTCTGGCTTTACAGGCTACGCCGTGCGATTCTGTGACCCGGCTCTCGGCTTTGCCCTTGGGTGGACGTACGAGCCTCCCCTCAGCCCCAGAATACCCCGTCACCCGCTAATGTCAGGTCTCACAGCTATTGGTTCAAGTACATCATTGTCACACCCAATCAACTCACCGCTGGCGCCCTCGTCATATCCTACTGGATTCACCCAGACCGAGTCAACGCAGGCGTCTGGATCACGGTATTCCTCGTCCTCATCGTAACCATCAACTACTTCGGTGTCCGCTTCTTTGGCGAATTCGAGTTCTGGCTGTCCTCATTCAAAGTGATCGTCATCCTCGGGATCATCCTCCTCTCCTTCATTCTCATGCTCGGTGGTGGTCCCGATCACGACCGCAAGGGCTTCCGCTACTGGAAAGACCCCGGCGCGTTCAATACCTACATCGACGATGGCGCTGCCGGCCGCTTCTACGCCTTCTGGGCAACCATGGTCTCCGCCACCTTTGCCTATCTCGGCACCGAACTCGTGGGCGTCACCGTCGGCGAGGCCGAGAACCCCCGCAAGACCATCCCCCGGGCCATCAAACTCACCTTCTTCCGCATTGTCGTCTTCTACATCCTCTCCGTCCTCCTCGTCGGCACCCTCGTCCCCTACAACTCCAAAGAACTCATCTTCGCCACCAACCAATCCAGCTCCGCCGCCGCCTCCCCCTTCGTCGTCGCCGTCAAACTCGCCGGAATCCCCGTCCTCCCACACATCCTCAACGCCTGCATCCTCCTCTTCGTCTTCTCCGCCGCCAACTCCGACCTCTACATCGCCACCCGCACCATCTACGGCCTCTCCCGCGAAGGCAAAGCCCCCTCCTTCCTCTCCAAAACCGACAGCCGCGGCGTCCCCGTCTACGCCCTCATCCTCTGCTCCTCCATCGCCTGCATCGCCTACATGAACGTCTCTAGCGACTCCAAAACCGTCTTCCACTACTTCGTCGACCTCGTCACCATCTTCGGCCTCCTCACCTGGATCTCCCTCCTCGTCACCCACATCTACTTCGTCCGCGCCCGGCAAGCCCAAAACGTCCCCCTCGCCGACCTCACCTACCGCGCCCCGCTCGGCACCGCGGGCTCCTACGCCGCCCTCGCCTTCTGCATCATCATCTGTCTCACCAAGAGCTTCGACTGCTTCACCCATAACAAAAAATGGGGCACCTTCGACTATAAAACCTTTATTACCGCCTACCTGGGCATTCCGCTCTACTTGATCCTGATCTTTGGATACAAGCTCGTCACGCGATGCAAGGGCGTCAATCCCTACGAGGCGGATCTCTGGACGGGTAAGGATGAAGTGGATCGGCAGGAAGAGGCGTATGAGCAGCGTAGGGCGATGATGGAGGAGAAACATGAGGGGGCGAGTTGGTTTTATCGGAAGTTTGTGGCGTGGTTGTTTTAGGTTCTTTGCTGCGTGCGTGCGTTTCTTCGTTTGTGGGTCGGTGGTTGGGGGTGTTTGGTGATGCTGGTTGCTATTTACCGGTTTGCTTTTTTTGATAAGCTCGGTTCGGAATGAATGCGTGCTCTTTGAATTAGTGAGTCGAAATCGAGGCGGAGGCGTAATGGTTCGTTTGGATAGGATGAATAGCCGTAGCCGCCCTAGAGGGTTTACGATTTTAGATACTGTTACTTTGAGCGACAGTACAGTGCAATGGATTCGGTTCATTATGTATATGTATGGAATGTCCCTAACTAGGTACTACCACTATCTAAACGGTAAGGAAATCAACGAAACGAAAGATAAGAGAAAGAACTCAACCAGTCCCGCAAACCGTCATTAGTCATTACTGGTCATCATCAAGGTCCGGTGTCAGGAGAGAATGAGTGAGTAGGTGGGTGAATCGTGGGTAAAAATATCATCGTCGGAACTCAAACGAGTGTTCGGTGGCCCGATAATCTGATTCCTCCACCACCACCTCCTCCTCCCATTCGTCATCGTCATCGTCGAGGTCAGGTAGTTGGGCGTTGGCTTCTTCTGCATCCGCTGGGGGGTAGGCATTGAAGCTTGCGTATTTGTTGTCAAGGACGAGATCACGATCAGTCTCCGTTTCTAGGTTGTAGAGTTCTTTCCAGTCCATGTCCATTGAGCTCTCACCCAGGAGGAAGGACCCTACTTTGAGAACAACGTTGTAGATCTCCTTGCCGGTGGGGATGATGTATTCAGCTGGAAGGAGGAAGCCGTAGCTGCCGCGATCGCGCAGCTTGATCTGGTATGAATAAGTCGCGTGCAGTTGGTTGTAGAACCAGTCCAGGGCGCTGCCTCCGGAGCTGCCGCTAATGGGGAAGAACCGTCCCGGATTGTCCCCCGCGGCACCGGCGGTGACGGTGCCTTCGCAGGCGGAAGATACATCGTAGATCTCATGGGTCGCGTACCGAATGACCTTGGCTAGGCCAAGGCCGAGTTCTTCCAGGCTCTCAAGGGTGGGGGGAACCGAGGAGCAGGAGTAAGAGAATGGGTAGAGAATTTGCTGCGAATAGGAGTGGAGGTCGAGGAAGCTCACGATGTTCGCATTGTTGTTCTGTGTCTCGTTGAGCGCCCAGCGGGCTAGCTGCTGGGCTTCCATGGCCTCAAAGGGCTCGTCTCCCGCATAATTCTCCGAGCACGGGTTCGAGCGGGTCCGATCGCCGTCCCACTCAAAGTCCCAGGCGCGATCGAGGTCAATTCCGGGGCAAAAGCGCAGACTGGTCTGCTGTCGGTTCTTCCGCCATAGTCGGTCCGTGTCCCAGGTATAGACATAGCCATCTGGGTTGAGGGTAGGGATCATGATCCAGTCGAAGTCCTGCAGAAGGCGGGTGACGGCCTTGGATTTGCCGTACTTAGTAATGAGATTGTACATTACGTAGTTCACCGTGGATGTACTGATCCATTCGCGGGCATGGCTGCCCCCGGCTACAATGATCGTTTTACGAGGCCCTGACGTTGCGGTGGAGCTGCCGGCGCCCAGTCGGAGTGCGGGGATCTCGCGACCCTCGTAGGACACTCCTACGCTGATCATGCGCACGTGAGACTGAAACATCGAAGCCAGTAGCCGCATCCAGGGAACTATGACCGTTAGAGGTTGATACTCGTGAAAAAAGAGGTCACCCAAATGCGCCGCAGATCGACTCGAGGGGGCAACGGTGGATTGCCCTTCCAGCCCTATCGGCTTTCGCATTGGGTAGGAAGTATAAATCATCTCCGCCAGATTGTCCATCAGTGGGGTATAAGCGGTTTGGAGGGAGTCGGGTAACAATCCTAGTAGTGAGGGAATCTGTTGCCAGTATCAAGGTGGATCAGTCATGACTCGAGCACGTGCGGTCGGAAAATGAAGACCACTTACGACTTCCTCGGCCAGGCGGATATCCACGAATGCCGGGGTAGAGGCCCACACGTCCAGGAATAGAATATCAGCTGCCTGGGCCAATGCCTCCGTCTCATCTTCGTTGCGCAGGCTGAAGCGAAGCACGATGTCACTGCCGTAGCGCGCCAGGACCCGGGAGGGAGGGGAGCGACCACGCGGGGCCTCATGGAGAGGGAATTTATAAGCCGAGGGCTTGTCAATTCCCCAGATGGACTCGATGATCCAGTCCCGGAGCCGGATCCATGGCCGTCGGGGGTCGGATGATTGCGAGGAGAGGAGGTGGACGGGCTCGACGGGCGGTTGTGGAGTGATAATGGAGCCGGCGGGGACGGCGGAGACCAGAGCGACCGATGCGACCAGAAGCACGAGCAACGATAAGAGATGACGCATGATGCAGAAGTCACCGAGTCATCTCCTTCAGGATGCTGAAAAGGAGGGATGGGAGATTGACACGGGATGGATGGCGAAGGGCGATGGTGAGAAGAGGGGAAGCAGTGCACGAGAGTTGAGAGGAGAAAGCGAGAGAGCGAGAGAGAAAGAATGAGAGTCGTTGACTCGTGAGGTGGAGGTGAGGCAGTGTTATGTGCCTCAGGCACCAACAGCTTGGGCATGGCGGCCTGGGGCATTCCGAGTAGACCGTCGTGGAACCTCCAAATGCTCTAGACCCTACCGATCATCGGAGCGTGTTTCACGATCAAGCTAGCTTGCATGGCGACTCGGCTCCCTTCCAACTGTCCTTGTGTAGCTGATGCGATCGAATCGACGAGCTCGGACATGTGAAAGTCTGAACCTTAACTAACTAGTTATCGCATAAGGCTGAGTCATGACACCCGGACAAGTGAGTTACCGTCCATCGATGGTTGGCACCCAGCACATGGCCAACCAGGCCATGCCGGAGATACCGAGGGGTTATGTCCGCCACAAGCACGAGCTGGAGACGATTCGGTGGGACTCAAGTTGGATGGCGAATGCAGCCATGATCGAGTCGGGAGCATCGAATGGATGCCCGCATTGGATGGCCCGGGAGCTAAGCCAGACCCGGCTAGTCCAACGCTGCGGGCAGCCAGTGGGCCTAACCGCTTTGGCCAAAGTGGCCTGTCACAGTTGCCAGGATAGGCAAGGCCCAGTCGAAGCCCAGTTGCATCGGCCTGGCCGAAGAGTACCGAGCAGAATGACAACACTTGTCTCCTCTCCCCGGCATATCTGACAAGGCATACTAGAAGAAAGCTGAGTGAGTATAAGCAAGAAGTTACTCTGCCTTTCATGAGAAGAAATGTACTGATGCTTGTTGACACCTGCAGCTCGAAAACCCTCACCTATACAACGAACGGGGACTACAGTAGCTGCCTAAACAGACGAGAGTACATACTTACAGACATCCCTATCATACAAGAAATCTTCAGGGGAGTGGGGTACTTCGTGTTCATCTGAACTTTCCAGAAGCAATGCACCTTAACAAATCCGCTTCCCACCTGTCTTCAATCGAGGTCCCCATGTCAACATGTCCGACAAATATCTGAATTCCGACACTTTAACTGGAGTATAACTATGTGGTACTCGTTATAAAGCCCTCTAGAAAGTCTCACGACTCAACAGTTGTTGGGAAATATGCTGGCTCCACGCTGAATCGTCCCACAGAGCCCCATACCCCAGCCACGTCAGAAGTTGGGAGTAACTGACGCTGGCCCACCGAGTGTACGCAATAGATTCGACAGACAAATGGGTTCCCATCCTTCTCCCCCAGCATCCTAAGGATACCCAAGCGGATAATTATATCGCAGTTCAGTCCAGAGCTGCTTCGTTTCGAAAAACAAATTAGCGAGAGCCTGAACACGAATCGGAGCCGGCAACGTAATGGCCTTTCGACCTCTGTCGACTCCAACAGCAAACCTTTGTACGGTAATCCTTGTCTCTGCTCTAGTGCCAAGGAATTTTTTTGGGTTGGTGTTACAATGTAGAGATATCGATCACTTTTGCGTTATTCCGTCTATACTGTACCTGAGGTTCTTGATAGATCAATCGCCTGAATCTTTGCTATGGGGAAAAAAAAATAAAAATGAATGCTGTTGTTTTCCTGTCTATAAGTTCACACCAAGATATTCTCCACGCCATCGTAAAACAGAAGCCAATGGGTAGTCTTAGTAGCATAGCTAACTGTGGTGCGTGCACCGCAACCATGGAAATCGGCTGAGAGGCATATACGATCGAACATTCTGACCGGCTGCAAAGGAAGTGCAACGGGCGGAGCGGTCAGGTCAGCGGCCAGATGCGGTTCGGTTCCTAACCGGAACCTTGGTTCGGAGGGGCCAGAACTACTTCACAGTACTACAACATCTGCAAAAAGTCAGCCAGTCCAATGGGAAGGAGCCGGTATGCGCATGGCAGGAAAGGGGATTTGGCCGGCATCAGACGGCAAGCCAGACGATGCAAATCAAGTTTGTTTGTCCGGGCGGATGCAGCGCGATGACGCCAGCGCCGGTCATGGCCTTGGGGCCTGACGTGGCCAGACCTTCCGCGGTCACGTGGGGCCGGCTGGGGAAGCGAATCCAGCTGCAAGGTTTGCAGCTATACAAAGGAAGGAGGATGTTCTCCTTTTCATGATGGCCCTGCTGTCAGGTCGCCAAAGGCCAAGGGTCCTGCGCTTAGCGTGGCCAGGAACCCAGAACTAGATAGAAGGGGTGGATTGCGGCCAGGATTTAATTTCCCCATAGTACTGAGTTCCTGCTAGTCCCCCATCTAGGGGCTGTTTCGTAGTTAAAGATAGAAACAGCCCACTGGAAAAAAACCTCCCGATGACCTGCAGACCCGACCGCAGACATTTTTAGATTTCGAGGAGATGGGCTTGATTCTATCCATGATCATTGCTCGTGGATGTGGTGTGTGTATGTGTGTGTATCCCATCAATACGGATTCAGCCAATGCCATGACAAGACATGGATGTCGTACTGAATTGGATTGGCATGCCAGTAAAATTAATTCAAGAATCAAAACATCAAAACATCCCAATATAAATACCCAACAAAGAGGGTGACGGGCAGACCAACTGGCACGTGTGGTTGGTTCCAGCGAGAGAGTTCGGCCCGTTCTTTTGCAGTTCCTCATCCTCTCGCTGAGTGAGTGTCTCGTCTTGTCTCGGCTCTCCCGTTATTCTTAGCCCGCCCGCTCGCCGCCGCCTCCTCCTCCTCCTCCCCCCCATCCATCGTCTTGCCCACCCATACCGTTCCTTGTCTTTCCCTGCTCTTCTTTTTAAACTACTCACTACGTCGCTCTTCCTCACTCATCGTCTCTCCCTGCCCTGCCCCTCCTTGATTCTCCGGACCGCGTCCCAGGTTCCGGTTGTCTGGTGTACTTGGTCCCCTCACCTTCCTTGTCATTCTCTCCACGGCTCCAATTTCTCAACGCGCCTCCCTCCCCATCCCATACCTCTGCCATCCGCCTTTACACCTGGCGATGTAACGGCCCTCAATTGGCGATCCCTACAACTCTTCCGCACCACTGAATTTTCGCGTCGGGCATTGACTACCTCCACCTCCTTTCCCCCCTTTTTACGACCGCGCTCCTCCGCCCAGCGATCTCGCCCCCACCTCCTTGCGCTGCCAACTTGCCCTGCCTTTCCCCTTTGGCCGGTTCGCGATGCAAAGTGGCCTGCTCGACGGTGACATCTTCGTTCAACCCTCCTAGGCCTTGCCGTCGCCATAGCTCTGATCGCAAATCCGACTGAAGCCTGGATATACCTCCCGCAGTACGACGATCGCCAACCAGAATCGAGCAGCATCGGATGGGTCGCTCAAGCACGCTGCGCTGCAGGATTACATAAAGTCTATTCCTGGAAACGTCGTCACCATGCATTGGAAAGCACTGCGCCTCGGCTCCTCCGACAACGAAGCCAAAAGACGGAGCTATTTGTTTGATCCACCGCAGTCCCGTCACAGCGAACAGATACCTCGACCGACGCTCTCCACGACCGCCCTTGCCCCCAGACACTCCGAGTCCGCTCCACGCTCCCCGTCGCTGGTCGGCCCAGATGATGCCGAACATAATGAGCTTAGGGCTGAGGACCATAGATTGACCCAAAGTCGCAGTCGCGGAGATGACTCCGCGACAAAGCCCAGAAACGCTGGAAACTCGCTGTTGCCGGGGAGCGGCCCAAATTGGCGCATCAACCGTTTCAGTTTCATGAGGCTTCGTCATGCGTCGGACCCGCAATTGTCGAAAACTTACGCTAAGGGAGAGCAGGAGATCCCTCCGGTGCCGTCCCTACCCCCGCGTAAGTACACTGGTCTCCCCAGAATATCTCTGTTTCCCATTCCTGCCTTCTCGGTGATTTGTCCTGTTGACTAACGCTCCCATGCCGCTGCGCTTCTTAGCCCCTACCATTATCACGACCGCGCCGACAAGTCATGAGCTGGAGGAACCGGTTAAGCGAAAGCACAAATTCAAGCTCTTCCCCGAAACGAAAAATGCGACGGTGGAAGAGCTCCCCTTACAGCAATCCGGCCTCAATGGGAAGCCCCGACATATCGCTCAGGATTCGACTGGGTCACAGACTGTTTATCCCAGTCGACCGGCATCGCGAGTGAGTGGTGAGGAACCCGGTCGCTTGTCGACTACGTCTATACGGAGCAATGGCCGGGAGCAACTGAATGATTCCCACCGCTCCTCTGTGACGGATGCGCGGTTTTCGGAGTCCTCCCGTTCTGACCAAGACCGCGGCGATCATGGAGCTGCCCGTGGCATCCCTTCGGGCGAGGGTTCGATCTCTAGCACAAAACGATTTCGTATGCCTCGCTTGAAGAGGAACAAGGGCCCTCTTTTCCCATTACCCCCTAAACCGCCCGGATCGCAATCGCTCAATGGGCGGATGCCCAAGTCAGTGCCTGGCCCTTCGGTCCCGACATCGGACATTTCAGATGATCAAGATCGAGACCACGTCTCACCGCTGCCATCACCGTCGCGTTCCTCGGCCGGGGTGTCCTCTCCTCGACCTCCTTTGCTGAGAAAGGACTCGGCGAATTCCGCCCACTCGAGTCACTCGACCCCTTCCATTCGACATCGCAACCCTCCCACCACGCGGGCTCGATCATCTACGCTGGATTCCCTAGCCAATATACGGGATAGTGAGCAACAACCGTCACCTCACCTCACGTCGTCGGGGCGGACGTCCACTTCAACCAGTGGCCGTAAGAGCTTTGGCGATATCTTCAACATCCCGCAACGACTTCGGCAGAACTCCGAACCCCCGTTCCCCAGGAGTGGGTCCCCTGCGGCCAGAGGCGCGGAGACCCCGGTCTCCAAGTCGCCATCCTATCCAGAGAGGCAGGAAGGCGATACTCCGGCCACGTACCTTGAACGGCTTGAGGCCACTGTTCCCAAGGGGGTAATTGCCAGCGTCCTCTCCCAGTCAGGCGACGAATTCTATAAGACCGCCTTACGCAAGTACATGCGGGGCTTCTCCTTCTTCGGCGACCCCATTGATATGGCCATTAGGAAACTATTGATGGAGGTGGAACTACCAAAGGAAACACAGCAGATAGACCGCTTCATCCAGAGCTTTGCAGACAGATACCACGAGTGCAACCCGGGTATCTTTGCGAGTACAGGTATGTCCCTGTGGCACCGAATCGTGGTGAATACTCTAACCCCATCTAGACCAGGCATACTTCATTGCATTCTCGATTCTGATCCTACATACCGATGTCTTCAACAAGAACAATAAGCGGAAGATGCAGAAGCCGGATTACGTCAAAAACACCCGCGGGGAAGGCATCTCCGAAGATATCCTGGAGTGTTTTTACGAGAACATCTCTTACACCCCCTTCATTCACATCGAAGACACCAACCCCAACGGACGTCATCTCGCAAAGCCGCGACGAGCTCTATTCAAGACTGCCAGTTCAGACCATCTCGGCCGTTCCACGAAGGAACCGGTGGATCCCTACACCCTCATAATGGACGGGAAACTTGACTCGCTCCGACCCAGCCTCAAGGATGTGATGAACCTGGACGACCCCTATCGTTGTGATGGGACGGAAGGCCCGCCGGACATTGCAAGCCTCCATCGTGCCTTTTCTAAAACGGCCGTCTTACAGATCGTCTCCCTGCGTTCACGGCCTGATGCCTTTATGCCTTCCAGCATGGAAAACCCGATTGATTCCAACCCAGGCCTGGTGGATATCAGAATAGCCAAGGTGGGATTGCTCTGGCGCAAGGACCCAAAGAAGAAGAAGGCTCGGTCGCCATGGCAAGAATGGGGTGCCCTCCTCACGTTCTCGAAGTTGTATTTCTTCCGGGACGTTAACTGGGTGAAATCGCTCATCCACCAGCACGAGTCACACCTCAAAGAAGGCCGCCGTCGAGCTGTCATTTTCAAACCACCGCTGACCGACTTCAAACCGGACGGCATCATGCCGACTGATGATGCAGTGGCCTTGCTGGATTCCAGTTACAAAAAGCACAAGCATGCATTTGTCTTTGTCCGCCATAACGCCTTGGAGGAGGTCTTCCTGGCCAATAGCGAATCGGACATGAACGACTGGCTGGCAAAGCTGAATTATGCCGCAGCCTTCCGAACCACGGGCGTCCGAAGCAAGGGCATGATGGCTACGGACTACGAAGCGCAGCGGAACCGGATGAGCCGCCGGGGCTCTAGTGTCTCCTTGACGGACATGGAACCCCCTTCCCCGAACCCTGAGGCCGACATGGGCGAAGACCTGATTGTCGCGCGGGATCATCTGATGCGCCAGAAGATCCGAGAGGCCAACGAAAAACTTTTTGTCAGCCAACGGCAGCTGGATGATTTGCTGCGAAACGCGAGGCATTTGCAAGTCCTGACCCCGGTGCACTCCAGAGCACGAGAAAATGTCATCATGGCTGCGGGACGTATGGCTGCCAAGCTCAAATGGGTGAGGCAGGATATCTGGCGTACCAGATGCTACCGGGAGGTGCTTGTTCGTGACTTGGGTGAAGGTGAAGGAGGGGCACAGTCTCTGGCCGACCAGAAGCGCTTGAAGCTGCATATTCCTATGGATACCGCCGGACCCGAACCGGAAGCACCCGATGAGACGGCGGAGGAGAAAGTGGCATCGCCGATGAAAGAGACTGTGCCTCCTTCACCGCACCCTGACTCCGTCAAGTCGCCATCTGTCACCCAACCACCAGCACCACAACCCGCTGCAGAAGAGGACCTGCGGAGACCGAGCGTTCCAGCGTCTTTCACATCGGTGGAGGTTGGCTCCCGCGCCGGTCGACGGCTCTCAATGGACGATCTCAAGGCCCGTACGAAGTCTAGCTCTCCCGAGCCAACGAATCGATTGACCCGCGAAGCCTCTATGCTCAGTGCTGCCAGCAAGCTGGACGTTGCCAGTTTGGCCTCGCGTGCCTCCAAGATCACCGCACCTGGCAGCTTCGATGATGGCGAGGAGCGAATCCTTCGTGAGGCTGGTTTGCTGGAGGTGAATACCGCGCCCCAAACCAAGAGACAATCTCTTGTCATCAAGGATGGCGACGTCGATCAGAACCCAACTGACTCGCAAGAGACGCCTCAGCTGGACCGTTCCAGTCGGATTCGCCGCAGTCTCCACCGGACTCTTCGAGATGCGCCCGGCGTGCACCATGGCCATCATCCTCGCAGCAAGAAGTCACGCGAGTCGGCTGCTGGCATGGCCGCGCTCGAGGATGGTCAATTGTTGCCTGAAGGTGAAGGACTCTCTCGGAAGTCGGCCAGCTTCACTGTCCACGGCAAAAAGGCATCGATTGTCACTTTCGGCAGCGAGTGGCAGAACATGCCGCCTGAGGAACGTCTCAAGCTCCGGAAACCGACCCCATCGGAAGAACCCAGAGCGTCCGATCCAGTTATCACCAGCAGCGCCAATTCCATCACCTCGGAGTCTCTGCATCCTGGTCATCCGCAGTCCTTGCGCAGTATGAGCCCCGGCAACCGGGATAGCGTCAATGACATTGAAGAGTCCGAAGAGATGGAGGAACTGCCCCCACGGTTTTACAGTGATGAGACCATCGATTCGAGCTCCAAAGTGACGGAAAATTCCTTCGTCACGGCGAACCAGGACCCATCCCCAGCGCCGGTGACTGACGATAGCAACGCCATGGACGAGACCACGCCTAAGAAACTTTCCGCCAACCCACAGGCTGTGAATGCCTAAGGGAGAAAACACCGGATGGAAAGTCGAAAAAATAATCTTCAAACTCATCTCACCCTCGTCAAGACTCCTCTAATCTCCTCTTGCTTCTTTCATTTACGACTGACTTCGTTTCTTTATACCCCTCATCATCTTTCATTCCATTCCATCTCATTGCATCTGTCCTTCTCTCTCGTTCGTATTACTACTACCTCTTATGTGCTTTAAAGTTGTCACGTTACGTCTCTTTTCCTGTCAAATCGGATAGAATCAGGGCGCGGGCTCCCCTAGATCGAGTCCGCGCCGTTACGACCTTGATACCATGTTCCAGTTTCTCTTCTCTTCTCCTTTTCGTTGGATCTCCCACATGGGTCGTTCCTGGGTATGCATTGTGTTTGAGTAGGGGTTGGGCGGTTCATCTCATCCTCTCTACCTATCTTCGTTTCTGTTTCTCTTGGGTTGCGATACCAGTGCATGAGATCTCTCTGGCGATTATGTTCGGCGTGATATGGTCGGGAATTCTGGGATTGGTCACTATCTACGTACCTACCTACAAGCTAGCTACAAAATCCTAGCTGAAGCATATACAAATACTACGATACAACCCTACACCATGCTATATGGCCCTAGAAAGCAGACACCAGGCCAGTACCGACAACCCATCTCCATTCTCCGACCCAACCCGTCCCCATCACCTAGCTCCTCGGGGTAACCCGCATTCACTTCCCCTGCACCACCATCAGGCACCGATCACGTGGCCTTCACTTCCACGGCACCTTTCCTTACCAGCGTGTACAATCATTGAAATCACCGCGCGGACTCGAGCATTGAAACTCGAGTCTCCCATCACATCTAGTATAGGGAATCAGTCACATGGACACAAGAGGCCGGAATCTTCTTCTTGTTCTTCTTCTTCGTTGTGATTGAGAGAAGATGACGGAAGAAATGGATGGAGCGAGCCTAGGTGAATGTGAATGTCATCTCTTGTGCTGTTCGAACTATGACTGGTTTGGTTCGTTGGGAGGGGTGGACTTTTTTTCTTATAAATGTGCTGGGGATCTTCTTTGCTTTTTTCGTTTTCTCTTTTGCTTTTGATTTGGATTTGGGATTTCGCGCTTTGCTACTGTGGTTCTTTTTAATGGTGGATTGGTGGCGCGTGCCGGATTTATGCTGAGTGCTGCTTGATGCGCACGCGAGTGTACTTCTTCTGCTCTGCTGTGCTCTGCCCTGGTGTGGTTATTGGGTTCTTTCTCCCTTCTTCATTAAGTTGTTTTAAAGGTGGACTGCTTAGGCCTTTCTTGTTCGTTCGTTCGTTCGTTCATTCCTGGTGGCGTGGTGGCTTGCTGCTTCCCCAGACGTGGCTTTTCCATCTTCTGGGGTCTTCCGCGTATTGCGGAACTTGATCTCGGATACAAGCTAAGTTCCGCGGACGGTTCCTTCCGGATCGGTAGACATCATGATCAAGACCAAGTTGCTGGTGTATGCGGCCTTGGGGTATTCCATATGCCTTTGGCTTCTTTGTACGGGGGGGTATGTCTATCTGGTTGTGAGGACGTGTGTAGAGCTGGTAAGATGTATGTTTTCCGTTCTTTTGTTGTTTTTGTCCTTGATTTGTCGGTTACGTGGACGCAGGCTGCTTTCACGTCGAGTCATGCTGATCAGATTGTTGCTGTTTAGGTCTCGGAAGGATCCTAGCTCTTGATGCTTTCGAGAGTGTTTTCGAGGCTTTCCTTGTGATCTGCGATAGCGTGTCACCCATTTGGTTTCTGAAAATCTATGTGTCGATTGAAGTGCGGGTTCATGATGCCTTCAAAGGCCGCGAACATCCTCCCTATTTGGAGAGGCGAATCGGTAAGTGCCTGTCTGCTAAAGAAAGGGTTGTATTGGCTATCAGCGTTATGGTTATGGAGGAGAGACCATTAGCTGACGATTCTTAGCTTCAAAGTTGTTCTTCAGGCCTCCAATCATCATCTTCTCATGTACTCTGCAGGCATTATCGGAAACTGACGGCGAGGATAAAAGGCTCGAGGAGCATACTGCGGCCGATCATGATTCCAGCCTGTCCAGTAACGGAGACAGAACGTTTGAAGTGACCGGAAGTGAGACACCTGACGACGAACTCAGGTCAGAGGCAAACTATAGCGATGGCCATAGTTGTGCGGCAGACACCGATTTCTCCGGACCTGGAGAACAGGCCGAGGGTGAAGATTCAGAAAGCGACCACAGAGGCGAAGAGCTTATTGATACCGACATTGAAAGCCAGGCAGATACCGAAGATGGCGGCGTTCCGCTCCCTGTGAGACTTCTAGCTTTTGCAGAAAGCAAGGACTATCTTGAGCACCATGATTGCAATGAGTATCCCACAGAAACCGATGAAATCGGAGAACTTGACATGCCTCCAACGCCGTGTAGTCTGGGAGAAAGCAGTGGCCCCGTCAGGACCAATATGCCAGAACAGGCCCCAATAGGGAATAAAGAAGGGCCGGTTCCAGGCAACCCCAGCAGTGAATTTGATCTGCCTGGAACAGGGAAGCCCCCAACACCAAGTACTCCGGGGTCACAAGAGACGACTTCCAAAGATCTGGATACGGATAAAAACAGCATGGATTTTGAAGCAAATAAGAAAGCCTGGATGGAATCGGTGGCGGCGACTTCCTTGAAGCTAGAGCGTCTCGCGGGGAGCTGGTGGGATGAGACCCTGGCGGTGATGGCAGCTGGCTCGGAAGAGACTGAAGCGTTCACAAAGGCCGCGAGGGCGGCTTCCCAAGAGATGGAGGCTCTCTTGAGAGACACGGCCAAGGCCACCAATGATCTCGAACAAGCCAAACAAGCCTGGATCGCTTCAACCTCCAAGGCCTCGACGCTAGAGCATCTCAATGACAGTTTGTGGGACGAGACTCTGGCAGTGATTAGAGCGGCCTCCGAAGAAGCTAAAGCGGCGCTCGAAAAGGTGGCAAGCACAGGCGACAAAGCCGTCGAGCCTCATCGGTCCAAGGACCAGCCGAACAAGAGCCGGCCGATGTCAAAGAAGCCACGCCAGGAGCCCGAGGAACGTAATCCAGATTGCATTGATCCCGAGAAGGATTTTTATGACGTCTGTTGGGACATCCTTCAGGAGACCAACCTCGTGGGTGTGTACATGAAGGACAAGATGCTGGTGAGTTTACGACCCCTGCATTGATCCAAGGCCAGCGTGTACTAACATGCTCATGTGATAGCGGGAACAATCACGAAAGAAGCATCCCAAGAGATGTCAGAGGAAGGAGAAGGACGAGAAGAGGGAGAGAGGGCCCGAATACAATGTCTGCTGCGATTGTCAGAGAGCCATCAAATGAGGCTTTAAAGCGGTGATGCCATTCCCAGATTATGCTCCACTTGGATTTGACGACTCATGATTATGACTGACGGCTGGCTTCCTTTGTTGGACTTGAACATATTATGATATTAATGTGGTATCTGGTTCCTTTATGACTGCAGGAAGAGCCGACATGGCGAGGAGGATGAGATGAAGTCGGAGCCATCGAGAGACGGCATGACATAATCCGCGGCCGCCATCCAGCTTCATCTTTCTCTCGCCGGCTTCACCTGGTTTCTTTTCTTCCACCATCGCATTTTTGCCTTGTTTCTCTTATTGGCATGTCTACTCATTAATGTAATTAATCTTTCATCACCATTGGTTCCCCCACGATCTTCTCTCTTCGCCTTCCCCCATTCGTACTCCGCACTCGACCTCCGCTTTTCCTCCCCCACTCCGCAATATCTTCCGCGCAAATACTCCATTCATGAACACCAACGCAACCAATTAATCCTCTTACACCCCAGAACACCTACCATGGCCCATTCCAAACGCAACACCTCCCTCCCTCACTTCACCTCCTACGAGCGCGACCTCCTCCGCTCCAACTGGGGCACCAAACGCGGCGTCATCGGCCGCGACTCCTTCCTCCCCTTCGGCTCATGTCGCCTGTGTCTACACCCCGCGCGCGCCCCCGTCGTGGCCTGCGCCACCAACGGTGACCTCTTCTGTCGCGAATGCGCCATCAGCGACCTTCTCGCCCAGCGCCAGGAAATCAAACGACTCGAAAAAGAGCGCGATGAAGCCAAGAAACGTCTCGCGGAGGAAGAAGAACGGGCACTAGAAGAAGCGCGAACGCGAGAACTCCACGACTTTGAGCTCGTGAGCATGGGATTAGAAGCGGCAAAGAAAAACGGCACACCGGGTGCTGAACTGTCGAAGAAACGAAAAGCCGAGACGACGGAGGCGTTGGCGGCGTTTAAGGCGAGAGAGGTAGAAGTTGATGGGAAGCGGAAGAAGGTGTTTGAGTTGGATGAGAAGGAGATGGCGAAGATGGCGCGCGAGGAACAGGAACGGTTGAAGGATGAGTTGAAGAGGGAGAAGGTGTGTTCTATCTCTATTTCTCCTTCAGTCTATGTCGATTAGGAACAGGAAGGGATAATTGCTAACGCTGCTACACCAGGAATCGAATAAATCGGCCCTTCCATCCTTCTGGGTCCCCTCGCTCACACCTACCACCGATCCGAATGAAATCGCCGCCAATAAGGCCGTCAAGTTGTCCCCTATCTGTCCGGCTTCTACCGACTCTAATCGTCATCCCTACTCGCTCAAGTCTCTAGTTGAGGTCCATTTCACTGAGGAGAAAGCCTCTGATGGTTCTATGGCCCGGGTGTGTCCCAGTTGCAAGAAGACCTTGACCAATGGGCTCAAAGCAATGCGTATGCTCTCCCCTCCCCCCTTCTGCGCCCCTCTACAAGTTGTCCACGGCAAATTCTAACACATAATAACTCAATAGTAACAAAACCCTGCGGCCACGTCATCTGCCAACCATGCGTCACCAAATTCATGACTCCGCACGACGCGCCAGACCCGCACGCCACTAAAGAAGAACAGGAGCAGACCGCCGCCCTACATGGGCGGATTCTCTGCTACGTCTGTGAGACGGATGTTACGCCGTCAAGCGACGCGAAAGACTCTAGCTCAGCGAAGAAGAAAAAGAAGGATAAGGAGGGGATTCGGCCTGGTTTGGTGGCGGTTAGTTCCGAGGGGACGGGGTTTGCGGGTCGGGGTGGGAATGCTGCGACGAAGACGGGGGTCGCGTTTCAGTGTTGATGGTGGTTTTTGTTTTGGGGGGGAGGGTGTTGGGGGTGGGTGGGTGGGTTTGAGCGTGGAGTTGGGGTGGTGAGGCGTGATGTGATGGGTTTGTATGTGGATGTGTATATTATCGACTGCATTGGGTTTATATCGTTGGGGGGTGGCTGTCGAGACAGCATCTAGACCATATTCATTTGGAGACTTTTCTTCAATTTGATATGAATGCCGTATTAAGCTATACAGTGGTGTAGCCGAAATAATATCCAATGCCGACGAGGGAATAATAATAGTCTAGAGTACAATAATCATAGGTTCCCCGGCCCGGCGAAACGCCGTCCTCGCTGTGTTCACAGCAATCCAGGCACCAATCTACACTATACCACGCCTAAGACCGCTTGTTGGCATTGTTGAACTCGCGGACAACAACATCGCACTTGACCTCCTGGCACAGACGCTTACGACGACCAGCATCCAGCTTGCCCGCGAACTCCAAACCGCTCGCCCGCTCGACCGCCTCCAACGGCACCTCAAACTCAGCCAACCGCTTATCATTCGAGATACGAGCATTGGGCAGCACGAACGCGCCCAGCGCGACCTTTCCAGCCGTGGCCGGGCTCTCCTCCGCATAGATCACCTTATAGAAGTGGGTCGGGACGGCAACGTTAGGCGGGTTACCGATAACCTCGTACGAGACGCGCCACTTGCCATCCTGATCACGGGAAGGCAGGTACAGAGGACCAGTGACGACGCGAACGGAGGGATACTTCTTGGCCAAGTCGCGGCAGAATTCCTCAAAGTGCGCCCAGTAGTCGCGGTTGAAGCCCTCTCCGACCTGGGGACACATGTTGGTCAACGCGAACGTGGCGTCCATGGCGCCCTGGGACCATTTGGCGTCGGCGGCGGGGACCTGGTGGCCGCGATCGTAGCCCGAGCGGAAGTAGTCGGCCAGTTTGGCGCGGAAGAGCGGCGGGATGGTGGTGTCTTCGTAGAAGGTGCTGCTCTTGCGGTCGGCGTTCTTCTGGGCGAGGGATTGAGGGGTGATGTGTTCGGCGACCCAGGAGGGGTTGCGCATGCGACGGTCGTACGCGCCGGCTAGGGGCGCGGAAAGGAGTGTGTCGGCGACGGGGCCGGGGAAGCCATATTGGTAGATGCCGGCTGGGTCGACGGGGGCGAGGCTGGTGGGTTTAGGAGCGAGAGAGGGAGCAGCGGGTTGAGGGGCGGGGAGCTTGGCTGTGGAGGAGGGAGGTGGAGAAATTGAGATCTGTTGCTGCTGCTGCTGTTGAGGCTGAGGTTTGGGGGACGAGTAGAGGAGAGCCGTCAGGCCGGCGCCGGTGGCCGCACTGGCGGCGGCAATGGCCGCAATGGTGGCCTTGGACATGGTGTGTGTGGAGGGGAGGAGGAATAAAGGCTCGAGGAGAAGGAGGAGGAGGAGGAGGAGGAGGCGAGAAGAGCGGGGAGAGATGGGGAAGAAGTCGAGGGTGAGGGCGGAGGAAGGGCGCGGCGGATTGGAGAAAATGGGTCGGAAGGAGAAATCCTGGATGCCGAAGAGGGTAAAATTGAAGCTCAAGCGGAAAGCCAATCAGCGGGCGGCAATCAGATGATCGGAAGTATACGGCGATCAAAAGGGAAATCCCCAAACATCTCCGTCTTTCCCTTATCCACAGAGAAATTGGCCAGTTTCCACCAACCTTGCGATGCGATAGCTGACATGGCCCGAACAAGGCGCTGGTGGGTTCTTTATATGCCGGTCTCACGTCGGAGCTGGTCGGATGACCGCCACGGGCAGATGACCGTTCCTGATGCATCGCTCTACGGCTTCCTATCCCTGCTAGACAATGGTTTCACCTTATTTTCAATGAGTTTCTGGAAATGCCTGAAGCTATGAGATTAGCATCAAGGCAAAGCCCCAAACAATGGAGATTCCCGAAACAGTGAAAGTCCATCGAGCCTATTTAACCTCCCTTCAGCCCTACGCGATGATTCTCTCTGTCCACCAGCCATCTTACCTTCCGCCGCCGTTCCCAGGATGGAGTCTTTGCAGATATTCAGGATCACTCAGGCAAGCCTTCTACCTCAGTCTGCGGGTACAATGACTGAGAACCCACTTCCACTGGCCCTGATAGACGTCTTGGAGGGTCCTGAGCATATGATCCCATGGATGAACCAAGTCAAGGCTGAGCTGCAGCGCCTGGGATTACTGGTCTTGGTCGAGCCAAAAATTCCCGCTCCTGAGCCCCATGAAGAAGGTTACGAATACTGGAAGCATCTGGCAGGATGTGTTCTGAACTGGCTGAGGTCCCGGGTGTCGCATGAGATCCGTAACAGCCCTCGCTGGGGTTGCTACAATATTCGATCCCCAGTCGAATACCTGAATGCCGTGGAAGTCATCGTCCGAATTACCGATGCCCACTCGGCCAGGGAGAAGTGGGAGAAAGCTCTTGGCTTCCAACGCAACGAGTATAATTCCGTCCGCGAATACGTTACCGAGTTGAAGAGGGCAATTATGGCCTCAGACCTGGTAGGCATGTACGTGGCGCCTTTTCAAGCCACCTGCATCTTGCTCCGGTGGGTGGAAGACCTGGGAGAAGAGGGTAGGCAGTTCTCGGATAGGATTTGCTCCACGCTACCACTGAATATCGCCAGGATGATGACGACGGAACACTTTATTGACATTTGTAACCAAGCTATTGGTTTGGATGCTCAATGTCCGACTGCCGACGAAGCTCTTGAGCGTAGCGTTCAGAATCCGATTGCCGAATGATATTTTTATCTTTGCTTTGCGGATGGCCTCGGCTTGATTCCGTATAACTCCTGCCAATAATGCAGACGATAGGTGCTTAGATTGCTTTTCCACTGTTAGTTCTTCGATGCAGCCCTTTTGTAGATCGCCGTGAGCCGGTTACAACATCCTCATATAGAACAATATGAGGCAGCATAAGCCTTAAAGCACTTAATGCTCCTTTTTTTGTCACTGAACTTAATGTATCTGAAAGTATAAATGGTTTGTGCCTTGTGCACATCTTGTTGGCATGGGCTACAGGAAATGCGGATGTGTAGCTAGAGCCTTCTTTGTATAAGACTAGAAGTAGCCTCTACGCATTTTCGATACGCATCGAAGCACCAAGCCATACTTTTACTCGCTTAAACCACGACACATAAGCAATAGCCCTAGAAAGTCGACAGCGCATCATGTAATTCCCATACCAAGCTCAGTAAGAAATGCACTATGGGAAGTCATCTGTCCAGATTCGCCTCCTTCGTTGCCTGTGCACCTGACTTTCGAATCACCCAGACCACCCAGTTGTCACATACTCAGTCCAATCCCACCCTTCCCACCCTTGCAAGCCACCACGTATCAAACTCCGATACCTCCACGCCAACCAGTCCAGACACCCCCTCAAATGCAGTGGTTATGTCGCAAGCAGACGTGACAATCGGTATAGGTCAGACAGATGGCGGAATTGAAGCATCTAGGATGAGAACACCGTAGGGGACGATTAGCACCCAGGTCATCATTGACGTCTCGTTTGGTTTCACCTGGGTCTCCAGTAGTGCCAGCCAGCTTCTCCTGTGCCTGTTTGGCCTCGACTTCAGCGACGGCTTGGTCCAACTCAGGACACAGAGAGTCAGCGGCGACAGCCACCACGGTTCCGTCCTCGTCTTTCAACATGTAGCCACCATCCTGATCATACAGGACAGTTTGGGGGTTTTGCCTGGCTGCTTGGTTGAGCTGCTCGCGCGTCTCAACCACTTTCGCACCCTCGGGGATGGGCGCGGTGTAGCGAGTGAGAGACATGGCGGAGCTGGTGGAGACGAGAATCAGAACCAGGAGACTACCAAGGGAGATGGTGGGAGACATGATTGAGGTTGCTTGTTGCGTACCTGCTTTGGTCCAAAGATACGGGAGAAGAGGATGCAGATGAAGAGAATCCTCGAGTCGGTTGGGTGGGTTGTTGGTCCTTTTCAATGCGAGATGGCAAGATGACCTTCGGACAAAGGGATATTCGTGAGGTATCGAGTCGAATGGCTGTGTAGCCCGAGATGGAGGAGGATCGAGTGGATGTTTTTCAAGTGCTGGCTGGTCTCTATCATGTGACGGGTTGTACGTCACTCCTCCCCGACGGCCAGCCTCGAGGCGTCCTCAGGTTACTCGCTTTCATAGCTGGATCAGGCTGTGCGACGCGTGTGGTTGCACTGCTCGGGGCATATCCACGTTGTCCTTCACCTTGGTGTACGGATGTTCCCCATCTCTCCTGGCTACTCGGCTTGCTTCCAATGATATCCATTTTTTAAGTGAAGGATGGATGGAGTTGCATCTGTATCACCTCTATATCCTCCGAGTGGTGGTAAAGAGTTGCAGCTTATCTGAACGACGACAAGAGGGGAATCTCGACTGAATGATTCTGGACTAGAATTCATTACCCCAGTCTACGGATATCCAGGGTGTTCGACTATTATCACATGAAATGGACCTATTCCCTGACCTACCTTACAAGCATCAGAAGATGGGCGACGAGACAGACAAGCTCTGCTGTGACAGACTCCGTCCTTTGTCGTCGGAAACCAGTGCTACATCTGATGTTTGACAAGGCAACAAAGAGAGATATAAATATCGACTTTGGCCGATGACTTCCAGGCATTGACCACTGGCAGGATTAGACTCTCGGGGTATGTCAATGTCCGCTTAAACTAGAGTGCTACTGGTGCTTGATGACCCACTAACGCATCACTAAAGTATTAGACTCACTCTGACCGACCATTCATCGTGCCCTTTCAAGCCAGTCGTCGCACTAACCCACCAGCAACCCCGCCGTCTCTTGGTTCAAAACCTGCCATTTCCCTTTGCGAAGAGTGCATTCAACTAAGGGAGAGTCCACGGATGCTGTTGCTTGCACTGGTGTCTTTTCTGGAGAGATCAACACCTGGTTATGATATCGACGGCGCATACCAAGCCCACATATCTGGCAACTAAAGAAGATGCCACTACGACGCTTGGATGAGAATCTGCGTACTCACGGTAAACAGGACGCAGAGGTCTACGTCTAAAACATATAATTTCTTCTTTGGTCAGAAGACCCTCTGAACGACAGCCAGATTATGCGCATGAGAATTGAATACTGAGGTAATGTAATATATCTTTCAGAAGGACTACCACAGATAACTGGCTGGTCAAATGTGTCCATGTGTCCCTCTCTTCCTTACCAGCAACCGGCAAGAAATATTGACTCAGTCTCGTCTCTGGCCTGATCAGTGCAAGCATACCGCCAACCATGTTACGCCTCGCGTGCATGAGCCCAAGCTCCATGGCGGATGCATAGAGCTAGTTACGCGCCATCCCCTGCGGACTCCGATCCATTCATATCTGTGCGTCAAAGTGGCGCTGCGCTTGTTCGATATCGTATGTTTGAACTGTCATCTGACTCGTCCAGTGGAGTGGCGTGCATACGGTCAATAAGAATTTAGCCCGAGGACCTTGGGGTCGGATAGCAGGGAGAGCGGGAGAAAGGGGCGTAGAGGCATGATGAGTTGTACAAGGGGCTGGAAAGTAGGACAGGCAGCAGCAGCGGATGGTTGTCGTGCCATTAGAAATGTCCGTTTACACCCCGCCCGGCTGGTTCCCGGTCGAGCCCTAGAAAAACCGCATCGTTGCCAGTGTATGGAGAACAATCCATCGCCCACGATGCGAGACAAGGCAAGGGCCAGCAGTGCCTGGCCAGGCTGGAGGAGGGCCGCAGGGCTAAGGCCCCGGGGTGGCCCGCAAGGTCCTCGCCCGCCGGGGTTATCTAATCGCCGCCGCGTGACATGATATCATGAAGTCCCCCCAAACTCTCTTTCTTCCCTCAGAAACTCTTTCTTTCATCCGCCAGTCTTTTCCCGTCTGGCCTCGTTTTGTGGCATCCCCCACTTTCTCCATCATGGCCGCCAGCAATGACCTTCGGGGCTGGGTCATGAGCGCCGTGTCGGGCGTGGGTAAGTCTACTTCTCCATCTTCGATTCCACTAGCTTATATAGTCCAGCCTGTGTCCTGGGGTCGTCGGTCATTTGCATCGATCTCATCTTGCGGCGGTTCTCTCGCCGCAAGAGCTTTCAGATCGTCCATAACAATGCTTTCTTGTCTGCCTCGCTCAGTCTGAGCGCGGGTGTCATGGTATCTCTTACCGGTTGTTCCAATGCCTCGAGCACTGCTAACCGCGCCAGCTCTTCACCTCCCTATACAGCATGCTCCCTACCTCCCACAGATACCTTATCCGGGCCGGGTTGTCTCCCTCTCTGGCGGCCTACATCCTGATCGGGCTCTTTCTGGCTGGCGTAGTTGTCATCCGTCTGGCGTCGGCACTTCTACATCGGTACATTCCGTCTCATGTCGTCGACTGTGCCCATACCCATGAGCCACACGCCGGCTCCGATCCTGAACATGGTGGCAAACCAGATGGGCATCTGCATGCACACGACTCGAATAACATGAGCGAACGGACTCCTCTTTTGACGCGGTCGTACAAGTCTTCCCCGGCCACTGTCACTCTCCCTACGATGGCAGACCCCGCCTTGTTGCACGAGGAATCGTTGCGTATCCGCCTGACACGCCGCCTCAGCCGTCTTGTTGTTGGAGTCAAACCCCATTGCGATGAAAATGGCCCTTGCTTTGGCTTTTCACAAGCCTGTGGGCACGAGTGCACCAAGACGCTCGAGGGCTCGGAAATTTCTGTCGCGGACGATGGCACCGTGCGCCCGCCCCTTCCGCACCCCCACAGCATCGCCGGACAAATCGACTCGACACGACCGGAGGATTTGGAGGCAGGCCTGCCGTCGCACAGCCTCCCTCATGAAGCGAGCTCATCCTCGTCCCGGACCGGACACCTTGATGACGAGGATGCGACGTCCGAGGATGGAACTAAGCCCGGAAATCCTCAACACCACCACCATGTGCCACAGAACGCCTTTCTGGCAATTGGCCTGCAGACGTCGATAGCCATCGCCCTGCATAAGCTGCCGGAGGGTTTTATCACCTATGCTACCAACCATGCAAGCCCGACTCTAGGACTCACCGTTTTCTTGGCTCTCTTCATCCACAACATCAGCGAGGGATTTGCCATGGCCCTGCCTCTGTACCTCGCCCTTCATTCGCGCGGCTGGGCCATGTTCTGGTCGAGCCTGCTAGGCGGCATCAGTCAACCGGCGGGCGCTGCCCTGGCCGCTCTGTGGATCTGGGGGGCTCGTCGTGCCAACGGCGATGAGGCCACCGGGCCGTCATGGGGCGTGTACGGTGGCATGTTTGCCGCCACAGCGGGGGTCATGGTCTCCGTTGCTTTGCAACTATACAGCGAGGGACTCACGCTGACTCACCACCGGGGAATGTGCACGGGGTTCGCTATTGGAGGAATGGTCCTGATGGGGCTCAGTTTTGCCCTTACCGCATGATCAGATGGCGTTCTTGTTCGGATCTTACAGATGCAGTGCATTTATTAGACAACAGAGTCAGAATAGCATTCCTGGCGTTAGGTTGTGATTATTAACGAGTAACGACATTGAATTATAGAGTGGCTGTAACCTATTAGTTAGTACCACAATCAGACATGCCATTCTTGCTAGGGTTCGATAGCGTTGTCGATCATGGTCTAGGCGGTTTGGGCTTGCCAATTAGACCAATGCTAATCAGTCCTCGTATGTCAGCAAATCCAAGCCATCCTGTCTGGCAATCATTCATGATATCATATAATGTACAGAAACTAGACCAACGCCAACGATGCATAAGAATACATCCACTACGCCTTCTTCGCCGCAGCCTCGCGTTCCCTCTTTCTGGCCAAATACCGCTCCTTCGCACTCATCACCTCGCCCTCCGTCTTGCGACTGCGACTCCGCTCCGCAATCTCCTTCTGCCGCGCCGCCTCGGCCTCTTCCTCCTGTCGCGCCCGCTCCTCCAACTGCGACGCTATCATCTCCGTCTGGCGCGCGCGCTGGCCACCCCGCTCGGCTTGCCGCTGAGCCCCGAACCTCGCCTGCACCGATGCCCGCGATGCCGCTGCCGCTGCCGCATCCTTCGGCGCGGCCTTTGGCTTCGGTGCAACATTCAACCCCGCCGACAACAACTGTCGCTTATCCACCACCTGACCCTCATCATTGACCGCAATATGCGCCCCCTTGGCATTCAACTCCGCCGCCACCTGTGCCTCCGACTTCTCCTTCTTCTTCTTCTCCTCCTCCTCCGCCCCCTCCTCCACCACTCCATCTTTCACCCGTTTCGCCGCCTCCTCCGCAGCCTTCACCACCGCCTCATGCCTCTCCTCCCCTCGCGACAACATATCCCGATAGAACCCCACCATCCCGGACCCCCCATTCTTCCTCCGCCGCTCCTCCTCCTCTTTCTCCCGTGCCTCCTCCTCCGCCTGCACCCGCCGCAACTCCTCCTGCTGCGCCTTATACGCCGCCGTCACGAACTTCTCCTTATCCGCAAACTCATCTCCCTCCGCCTCCCGCTCCTTCGCCAACAGCCGATCCCGCGCCCGCATCTGATCCCGCTTCCGCACCTCCGCGCTCTTCAACAACGACGTCATATACTTCGGCACTTCATTCCCCGCCCCTTTCTCCTCCGCCGCCGCCTTTTTCTTCCCGTCCGGTTTCGCATGTAGACTATCGTACACCGCATCGTAGGAATATATCGACGGATCGAGGGTCTCTGCCTCGGAGGCATGTTTCCGACTGCTATGCAGGGCCGACAAGTTCGTGTATTCCTTTTTCTGGCCGCTTGTAGACGACGGGTTTAATCCGTAGACTGTGGCATTCTCCCCCTTCCCAGCACCATCTTCCTCATCGTCATCATCCGCGAAAATCGACTTCTTACTCAACGGTTTCAAATTCGGTGGCTTCGATCCCGCCGTCGCTCCAGGCGCAAGCAGTTTGCGTTTCTGCGGTCGTGAGTCCCCTTCGCCTCCTTCGCGGTGGGTTTTCCCGGTGGTTGGGAAAGTGCTGGATTCTTCGATCCCGCCTATCGTCGAGATCTCAATCTCGTTGCCAGCATTATTGTTCTTGGTGGTGGAGGGAGATTCAGTGTCCGAGTCGGAATCGTCGAAGATGGTTTTCTTGCGTTTTTGGCCGCCAAGAGGGTTGAGTCCGGGCTTGGGTTTGGAGGTGGGTTTAGTGGGGAGGTTGAGGCCGTAGGATAGTGGGGGGGGCATTGTTTGTGTTCTGTGGGTTGTAGGGTAGGTATGGTATGAGGGAATGAGATTGAATGTGAGAGATGAACTAGAAAGATGGATGGAGTGGAAAGTATGATGCGCTCATCACGTGTCGATCTCATCTTATCACCACGTGACCCACCCATCTATCATCCCATCCAAACACCGCCCGAACAGTAGAATTACTGCCATGATTGCCCGCATCACCTCCGATCTCCCCCATTCCCCCATTCCCCCATTCCCCGTACCACTCACTCACTCACCCACTCACTTACTACACCCCTCACCCACCAAGACCCAACCGGAGACGTAAAACAAAAGAAAAAGCGAGGAAAATGTCCTACTACTTCACCATCCTCTCCCCCACCGACGTCCCCCTCTTCAACATCGCCTTCGGAACATCCAAATCCGGCGGCGATGGCATCGCCCGCTTCCGGTTCCCAGATACAGCGCAATACATGAACCAATTCATTATTCATTCGAGTTTAGATGTCGTCGAGGAGGCGCAGTGGATGAATGGGAATATGTAATTTCCCCCTTTTCCTTTTTCTTTTCCTTTTCCCTGGTTATGGTGGTGTCGGGGTTGCGGGTGCGGAGTGCGCATGGGCATGGGCAATTGGACCTGCATGGATAGTGTCGGATATGATAATGGTGATGGTGATGATCAATGCTAACGATTGTGCTGGAATAGGTATCTAAAACACATCGACACCTACCCACCCGCAAGCGCATATATATCCGCCTTTCTGACTCCCTCCGGAGCCAGATTCCTGCTTCTGCATCAACCGCCGCAATTACCTTCCAATAGTGCCGGGGCCGGGGGCTCGATGTCGGGTTCACTATTGCTGGGATCTGGTGGGAGCTCGTCGCGCGCGTCGGCGAGCTCGGTGGCGGCCAATCCCACGTCGCCGCAGACGGAGGAGGCCGTGCGGCAGTTCATGACGGAGGTGTATGAGAATTATGTCAAGACGGTGATGAGTCCGTTTTATCGACAGGGGATGGAGATTAAGAGTTCGGTGTTTCGGGGGAGGGTTACGGCGGCGGGGAGGAAGTGGTTATAATTTTCCCTTTTTCTTTTCCTTTTTGTTGTTATGGGGTTAGGCGTTAGTAAGGCATGGTTTGCGTATGATACCATGATGCATAATCCATAAGTTATTTCATATCTATCGTCATAATCTTGCCCAAACGACTCCCCTATCCGGCTCATTGCACCGCTAATGCGCAAGCCAATTTCGCCAAGTCAATGCTGAGGAAGAAAATCATAAATCGGAATCACACCCCCATCTGTGGAGCCAGCTTCTTCACAGTCACCGCTTTGAAGTTCTCGACCGCGTGCATCACATCCTCCAGCTTGGCCACTGCCCCAAAGATCCCGCCCTCCATCTTGACGGACTCGATCGTGCTCAGATGGAGAGATGGCTCGCTGGCCGCCGTGCCGTCCTCCAGAACCACACAGTCGAACCCCCGGTCGTTGGCCTCGCGCATCGTCGTCGCAACGCACACATCCGTCGTCACCCCCGTCAGCACCAGGTTCTTGATGCCGCGATTGCGGAGGATGAGTTCGAAATCCGTATGGGCGAATGCCCCCCGGCCTGGTTTATCGATCACGGGCTCGCCATGAATCGGGTATAGTTCGTCGACGGTGTCATGACCCACCTCGCCACGTATGAGCAGACGACCCAGCGGTCCCGGAGACCCAATCCCCATGCCTGCAGCATTATTCCGTGACCGGTACGCCTCTCTGCTCGACAGCGTCGACAGATCGGGCCGATGGCCTGGACAGCGTCAGCAATGCAAAAAAGGGGAAGGTCCAGCGTTGCTCGTACCTTCACGGGTGTGGTAGATGGGAAACCCCGCCGAGCGGAATGCACTCAGCAAGTGCTGCAGTTTCGGAATTAGTGCCTGATTAGCCGATATGTCGTAGCCCTGAATATCCATGTATCCACCCGGCACGCAGACTGTGTTGGCATCTCATTAGTAAAACTCGGCCAGGGACCCACACGACAGCCTGGGATAATACGCACAGTCCTTCTGCATGTCTATAATTACTAACGCCGTCGTATAGGGGGTCAGCGTCGCATCGTGCGGCCAATCGTAGGGCACCGCTGCGATCTGGCCCTTCCGGACCTTATGATGAGGGACCTGCCGAGGCTTCTCGACAATCGGGCCGTGGTTATGCGTGGCGTTCAGGACGGTCAGCGTCCAAATGCCAGGAGTTCCAGCTGCAACTAGCATGAACGGACAGTCCATCAACCGGGATGTTCGCCGCCGCTTCCTGGTCTCCTCCGTAAGACCGTTCCGCGGGCGATAGTGGCCACCGCGATCGCACCGTAGCCAAACCTTGGCCGTCCGCCCCGGTTTCTTTTCCGTGGGAGTGCTGGACGACTTGACTACAACATTGTATCCATGAGCCTTGCCGTGCGCCTGCACAGCGGCGAGGAGCGTCGCTCTTGAAGATCACCACGATGTGAGCCATCAGATCCACTATGGAGCCACAGCGGACCGGTCCGCTACCCGACAGGTGGCAAGGAGGGGGAGGAAGGGAACGGGCCATACTTACTTGTCAGGATAGGTGCCCTCCGGAGGCGGAAGCAATTGCATGGACATGTCCGGAATGTCCTGAAGATCACTGGGGGCATCCAGGTTCAGATCGGTGGGGTCCGCCATGGCGACAGATGGTGGGGGGTGGAGGGTCTAGTAGGGTGCATCAGCGTCATCGGGGAAGAAACTCACGACTCTCATTGGGAAAAGACACCCGAGCCAGGAAAATTAAGGACAGGGGACATCATGGAGAGCAGGAGGAAACGGGGGTTCAGGGAGTGCGTGGAAGCACCTTCCCCGGGGAGGATGGGGACCCGGGATAAAGTCGTGCGTGGATATAGCGTCAGGCCTGGGGTATGGCTGGAGCCCCGGCTGTGGCGGGATCTCCAGCAGCACTCTAGAGTACGGGGCACTAAGGGGAGGGAGACGTACCGGAGGAGGGGGTGTTGCACGCGGGAGTCAGTATCCCGACGGCAGGTGTTTGGGGGAGATCGGAGAAAGAGTTGAGAATCAGCACAGGAGCACTGGCTCCGGGAGGACAGGCGGCATGGCGGGAGGAAGTGAGAGGGATGGTGAGTGTCTGAGAGCCTCGCGTGTGGTCCTATCCGCCCACGTGACTCCTGGCCCGTGCCCCCATCCGCCCGGCTGTAGGCTTAACACAACAACGCCATGAACTTCCCGTCACCGCGCTCACCTACGATCATCTTCCATGCATTATATCCTTACCCCTTGTATCATTATCTGCACGGCAGCCCTCGCTGGTGCTTGCCTCTCGCTAACTACATTCACATAAAATAAGAAACGAAGAAAAAAAAGAATGAAAAACAACGAAAAGGAATGATTAACAACAAACACAACGAAAAGAAAAGAGAAACAAACAAACTGCCCCGTGTTCTGGAGTTCACTATCAACATCCACAATGAGGCGAAGAGTATCGTCATATCAGACCGGAAAAGAGATCCACGGCAAATCTACCTGGCCCCATCATCGCACCAGTTGATAGCTCAAGTTCACGGTTTCACTCGTAGGATGCAGTGCGCCCTGTCTCTGCAATGACCCACTTCCTAGTCGTCACGAGGAGTTGCAGGGGTCAACCGAAATTTCCAATAATCGTCTTCATCATCGATATGGTACGCACACAAGCCGAGCGGGTCGGGCTGCGGGGTGGGCGACTGAGATTGTGACGCCACTACCGGGTCCGGTGCATCGGGAACTAAAGCTATGCAATCAGCCTGGATCTTTTTCTGTCTGCCTGATGCCGAGAAGTCCGTCTAACATCCTGAGGGATGGTACCCCCGACATCCGGGGATCGGTATGCTCTTGGACATACTCACCATACTCATCAAAGTTGACCGTTTCCATTTCCATCCCTTCTGGCTGCATGTTCGTTTGCGCTTCTGCCTCAAAGTCTTCGGGCTGCGCCTCCTCTAGTTGAGCTGCTGCGGCTTGAGCTACTGCAGGTTGAGTTGCTGCCGGTTGAGTTGCTGCCGATTGAGTTGCTGCCGGTTGAGTTGCTGCCGGTTGAGTTGCTGCGGGCTGAGCTGCTGCAGGCTGAGTTGCTGTCGGTTGAGCTACTGCCGGTTGAGCTGTTGCGGAAGCTGCTGCCGGTTGGGCGTTGATGAATTCGACTCCGGTTTGACCGGCTGCTCGTAAGGCAGCCCGTAGCCCGCCGGCCGCCAACACATGGCTAGAGCATCTAGTGTCAGCTGGTGTCTTGACGCGGTCGGAGGACGGCCTACTCGCTGTCCGCAAACGTCCAATCCTGTCTCTCTGTCTTCTGGAACTCCTGCCTGTGGGAACAGTATGTTCCATGGTGGTAGAAGATACAGTTGGAGCAAGCCGCGCGATGCACGGACCTTCCACGGTACATAGGAACAATTACACAGCGTGCAAAGGGACCAAGTTTTTGGCAACGGGTGCATGGTGGAACCTCAACACCGCGTCGGTATAGCACCGCTGCCGTTGTCGCTTCCCTTGACTTAATCTTCCGCACCAAACTTACGCCATCCTTGGTGACCCATTCTATATCACGCACGACTTCCAAAAGCTTGATTACTTCTAGGTCAGCGGCGCTAAGATGAGGTCTGACAAAGTCTCGATTCTGAGTGGTGTCTTGTTCCTGATTCTCTGTTCCTTATGAGAAGGCCGATAATGAAGCACGGGAGGCATCCAACCTGTTTCAGGGTTTTGGTTTTGGTAGGCCTCCAACTGTGCAGCCTCAATCCTTCTGCGGACTTCTTCGATATCAATCGGCGCCATGATTTAAGCTGTCACTAGACTGGATACAAAGAAGCTCAGCAAAAAGTGGTGAAGCAGAGGCGGTATGCGGCCACAAACCGATTCAGAGAAGCTCGGCACTGAGATGATGACAGCAGATAACAAGCCAGGATTAGAGCAGCTGAGTACTGGGAGGTGATCGATACGCAGATGGGATATAGCCACGAGACAGGATTCAACAAAGCTTTTCAAGGAGGTTGACAAGACGCATAAACAGCACTAGGGGTATTGCAAATGGCTTATTGCTCAACACCCTACTCTGCTTTGTCGTTTTACCAAGCAGCGTTAGCATGGGATCTGAAATCACAGTCACGACTGTTCCGTGTTGTCGTGGGTCATGACAGGAACAGTGAATATTGCACATTAAGTCTGGCCATGGTCGTCCCGGCGAATTCTGAACAATAGACTGCCTGTAATGGCTGGCCTAGCAGCTGCGACTTTTCCGGTACACTCTGGTCTTCTACATGCTCGTCGATTAAGCAACAGACTGAGTCGGCTCATATTTCATCACGGTCTTGCGCCAGTGCACACTGTATATTCGATGTGATGGAAGGGAAGCATTCATGCAGCTGGTTTCCATCAGGAGACTGCTTTACGATGCCAGAGGTTGATGGAACCAGAACACGGGCTGTGAATTATACTTTGAACTACTCTACCCTCAATCAAACCATATCAAAATGCCGTTACCCTGCCTTGCAGAGTTGTAGTCTTCCGACTCCGTCCTCTCCCAGCCACCAAATAGAAGCATCTACAAGCACCAGCCACTAATTTCCTTCCTTCGTTCAACAAGCCAATCCTCCACCTCAATTCAACATCCCATCTAACAGACTGCTATCCCCAAATACCAACAGACAGAGTATATGCACCAGCTCCTCCAGTGCTGCTGATCAAACCAATGTGCTGTGTGGTGCATTACTACTCCACCTGCGTATGGAACAGCGGAACCTCCCTATGAAAACAAGGTATCTTGCCCGGCGTTTGCCACCACACTCTCTACTGTCCAACTCCTTTCTACCTTCACTTTTTTGTTACCTTCTCTCGTTTCTCCTTCTTGTCCATTTGATACTTCCCCTTGGCTTTCTACAACTGACATGTTCGTCCGATCGTATGATTATGTCATGTAAGTTAGTCTCCCTTTCGCTCTGGATTCTGTGACTGATTAACTATCTTCGCTACTATGTTTGACACAGACGGTGTTCTAGCAGGATCATACTATCCTTGGTATTATCTGAAAACAAATTCAATGGACGTGCTATGCTGTATGCCATATCCTATGGCAGTGTTGTCAATGCATATCCCCTATATTCAGAAGAGACAAGGTAGTTGATACTAATCTACCCAGTCGAGCTAGTCAACGCACATCCTCCACTCAACACTCTCATAACTCTTCCCACTATTCACCACTCACATCCCCGAATTCCCTCGCAGTATCCGATATCCACCTCTGGTATATGATTCTTGTTAAGCACCCTGAGTAATGAGCGTGGCATCTAGTCCACGATATGCATAGTTCCCCGCCAGTCCATGGGTTATCGGATCATGAGAGGGATTGTATCTTGCGCAGGGAAAACGGCTCCAGCTTCATCATGTTGGATAGTTGACAAGCATGTAGGATTTGGTTAATTGTTTGTACGGGATGGAAACGGTAAGATGATGCTTATGAGGCAGTTAGATTGGCGCAGCGATGTGGTTGTGGTCTTGGTCGAATATATATTTGGGGCTGCTCAGCTTCAGTTGATGCGTTAAGGCACCAAGATTGGGATTGGAATCGGGGTTTGATATCACGCACACGGTGATAATTTTAGATATTTATAAGGTATCATGGGGCCTACTTTAATATAATGGGAATGTTTATCAGATCCTACTCGCACCGGGGTAACCTCTTGGGCGAGGAGTTGCATCTCCGTCGCTATAGGATTCGACCTGAGACGCCCTTGGCCAATCGCGCATTATATTTCCGGGCCATCATACTATGGATACCTTGGTCCATTTCTCTTGAGCAACTCTCCCGACTAGTCCGCCGTAGGCCTACATCTATCCGTCCCCGGCCATATGGAGCCAACCCAGAGCATACCCTTGATACATACGGTCGGTGGGATTTTATAACTCTCTTGAATTACGGAGTACGGCAAGGACAGTCTTTAATGCTTCCCAGTATTCTGGACTCGCCGCGTGTACGGCTCGCGAGCAGTCGAGAACACATCCGCGCATGAGCTCGGAATGTATGATACCATGCCCCTGGACCATTGCAGGACCGCTCAAGCGGGAATGGTACTGACGCCAATGATTTCCGCATTGGCATCACTGTGGCTTCATACCCATCCTGGAAGATCGCATGAATCTGAGACCGATGGTCGCTCAACGCAAGGGGGATACTCGATGGCTATGTTGATCTATTGTTCGTGACTAGGGTTGTCTTGGTCCGAAACACTGGTAGCATCGTGGCAAGCGCGGACAGGCCATATCAGAGAAGTTTATGCTGGGGGCCAAGAATGGGGCCGTTTACTATCAGATTCTATCGTCGTTGGACCACGGGGTACAGCAGCTCCGGTATGTCGCCGTCGGCTATCGACGCATGGGTTAGAGGTCCAACCGGCCACGATCGCCTGGCAAAGCGGGGTGTTTCCCCTTCTCTCTGTCATTGGAGAGGAAAGGCCGGGCTTGATCTGAAGTTGAAGGTGACGCTTAGAGACGAAAACTGATACAGGCGTATTCGGACGCTGTTCCCGGCACCCGCATGGCGGGCTTTCGTCATAATTGACATGGCGACGCTTGCAGGTTACACAACCACGATGCCACTTTTGATGGGAGCGGCAAGAGTCATGACCCATATCTAAGTTCAAGAGAGAGCGGTCGATGGGGTTGATTTGTAGGAGGTGAGATTACGCTCACGGTCACGAGCCAGATCCTAGCAGAGCCGAGAGTGGCTTAGGGCGACTGATGACCATCTGATTGGTGTTCAGACTTCTCCTGCAGCCGACCAGCAGCAAACCAATCGTCGCGCTCGACTGGAGAGAGACTCGCTGGATGAGGTGGTCATCTGGATGGACACGCACTAGTTGATGGGTTGGAGGTTTGGATACACCCACTGGGGTGATGCTCAAAATTGGGAAAATATATAGTGGGCAGTTACATGGGGCGGATAGGCAATACTATCATTCGAGTGACTAAAAACGCTCCCAAGAAGAGGGCATATCGACACACCGGTACTTTATAGGACGTGAGGAGACAGCGTGACGGTGACTCGAGATGCAGGAACGGTGGTTGCCGTGTTGCCCAGGCAGACGAATGTTGATGTTTGGATGGATTGCTTTGATTGATGTTCCAACCTCAGGCCGCAACCGGCAAGGGCGTAAGTTACCCGTCACGACCGGTAAAAGCGCTTGTTGACCCCGTGCCGCTGCTGCCATTGGCTGATTGGATCTTGCGCCCGTCCCGTCCGCTCTGGATAGCATCACCATCCATCTACCCAACTACCCTCCCCCTCAAAACAACTCCCCTTCCCCTCTTCCCCCTCCCCCAGCCCTTTCCCTCTGTGAGGGAGTCCTCTAAGGTAAGTCAATCTACGGAGACCAGAACGGTCTCGGCTACGTGTCAGCGAACCGGGGTTGCACCGTCGCTTCGTCTCTTCTGCCCTCCGTTCACGATCTCTCATCGTCGCAATCGTTCCCGGCTGCCTGCGACACCGCCTCGGCCCCTCCGCCATCACCACCAGTTCACGCACGGTTGTTGTGACTGCCCGCGTGTACATGCCCTCGACCCTGGCGTCCCCTTCTCATCGCCCGACCGATCCATAAACCCCCGTTGGGTGTCCTCCCCCCTTCTCCCGGGGTCTTTCTGACGTGGTCCCCTGGAGCGTGCGTTCCGAACGCCGGTTTCGTCTGCTGGTGCGCGAATCATGCCGTCCGCCGACGATTCTTCGTCCGCCCGCCCCAACGGGACCAGTTCGCGGTCCGACCAGCTCGCCTACTACAAAGCGCAATATGAACAGCTGGAAGCCGAATTGGCGGAATTCCAGGCTTCCAGCCGCGAACTCGAGGCGGAGCTGGAGAAGGACATCGAGGCGTCGGAGAAGCGGGAGCGGGTCTTGAAGGAGAAATTGGAAAACCTGAGATACGAGGTCGATGAATGGAAGGTGAGCCTCACGAGTTCCTGATCCCTCGTGCTCCCTCGTGGGAGGCTTGGAGATCTCCAAGGTTAACGGACCCCCTTGCAGTCCAAGTTCAAACAGTCCAAGTCCGAGGCCAACGCGGCTCAGAATGCGCTGCAAAAGGAGATCACCACGTTGCGAGACACCAGTAGAACGCTGCAGTTGAAACTACGTGACACTGAAGTGGCGAACGATGATTATGAACGCCAGGCCCGCCACACCACTTCGTCCCTGGAGGATATGGAGCAGAAATACAACATGGCTATTGAGCGCAGCGTCCTGCTTGAGGAGGAGGTCAAGGCCGGCGAGAAAGAGCGCGAGGCCCTCCGGATCCAGAACCAGCGTCTCCGGGATGAGTTATCGGAGCAGAAGCTGGACAACGAGATCCTCCAGGAGAAGCTTCGCCACGAACAGTACGGCGGTCGCCGCAAGAAGCCGACGCCTTTGTACCGCACTTCGTCCTCAACACCCCAGGCTCCAGAGATATTTGATCGCTCCCCTGGAACGTCCACAGTGTCCTCCCCCTTATTTGTCACCACCCCGATGAAGTCCTCCCTCATGGCGGTCACAATGCCTCCCCCGTCGCCGCCGATGTCTGAGACATCGAGCAGCCTGACAACCAACATCATGACCAACATGCGCAAGTCCGTCCATACAAGTTCCGGGTTTCCGCACAAGAAAGCCGCGGGATCCGAGTCCACGATGGGTTCCCGGTCGATGTATGACTCGAGATCGTCGAAGTCTTCCCGGTCTCGTGCCACGGCCAATGCGCACAGTAGCACCCGGTCGGTGTCTACGGTCGCGTCCCGCACGACCTTACCCACGAGTCTGCCCATGACGTTGCCCTCGTTCAGCAATTCTCCGTCTTTCAACACTGAAAGCCCGCAAACCAAACTGCCCAAGTCGGGTTCGTTGTACCAGATCCGGGGCCTCATCGGCAAGATGCAGAAGCTGGAAGAACGGGTCCAGTCGGCCAAGTCCAAGCTGCCTCCACCCTCCGACTCGCCATCCCGGACCTCATCGCGCTCCGGCTCGATCTCCGTGAATGGTGGGAGCCCTGTTCCTTCCACCATCACCATGCGCCGCAACTCTCGCAAGCGGTTGAGTGGCAGTAGCTTTAGTTCGTCGGTCCGTGATAATGATGGCACCTCGTCATCGGTTTCCAACAACCGACCGTCATTTGGCACCCGCAATGGAGGCGACAGCCGACCCAGCAGCCGCACCAGTTACTCCAGCTCCTTCAGCCAAAGCACGCACCCCAGCATTGCGCCCTCGACACGCCCGGAAAGCCGTCAGAGCCGGACCAAGACGCCCTTGGGACATTATTCGATGAACCCCACGACGGAGAGCCGGCGGCCGCGGTCCTCGCTGAGCAACCCTTCTGCGCAGAACGGTGCCGTAAACGGCATGTCCAACATTGACGAAGATGTGGATCAAGACCTGGCGTTCCGCATGTCCGTTCGAGCCAAGATCAGCGAGGCGCGCGAGACCCGCTTCCCCTTGTTCTCGAAGCCTCCTAACGGGCTGAAGAAACGCACCCCCAGCGGCATCTCGGCCATTCCCGCGCCGCGAACTCTGCGGACCAGCACTGGCGGCACCAAGGCCACGCCTGACTCCAAGTCCAACGGTGACCTGGGCGAGACCTTTTAACCTTGTTCTTTCTGCTTTTGTCTTCTCTTCTTTCGAATACCCCTCTTTCCTCCCCGAATGACAAACTCAAGGGGCTTTACGATGTTCACGGCCGGTACGCAGGTGTTGATTCGCTTCTTTTTATTCCCCATTGCCCCTTCATCCCCTCATTTGCATCCATTTTTCCTAATTGATTTGCTCCATTCGACATTGTTCCATTTACATCGACTACCCCTGGCAAGTTATTTATTGAAGAACCCCCCTGAGGGGTCGGTTCATTTGGCGGACTTGTTTAGACAGGTTCATAGACATCTGCATTTGCAATATCCCCCGGTGGTGGCTCCCTGCATGGGAGACCACCGGGCCTGTACAGTCAGTGGCGGCGGAGTTGGAATTGTGACCGGTTGACTGGCGCATGGAATGTTTCGAGCCGGGAGGGTTGCCTCCACGGCGTCCAAGCTGTGACTCAGCACTGTTTCTTTGATGTATGCTGTCTCTGTGTATTCAGTGAGCTGCCTAGGCGTTAAATACCCAGTGACTTGATATGGTTCAGCGTAGACTAGTTGTAGCTGTCCAGAGGGCGACTACAATGGTATTTATCCAGCGCCGTAATGTAATCCGTGCAAGGGGAGAAAGGTGCTAAGGAACGAGTCCGGCATGTGATTGAGGACACAACCTACAGCCTCCCACCGGTATCCCATCATCAGCCCCTCAAAACCTACGACTCACGCAGCACGCAGCAAGATCACCAACACAAACCCAACCCTTCATCCTAGCCTAATATAACTACTATAACCATCACTAAACCTACCCCTCCATACCCAGTCCAAAATATATTAGATAATCCTTCCTCGGCCCATTCGGCGTTTATATACCCTCCCCCTCCCCTCCCCTTCCCTCCCTACCGGCGCATTTCTCACACCCCCGAAACCAGCCCCGAAACTCAGCGACCTCTCCGGCCCGAACCCGCGCGCACGCATCCATCACCTCTGACGATCTAAAATCTGACCGGCGGTGATGGTAACTGGTAGATCGATTAGGGTTTGGGTTTTGGTTTTGCTCGGGCGTCGGGGGCCGGAAGTTGACCAGGAAACTCCGAACCTCCGAGTCGGTGCGGATCCTGCAGGATTGAGGGATTCGTATTGGGGTTTATGCAGGTTTGGGATGGGATGGGATTTTGGTGCCGGAGGGATGGGTTAGGTTGGGTTCGGCTCGGGGGGATGAGGGAGGAGGTATTTGCGCGGGGGCCAGTGGTGGGTGTTTGAATACGGGGTTGAGATTGTGGTTTGGGGGTATCGTATGGTTTTGTTTTTTGTACTCCGTAGATCTGGGGACTAAGTACTAGTTACTAGTTAAGAGGATGTGCTGATGTAAGGTGGTGCGATCTACTCAGTAGAGTAGATCATTGTTACTGCATCTGCTGGTGATGATGAAGAACATGGTGCCTTTTGATGTGGTTGACCAAGGGATGTGATGGTTTATATATGTCATTAGTAGTCATGGTGTCTGCTATTTTTGTAGTGTTGCTCATCTTGACATCAATCAGTGAGTTACTGGTAGGCTGGCATATACTTTGTAGGCAGAGTAGATACTTCACTCTCAGCTATACAATCTTCATAGATATCAGAACTTCACTGGATGATCGATTGTTCAGTGAACCATACTGACTATTATCACTTCGTTTACTTGTTGAAGATACCATCTCTTTTATCACATACATCATCACCGTACATCATGGAGACCACTGGAATCAAGACCAGATTTCTCATCCTGTCCGATACGCACAGCATGGACCTCCCCTCCCAATACATCAACCACCCCAACACCGACGTCGTAATCCACTGTGGCGATCTGACTGAATCATCCAAACTACAGGAATACCGCACCGCCATCCAACTGCTGCAGAAGATCCCCGCCTCCCTCAAGCTAGTCATCGCCGGGAACCACGACATCAGCCTGGACGAGCCCTGCTTCCGGCAGAAAGTGGCGGATGCAAGATCGTTGAACATCGACCCACGCCAGATCCAAGCGGAATTCGGCGACTACGGGGAAGCCCGACGCCTATTCGACGAAGCAGCCGGCATCAGCTTCCTGACCGATTTGCCCTAGCGAACGGGGCCTCCCTAACCGTCTACGCCAGTCCCTGCACACCAGTGGACGTGGTCCTCACCCATGGCCCGCCTAGAGGCGTCCTGGACATCCCGTTCTCGGGCTATCGGGCCGGTTGTGCTCGTTTGTTCGAGGCCGTCGCTCGGTCTCGGCCTCGTTTGCATTGCTTTGGCCATATCCACGAGGCCTGGGGCGCCAAGTTGGTGACTTGGCGCAAGACGGTCAGTGAGACGCCGACACTCATTTTGCGGATATCGATCATGAGAAGTCGTCGGTCATTGCGAGGCTGCCTACGATGGCTCCCGCCCATGCCCAGGCTGATCTAGCTGTGCAGGATGCCAAGGTCAATGGGAGTTCCTTTTGCTGTCACACGAGTCATTGTGCCGGTGATCCGAATCCACTTCAACGTGGCCTGCAGACACTGTTTGTAAATGCCGCGGTGGAAGGCTCGGAGGAGGTTCCGATCCAGTTGCCTTGGCTGGTTGATATTGAGTTGGCTCCTGCGTGAGCCTTGCGGTGAGGGTGGTTCTACTGGGACGTATACTGTGGGACTGATTTCGACATAGTGTTGATGGATGGGGTTGGTGATTTATTAATCCCCGATTGACCGCTACTCATAGTCTGATAGGTGAACAATGGGACTGTCCGTGACATTTATGATGTGTTCTCGAGACACGAGGTTGAAGTTCGTAGAATTCCGCACGAGCATCTTGCCCAGACCGGGTTAGCGGCTGGCAGATTGATGAGAGCGGGCGTCCCGTGATTTCCCACGATCCCCAACGGGATGACAACTCCGCAGGTCCTCATTGGTTCCGAGCGGTGGGCCGTCAACATAGGCTCAAAGAGGTTAGTGTAGGGATGGAAGAGCCGTGGAGCGGTGGACACCTCAGGAGTCCAGGACAGGCCAGTCGGGCACCGCGGTGGACCTTCAGCAACAGGAACCGGGATATGCTTCAGAGTCTGGAAGTCTCGAAGTATGGAAGAGAGACTAATGGGGCCGGCTCATTGGGCTAGAGAATGAGCATGGATGGAGGTACGGTACCACCGCCATACCAATGAGCGGAATACCGTACATTCGGATGAGCGGGTCTGTGAAGAAACCACCCTCATGGGTATCTGCCATTGTCGTCCCCAGTGTAGTCAAAATTAATTAAATCGATCCCTATCACCAGGTGATCGAATTACATCTACCACTCCTGGCAGATCGGACCGGACTGGCGGATGTTCTGGCTACTTTCTACTTAAGAATAGATTACCGGCTCCCATAGAAGCTTGTATTATGCCGACCTGATCTGTTTTCGCGCTCCGAGCCCCGGAGTATCTCTTCAGCCCGGACTCGACGCCCCGACCCTGCCAAAAGGCACCTTTTGCCCTTCACGGTAGGGACAGCCATTGACAGCTCATGACGGCCCGACTAGGCTGATCGCTAGAAAGGGAGGGGTCACTCGGTGTTCCCGGCCACGGTGAAGATCGTCCTGGCTTTCTGTTGGCATCGGGGAATTCCCCCAACTAGCGAGCTGGGTTCAACTATCTACTATCTGGAAGGCGCCTGTGCACGTTACCCCGTAGTGCCTTGCTTGGTTGCACTCTCCCCCATCCTCGGTACTTGCGTCCTGGCTGACATGGCTTTGCAGCGAGACCGCCAATGATCACGATTTAGTTCCATCCCTTTTCCAGGTTTCGTAGAGCGAAAACCCGCATGGAAGGGGGTGATAGAGAGCATCCAGAGGCTGGAACCATGGACCGGGTCGGAGGCTGATTGGCCTGGAGCGGATTGTTGACCCGACAAATGCTGGGGACCGGCCAGACAAAAGTGGTGGGAAGCCCGACGTCATGGGCCCAACAAGCCGTACCGCTAGTTGGGGTTGCTGCAGTTTGCTGGCGCCCTCCCGGCAATAGTCACCGTAGTTGCGATCCCCTCGCGCTGGGCCGCGCTGGCTGACTGGGCGCGGACCATCGGGGCCCATTCTGTTCTATAGTCTTACGGCTACCGGAGCAAGAAAACTAGTGCCTCTCTTTGCTTTTTTGGATTTTCGATTTCTCCAATTTTTATTTTTTTTCTTCGCTTTTTTCGGGGGCGTGAACATCCTCCGCGTAATTTTCCGTTCTGTACATTTACCGGTTCGAGACATTATACGCTTCGTCCAGTCTGGCTTGGCCCTGACAAGTAAAGTAAACCAGCTCCAATTTTCTCCTCATCCTCCCTTTAATTCTCTCCTCTTCCCTTCCCTTCTTCTCACTCGACCTCTTTTTCTCTTCTTCCCCCTCTCCCCCATTACTTTCTTCCAGTGCCATTGCTTGCCTGCCTGGCTGCTCCAAGGCTGTCCCAGTAAGTCCCCGGCCCTCCCCCCCCCACCTCCAATTCATGCCATAAATTCCCTCGTGCTGGATCGTGCCGGCCGCTTCAATCCAATTCCCAGACCTGCTGTCCGCCTTGCTTGAGCTGACTCTTATCTCCCTCGCTCTTACTCAGCCCGAGGAATCGAATCCTTCGTGTCTCATCTGCCCTCCCCCTCATTCTCCTCCGATCGCCATTCCTACTTAGATCTTGGAGGGCTTAATCCTGTCTCATTCAATTCCATTCCACCACTTTTCCTCCGACGCCTTACGGACAACCATCGCGCCCTCTCCCTCCCATTCTTCCTCTGCGCCGCTTCTTTCACACCTAGTCCCCCTCGCCTCGAATAAACCGGCTTCATCTCTCGCATGGGAATTCTATAATACCTAATATTCAATCTTGCACCATGAGCGCTCCCACCGGAACCACCAGCTCGCGAGCTGCGAACATCCCTTCACATTTCATCGGCGGCAACCACCTTGATGCCGCACCGCCCAGCAGCGTCAAGGACTTCGTGGCCAGCCACGAAGGTCACTCCGTCATCAGTTCGGTGAGTTTGGCGGGGAACGAATGAGTTGGCCGGGCACGCGCAGGAGCAGCAATCTAACGGGCTGGCAGGTTCTGATCGCCAACAACGGTATTGCGGCCGTCAAGGAGATCCGCTCCGTCCGAAAATGGGCTTATGAAACCTTTGGCAACGAGCGTGCCATCCAGTTCACAGTGATGGCCACGCCAGAAGATCTGCAGGCCAATGCGGATTACATCCGTATGGCGGACCAATATGTTGAGGTACGTGGTCATGCTGTACAACCAATGACCCCCGAACCAGGTCCGTTAACAGAAATTTCAGGTCCCGGGAGGCACGAATAACAACAACTACGCCAACGTTGACCTGATCGTCGATGTCGCCGAGCGTATGGACGTTCACGCCGTGTGGGCTGGTTGGGGTCACGCCTCTGAAAACCCCCGGTTACCCGAATCCTTGGCCGCATCTCCCAAGAAGATTATCTTCATTGGTCCCCCCGCCTCGGCCATGCGCTCGCTCGGTGACAAGATCTCCTCGACGATCGTCGCTCAGCATGCTGGTGTCCCTTGTATCCCCTGGTCTGGAACGGGTGTGGATGATGTGAAGGTCGACGAGCATGGCATCGTTACTGTCGATGACGAGGTCTACAACCGGGGTTGTACCTTCTCGCCCCAGGAGGGTCTGGAGAAGGCCAAGGAGATTGGCTTCCCTGTCATGATCAAGGCCTCCGAGGGTGGTGGTGGTAAGGGTATTCGTAAGGTTGAGCGGGAGGAGGACTTCGTCAGCCTGTACAATGCCGCTGCCAACGAAATCCCCGGTTCCCCGATCTTCATCATGAAGCTCGCCGGTAACGCCCGTCACTTGGAAGTCCAACTGCTGGCGGATCAGTACGGTAACAACATCTCCCTCTTCGGTCGTGATTGTTCCGTGCAGCGTCGTCACCAGAAGATCATCGAAGAGGCTCCCGTCACCATCGCCAAGCCGGTGACCTTCCAGGCTATGGAGCGCGCCGCTGTGAGCCTGGGTCGCCTGGTCGGCTACGTGTCTGCCGGTACCGTCGAGTACCTGTACTCACACGCCGATGACAAGTTCTACTTCCTGGAACTGAACCCCCGTCTTCAGGTCGAGCACCCGACTACGGAGATGGTTTCGGGAGTCAACCTCCCTGCCGCCCAGCTTCAGATTGCCATGGGTATTCCCCTTCACCGTATCCGTGACATCCGTCTGCTCTACGGTGTTGATCCCAACACCTCCTCGGAGATCGACTTCGACTTCTCCAGCGAGGAGAGCTTCCAGACCCAGCGGCGCCCTCAGCCCAAGGGACACACCACTGCGTGCCGTATCACTTCCGAAGACCCGGGCGAGGGTTTCAAGCCTTCCAGCGGTACCATGCACGAGCTGAACTTCCGCAGTTCCTCCAATGTGTGGGGTTACTTCTCTGTCGGTACGTCCGGTGGTATCCACAGCTTCTCGGACAGTCAGTTCGGTCACATCTTCGCCTACGGTGAGAACCGTTCTGCCTCCCGGAAGCACATGGTCATCGCCTTGAAGGAACTGAGCATTCGTGGTGATTTCCGCACCACTGTCGAGTACCTGATCAAGCTCTTGGAGACCCCCGCGTTCGAAGACAACACGATTACCACCGGGTGGCTGGACCAGCTGATTTCCAACAAGCTGACAGCTGAGCGCCCTGACACCATCGTGGCGGTCCTGTGTGGAGCTGTCACCAAGGCTCACCAGGCCAGCGAGGCCGGTGTGGAAGAATACCGCAAGGGACTGGAGAAGGGTCAGGTACCCTCCAAGGACGTCTTGAAGACGGTCTTCCCTGTGGACTTCATCTATGAAGGCCAGCGGTACAAGTTCACCGCCACCCGTGCCGGTCTCGACAGCTACCACCTCTTCATCAACGGCTCCAAGTGCTCCGTGGGTGTGCGTGCCCTGGCCGATGGTGGTCTGCTCGTTCTCCTGAACGGCCGCAGTCACAACGTCTACTGGAAGGAGGAGCCTGCCGCCACTCGTCTCAGTGTGGATGGTAAGACCTGCCTGCTCGAGCAGGAGAACGACCCCACTCAGCTGCGTACGCCCTCTCCTGGTAAGCTCGTGAAGTTCACTGTGGAGAACGGTGAGCACGTCAAGGCGGGCCAGCCCTTCGCTGAGGTCGAGGTGATGAAGATGTACATGCCCCTGATCGCCCAGGAAGACGGTATCGTCCAGCTCATTAAGCAGCCTGGCGCTACCCTGGAGGCCGGTGACATTCTCGGTATCCTTGCTCTCGATGATCCGTCTCGCGTGAAACACGCTCAGCCGTTCACCGGTCAGCTTCCGGAGCTCGGCCCCCCTCAGGTTGTCGGTAACAAGCCTCCCCAGAGATTCTTCCTCCTGCACAGCATCCTGGAGAACATCTTGAAGGGATACGACAACCAGGTCATCATGAATGCCACCCTGAAGGAGCTGGTCGATGTCCTCCGTGACCCCGATCTTCCTTACGGCGAGTGGAACGCTCAGTCTTCCGCTCTGCACTCTCGTATGCCCCAGAAGCTCGACAGCCAGCTCCAGAACGTCGTCGACCGTGCCCGGGCTCGCAAGACTGAGTTCCCTGCCAAGCAGCTGCAGAAGACCGTTCAGCGTTTCATCGAAGAGAATGTCAGCCCTGCCGATGCCGAAATCCTCAAGACCACCCTTCTTCCTCTGACTGAGGTCATCAACAAGTACATTGATGGCTTGAAGGTCCACGAGTTCAATGTCTTCATTGGTCTCCTGGAACAGTACTATGAGGTCGAGAAGCTCTTCGGTGGCCGCGACGAAGATGCCATCTTGAAGCTCCGTGAGGAGAACAAGGATGACATTGGCAGCGTTGTTCAGACCGTCCTGTCCCACAGCCGCATTGGCGCGAAGAACAACCTCATTCTCGCCATCTTGGCCATGTACCGCCCCAACCAGCCTGCTGTTGGCAATGTCGCCAAGTACTTCAAGCCCATCCTGAAGAAGCTGACCGAGTTCGAGTCTCGCGCTGCCGCCAAGGTCACTCTCAAGGCCCGTGAGCTTCTCATCCAGTGCGCTCTCCCATCCCTGGAGGAGCGTCTGTCTCAGATGGAACTCATCCTGCGTTCGTCGGTCGTCGAGTCTCGCTACGGTGAGACCGGCTGGGACCACCGTGAGCCTGATATCTCGGTGCTGAAGGAGGTGGTGGACTCCAAGTACACTGTCTTCGATGTGCTGCCGCGTTTCTTCGTTCACCAGGATGTCTGGGTCACGCTCGCTGCTCTCGAGGTCTACGTGCGCCGCGCCTACCGTGCCTACACTCTGAAGGGCATCCAGTACACCCAGGCTGGAGAGACCCCTCTCCTTTCTTGGGACTTCACCCTTGACAAGCTCGGACAGCCTGAGTTTGGCCCCATCACCACCACTGACCCGTCGACCCCCAGCACCCCTACCGCTGAGGCGAACCCCTTCAAGCGGATCAACTCCATCAGTGACATGTCCTACTTTGTTGGTGACGGCAGCGAGCAGATGAGAAAGGGTGTTATCATGCCTGTTCAGTACCTGGAGGACGCTGAGGAGTACCTGCCCAGAGCTTTGGAGGCGTTCCCTCGGGCCGGTTCCAAGAAGAGACCCAGCGACAACGGCCTCCTTGCTAACTTGGAGGGCAAGCGTCGCCCTGCTCCTCGGGTTGAGAACGAGAGCGAGCTAACTGGTGTTCTCAACATCGCCATCCGCGATGTCGAGGACCTCGATGACAACCAGATTGTCACTCAGATCAACGGCATGCTTGCTGACCTCAAGGAAGAGCTGCTCGCTCGTCGCATCCGCCGGGTCACCTTCATCTGTGGCAAGAACGGTATCTACCCCGGATACTTCACCTTCAGGGGCCCCAACTACGATGAGGATGAGAGTATCCGTCACAACGAGCCTGCCCTTGCCTTCCAGCTGGAACTCGGCCGTCTGTCCAAGTTCAAGATCAAGCCCGTTTTCACGGAGAACCGCAACATTCACGTCTACGAGGCCATTGGAAAGGGTCCCGAGAACGACAAGGCTGTGGACAAGCGTTACTTCGTCCGTGCGGTCGTGCGTCCGGGTCGCCTCCGTGATGATATCCCCACTGCGGAGTACCTGATTTCGGAGGCGGATCGTCTTATGAACGACATTCTGGACGCTCTGGAGATTATCGGCAACAACAACTCCGATCTGAACCACATCTTCATCAACTTCTCGCCCGTGTTCAATCTGCAGCCGAAGGATGTCGAGGAGGCCCTGAACGGTTTCCTCGAGCGTTTCGGTCGCCGCCTCTGGAGACTGCGTGTCACTGGTGCCGAAATCCGTATCTTGTGCACCGACCCCGTCACCGGCCTTCCTTACCCTCTGCGTGTGATCATCACCAACACCTACGGATTCATCATCCAGGTTGAGCTCTACATCGAGAAGAAGACGGAGAAGGGCGAATGGATCTTCCACAGCATCGACGGTGGCAGCAACAAGCTTGGCTCCATGCACTTGCGCCCGGTCTCCACGCCTTACCCTACCAAGGAATGGCTGCAGCCCAAGCGCTACAAGGCCCACCTGATGGGTACTCAGTACGTGTATGATTTCCCTGAGCTCTTCAGACAGGCCTTCCAGAACAGCTGGACCAAGGCGATTGCCAAGATCCCCTCCCTGGGTGAGCAGCGCCCTCCTGTTGGCGAATGCATCGACTACAGCGAGCTTGTGCTGGACGATACCGACAACTTGGTCGAGATCTCTCGTGGCCCCGGTACCAACACTCACGGTATGGTGGGTTGGATCGTCACCGCCCGCACCCCTGAGTACCCCCGTGGCAGACGGTTCATCATTGTTGCCAACGACATCACCTTCCAGATCGGTTCTTTCGGTCCTCAGGAAGACAAGTTCTTCCACAAGTGTACCGAGCTGGCCAGGAAGCTGGGCATTCCTCGCATCTACCTTTCTGCCAACTCTGGTGCTCGTATCGGTATGGCCGATGAGCTGATTCCTTACTTCTCGGTTGCCTGGAACGATGCCGAGAAGCCCGAGGCCGGCTTCAAGTACCTGTACTTCACTCCCGAGGTCAAGCAGAAGCTGGATGCCAGCAAGAAGAAGGAGGTCATCACCGAGCTGATCCATGAAGAGGGTGAAGAACGCCACAAGATCACCACCGTTATTGGTGCCAAGGACGGCTTGGGTGTCGAGTGTCTGAAGGGCTCCGGTCTTATTGCCGGTGCTACCTCCAAGGCTTACGAAGACATCTTCACCATCACCCTGGTGACTTGCCGTTCCGTCGGTATCGGTGCCTACCTTGTCCGTCTCGGACAGAGAGCCATCCAGGTCGAGGGCCAGCCCATCATTCTCACTGGTGCTCCGGCTATCAACAAGCTGCTGGGCCGCGAGGTCTACACCTCCAACCTGCAGCTTGGTGGCACCCAGATCATGTACAGAAACGGTGTGTCCCACATGACTGCTACCGATGACTTCGAAGGTGTGCAGAAGATTGTGGAATGGATGTCCTTTGTTCCCGACAGGAAGGGATCCCCGATCCCCATCCGCCCCTGGTCCGACACTTGGGACCGCGATGTGGCCTACTACCCGCCCAACAAGCAGCCCTACGATCCCCGCTGGCTCATTGCCGGTAAGGAAGACGAAGATGGCTTCCTGCCTGGTCTGTTCGACACGGGCTCTTTCGAGGAGGCTCTCGGTGGATGGGCTCGTACCGTGGTTGTCGGTCGTGCCAGACTTGGCGGTATCCCCATTGGTGTGATTGCTGTTGAGACCCGCTCGGTCGAGAATGTCACCCCTGCCGACCCTGCTAACCCCGACTCCATGGAGATGGTCAGCACCGAGGCTGGTGGTGTGTGGTACCCCAACTCCGCCTTCAAGACCGCCCAGGCCCTCCGTGATTTCAACAACGGTGAGCAGCTTCCTGTGATGATCCTGGCCAACTGGAGAGGTTTCTCTGGTGGACAGCGTGACATGTACAACGAGGTCCTCAAGTACGGTTCCTACATCGTCGATGCTCTCGTCAAGTACGAGCAGCCCATCTTCATCTACATCCCGCCTTACGGTGAACTCCGTGGTGGATCCTGGGTCGTCGTCGATCCCACGATCAACCCCGACCAGATGGAGATGTACGCCGATGAGGAGTCCCGCGGTGGTGTCCTCGAGCCCGAGGGTATCGTCAACATCAAGTACCGCCGTGACAAGCAGCTCGACACCATGGCTCGTCTGGATGCCACTTACGGCGAGCTCCGCCGCTCCCTTGAGGACACATCCCTCTCCAAGGACCAGCTGTCTGAGATCAAGGCCAAGATGGCTGCCCGCGAGGAGCAGCTTCTGCCCGTCTACCTGCAGATCGCCCTTCAGTTTGCTGATCTCCACGACCGCGCTGGCCGCATGGAGGCCAAGAACACCATCCGCCAGCCTCTCACCTGGAAGAACGCCCGCCGCTTCTTCTACTGGCGTCTCCGCCGTCGTCTCAGCGAGGAGCTCATTGTCAAGCGCATGGTTACTGCGGCTCCTAACCCTGCTGCTCGCGACGGCACGGTTGCTCTCCCTGCTGCTTCCAGCGCCCCGACCGCCACCGAGTCCCCTCGCGCTGTGCACCTCCGCACTCTGCACGGTTGGACCGGATTCCTCGACGAGGAACTGGAGCACGACGACCGCCGCGTCGCCACCTGGTACGAGGAGAACAAGAAGGCCATCCAGGCCAAGGTGGACTCCCTCAAGGTCGAGAGCGTGGCCACCGAAGTCGCCCAGATGCTTGTCAACAACCGCGACGGTGCCCTGAAGGGTGTGCAGCAGGTTCTCAGCGTCCTCCCCGTGGAAGAGAAGGAGGCTGTTCTCAAGTTCCTGTCTTCCAACTAGAGGGTGCTCTCTCCACCTTCCATCTTCTCTTCTTCTGTTTTTCCCTTCTCACAAGACCATTTTATATAACCTTTTGCGCTTCCCTTGGGCCTCGGGAGCGATTCTCCTATCACACTTTTGGTTCTGTTTCTTGTGTTCGGGTCAATGGGTACACGGATTGATTGGCTTGGTCGGTTTTACTGTTGATTGAGTCATGCGATGCATATAACGTCGGTTATGATACGGCTGGGGTTTTGTTGTTGTCCTCGTTAAGCATGGTTTGTGGTTTACTGTATCTTAGTTGGTATTTTTCTTTTTCTTGCAATGCAATGCAAACAAGTAAGTCATTTCAGAACAGTTCGTCTCGTATCAGTATTCGTATCTATCAATACATGGTAACAAATGGATAACGATAAAACCTGCCTAACGGAGGCACTTGCCTCAGGCAGAGATCTATGGAGGACAGAGGTAATGATTACGCAGAGAGAGGTATATAAGTAGTAGGGCTAGCGAGGAGAGTACAGCCACCTAGTTGAAACTCAAGATCATTGGATATATAGGAGCCCGCAAATTGTGTATATCAAAGACAACTAATCAACACCCATCGCCGCCATGGGAATCAGAGCAAAACACCGAAAACAACAGATATACAAAAGGGGGTATTATGTTTTATCCACTCGTTCAAAACCAAAAAAATCATCATAGGAAACGTCATAGGGAGGGTATATGGGTAGTGGGTGGGTGATTAAGATGATGGTGAGGAAAAAGTGGTTGCTGAGGTAGGAGCAAAGGGAGGTCACATGCACTCAGTCTGTGCAAGCAGATTAGGCAAGTTGTCTTTCTAGACTCCTTGGGGGTGTCAGGATCGGTGGCATGCCCCGGTATGGGGTTGAGACCTCTCGTAGACCGCGACTGGTGTTGACGGGGCCCATGTTTGGGTCATCGAGGCGGAGCTGGTTGATGTCCACGGGTAGTTGGCCGCGGAGTGGGCGAGGGGTGTGGTATGCTGGGTTTTGGTACCGGGGGTCCATTGATGGTGCTGGGCGAGGGTGCATGGAGTAGGCGCGAGAGGATGATTCGTCAGGATTGCCGGGGAGACCGATGTAGTTGGCATTCAGGGAGCGAGCGATATCTTCGAGGAGAATTTCCATCGGGGCGATGTAGGCGGTGCGGGTCTTGTCTGACCATGCCAGGACGTGGCCGCACACTCGACCGCTTGACTTCTCGAAAACCCATGCTCCTGAGTCGCCGGGGACTATTGTACAAGATAAGCGTTAGCGAGAAAGTTCTTAAAGTGAAGGTATACCATAGCAGACGAGTCAGACTCACTTACCTCCAAAGTTCCCGTCAACACAGAAGCTGGTCGAGAAGGTCTGGCGGCCATGCAATTTGACTAACGTCATCGCCTTGGATATCTGGCCTGTTTGTAGGCCGCTGGTTCGACCACAGCAATGAACATGGAGGCCACCGAGATCTTCCAACCGGCAGATATTGTTAAGATAGATCGTCTCCGGCTGTGGCATGCGCGCCGGCTCGCCGCGTCTTTGCCGGTATGGATCTCGCCTCGCTAAAGCCGTCCTGTCGTAGACGATGTTGCGCCCATCGATGCGCTCGTCGTTGATCTTGATTAGTGCCCAGTCAATCTCGTGCCTTATCCCCTTTCGCGTCCAGCGCCGAACGCCGGATGATGCGTGCACGTATCCAAAGGAGTGAGAGGCAAGATGCTCATCGTCGCGGTCTTCAGGGCATGGGAAAAAGTTCTCATCGACATCATCGATAGCTGGCTGTGTCACGTACAGCAAGGGCTCGTCTCCGGGGTCAATCCCAGGAGTGTCGCCTATGGATGCTGCATCCTCATCGTCATAGGCCTCATCATTCTGACCGTCTTCATCGGAGGAATAGCCTTCGGAAAGATAAGAGTCCTCGTCTAGACTTGGCGATAGCGACACATCGTCCCCATCCTCGTCTTCTGAAACCTCAAATTCGAGATCCGATGCAGGGTCCGACGGCCCGGCGTCAGACCAGGAGTACATGAACTCTGTGTTTTGAGGTATGGGTGTATCGCGGGGCCAATTCCCAGCGGACCGTAAAGGGCCATGAGTATCTTGGTCATCTGCGTCTTCCTGGTCACTCGGTGACTCCAGCATATGATGCACGGTCATGCCATACGGCATGCCATCGACTAGGATAGCCCCGCCATAAGAGACTGGAGGTAGGTGCTCTTCATTCATGAAGGCGCCTATCGAGGCGCCGCAGAGAGGCCGTTCCTGATAGCAAGGATTCGGATCGTGCTGGACAGATGACGGTGCTCTTGCATTGTCAGGTCCTGTCATCGCCGGCCTGCGGCGTTTCTTCCGTGGGACTTTAGATCTCTGGACGTCTCCGCGAAGGACCAGAAGATCCCAGTCCTCGCTGTCGAGAACAAAGTACTTCTTCAAAGCCGCCCGAACCTTCTTTGCACTCGCACAAGTGACACAGACTGTCGTCCTGGCGTTGTCGACAGTGTCACCAGTCATCATAAGTGTAACACTGCATGATTCGGATGAGTCCTTCAAGATTTTCTGTAGGAGCTTTCTCAAACGCGGTAGCATCTGGAAATTCCACTTATTGAGATGGTCTTGTGGTATCTCCAGGCCCGAGAGCTTTTTGCAGGTTCGCTTTCGCACTCTGCGCTCCTCCACGCTAATTTTATCCCGCAGCATCTTCATCTCAGGAGTAGGTAGCGTGGCAATCGGTTCTTGGAATGGCACGATAGGATCCATGGTGTCCTTATACTCACGAGGGGCTTCCTTCATAGGCGCTGGTTCCAGACCGGGAACAAGAGCAAGGGGAAGGCAGTCGTCCAGCTCTTCAGCACCCGGGGCAGAGAACATGTCTATCCTGCAGCAGGACCAGACGATCTTGCACATCGTGTAGAGGAAATTCATCGAGAACGAAAAGATACTGTCGGGCGCTGAGAGGTCCAGGACCGGGTAATGGAAAGCTTGAGGAACACGAAGGTTGAGGTCGTCGAACGGCTGCGTCGACAGATGGAAGTTTGGCGCATCTAAGCACAGCTGCACCACATGTAGATACGCACTGCCGCACTTAGGGCCCAGTCTCTGCAAGTAGACATTCTCAATCCTTTGCTTGAACATCGAATTGTTGTACTTCATCTTCCATATACGGCTGATGGGATGCCATAGCCCGATCTCGAGGAGCACAAGGCCAAGTGAATAAAGGTCATAGGCCCAGGCAGCATCGTCGTCCATTGATCGCTTGTCATCCGGGTGACGATACATGCTGGAAGATAGTGGCTCGGGCGACGGCCCATTTCCAGAGAATTGGGCAAACGATGTCAGGTATGGTCGTCGCAGGTTCTCTGTTAGTCCAACTTCATCGCTGTTCGAGTTCGTTAATCCGGGGAAGATAAGGACGTTGCTGCTGTTGATATTCCCGTGCACAAGGTTCTGGCTTCTCAGCTGCAGAACCGCCATCAAAAGGTCATAAGCCAAGCGGAAGCGCGTTTCGAGATTAGGGATATGATAGTCGTCGCCGGCCTGGAAGAGAGAGACGAGTGGCTTAGGCTTCAGCCCGTTCAGCAGATCCGACGGATTGCGAAGGAACGGGAAGTAATCCACAGGCATTTGATAGACGAAAGCATACCGGGAATTCGGCATGTCAATATAATAACCCAGAAACTTCAACAGCCCCAGATGGGACACACGCGCATTCTGGACGAGCTGCTCAAGTGTTCGCTGCACATGATCCAGTCGTTTCTTCTCCGGCGTAGTGGCAGACCCTGATGCTTCCAGTACCATGGGAGTGTAGTCCACTAGGATAGTTGCCATCGAATCTTTCGTGCCGTGTAGGAAAGGCGACGCCGAGGTCCTCATACGACCAATGGCCCGAGAGTTGATGGAAGCCGCTACCTGCTCATACGGAGGCGGGCTGTTGTCATGAGAAGAGCCGGACAGTTGTAGTGCCGAGCGATCGATGGCATACGTGTCTAGCGATAAGGAAATCTTGCCAAATGGCATCTTCTCGGACCGGGCCTGGCTGAAGGCCGTGGCATTGCGTGTGGGAGACGGCGCCAGATCAAAGGGACTCTGCTGCGCCGGATATCTCTGCGTACTGTCGAAAGATGTGCCATGATAGGCTTTGGAGTCCAGGATGGAATAATCGGTGGTTGCGCCGGGCCGGGATCGGCCCTTTGTGGCTGACTGCCCACCAGCAGTCATACTTGCACTCATATTGCGTCGAGAGCGTGAAAGGTCGTAGAGAGTGTCGATGCAGGCCTCAAGGTCCGCCAGCAGAGTCTTGGAGCGACTGATCTCCTCACTGGTCCAGTGAGACTTGACTGGAAGGTTGCTGAGGCCACCCTTGGGAGAGTCGGCACTAGCGCCCTTCGGAGGCAGATCGGAGCCGCCGTGCTGGATACGCTCCGCCTCATTGAGAAGTACTTGGATCGAGGACATGACACTCGCAACCACATCACTGTAGCCGGCTTGCGTGATCGATTCGTCGATATCATTGGGCTGGGCGGCACTGGCATCGCTCCAGTCTAGGCCCCAGGCTAGCAGGCGGTCCCTTTGCGTCTTGAAACTTCGATGTAGCGTTACCAATTCGGGATCATCAACGGCAATGGAGGCCGTGGTGACACTCTCACAAGAGGTCTTAGTGTCTGTGTACATTTTGGTGAGCCGCCGTTGGAGGTAGGCACCCCCATGATGGCGGAGGACGGACATCTTGGCGCGCAGAGTCCGGGGGTATCAAATAGCGTGGGCGGCGGAGAGGGGGGAAGGGAAGGTTAAACTTCAGAACATGGCAGGATAGAGAGGGTCCTAGCAGGGACGAGACATGGTCTGAGGTGGTGGTTCGAGAGGCGGGGTGGGGAGAGGGAGGGTTGCTACCTCTAGTGCAACATAGAAGAGAGATGGATAGTAAGTAGGAGTAAGTCAGTAGCGAGAGGAGGCCGTCGGGCAGATGAGTGAGAAACACTAAGAATAAGAATAAGAATAGGTGCAGGTGGGAATCCTGTTGCCTAACCAATAGGGAGTGGCGAGTGCCCGCAAAGCCTCACCCGCGCCAAGCCACAGTTCGCAAGCATCGGGTCTGCCACTAACCCCTTCGAGCTTGGCGTCTTCCCCGGCAGGCAGCCGTCATTTGGCCGATCCACCCCGGCGGGTCCTGATTGGCCCGCGCGCTCATAACCGGCACGTGCACGAGGGGTACTGTGCAGGATGACTAACCATGGGGCGGGTGCGCCCGCCAATTTCCTGCAGAGACGTCAGGATGAAAAGGTCAGGTCCTTACCAAGGGCCAGGCAGGCATCATGCCTACCAATGGCCTCCGAAAGACGGTGCCTAACTCCGATCGACAGGACCCTCCACTCCTGGTGGATCGCGATGCTATCCATCAATCATGTGTCTCATGGGACCCACTTTTAAGACTACGAGGGTTACACAGTTATATCCACCCCATCGTGACTTTTCTTTTAGATACCAGTACAAAGGTCACATCCATACATCCGGAGTTGGACCCCCAGGCAGCCATCATACAGGCAGAGATCTGGTCATGTTTCGATGACATGAATTGGGAAAAGTAGTCTATAGAAAAGTCGCAATTGATTTACATAGAATCAAAAGATAAATCAATGGAAAAACAGACAGCTCCTTCGTCTTTCATCAGGCAACTGCAGTCAATCAACCGGTAATCACCCGCCGAGGCACACCGACATCGCGCGCCCGCTTCTCGCGGAAGTTATGTAGGCGTTCCCCGATCAAGTAGACATCATCGCGGATATTGACTCGCCAGATCTCCACCTGACGCCGTACCAAATAGACGAGCCAGCCTATTAGACTTATCACCAAAGTTGCGGGGTAGGCATAGCGGTAGACCTTGGACTGAACGTCAGGAGTGGAGTAGAACACTGTGGTGTTCACGGTGAATCCAATGGATAAGGGCAGCACTACCGCGAGCGTGGCAAGCAGGATCACCGGTAACAGGATAGCCCGGGTCGTAATTTTCGCATTAGGCTTCAACCAACCATCCCGGAAGATAGCATTCAGTGCTGCCGCCGGGCGGGACGCAGAATTCCACAAAACAAATTTGACGGCCATTTGGACATAAAGCACGCCAAGCGTCCAGTCCTGGATGAAATGGATGACATGGGCCTGGGGTCCTCCGACGTATGTGTGCACAGGGACCAAGATATACAGTTCCATGATCAGGGCAAACAAAGACGGCAGGAGGATGGAGAAGGAGGCGAGAACGTAAACAAGCTGAGCAACATTGAGAAGAGCGTGTACGGCCCCAACACACGCCTCCCGAGGGGACTGCAGGTAAGGGTTCAGGCGGTCTTGCGCCGCGGCAACGAATGGGCGACAATAGTACAGGACATAGGCAGCCGCGCCGACGATGGACATGCCTGTGGAGAAGGCATACACGTCGTTTAGCGGCCGGTGAGGGAAGGTTGACAACATTACCTTCCGGCCAATGACCAGAGGAACAACTGTGATGCCTACACCGGTAGCAGCAGCAAACACCCAGATCAACAGGATGAAGGCTGCAATGCGGGTCCTGAAGCGTGGAGGGATGTAGACCTTGGTGAAGTTCTCATTGGCCCGACCATGGAGACCCTGGTCCAGATCCGGAGCTCCATCGACCCGCTGGTTGGACTCTGTGACCTCAAGGAACACTTGACTTCCCTTGGGTATGCGGACCTGGTCCGAAGCAGGAGCCCGGACGAATCGCCCATCGCGGGTGAAGTACACATTGGACTGCTTCTCGCTCGCGTCATTTTGCTGCTGCCCATCGGCAACTGGGTGTTCTGGATCCCCTTTAGCGGCCGACAAGACGTCCCACCAGGTCCGACGGACATGGTATCCCTCTTCATCAGGCCGCCTGTCGCCGAAGAAAAAGTCGCTCAGACGCAAGAACCGTGCGCACTTGTGGAACCACCAGTCATAGAGATTGTGTAGACCGTCCGATGGCTTGATTGACTGGAGTGCAAGCGGCATAACAAAGTTGTAGAATAACAGATCCACGGGGAATTCCAAGACAGGAATAGTAGCGGACCAGTGGACGGGAAGCACATCATCGAAGGCGTAGTATAGCCCCCACACAACACCCCCAAGACAAACGATGACTAGGGCTCCATATACAAGGGCACTGAATGCAATCTTGCGCAGCTGAGTGGTGATGTTGCGCTCTAAGACATCTCGCACCGGATGGAATGTCGGATCGTCTGGATCGCGAATAAAGTCTGGCGATGCAAGTTAGCAAAAGCTCGAGGAAGGCTACAGGTAGGATTGGGACCTACAGAGAACACCGCTCCTCATTATCTTCCTGCACATGGACACGAAAAGGGCAAAGTGGAACATGTAACACGTGCCAATGAACCAGTGCACAAAAAGAGATGTAAGAGGAGACGAGGAGGTGAATTCGAGACGCGATGCAACCGTGGCATTTTCAAACAGGGGCAACAGCGCAATATCAAGCAACGAGCCGCAATATAGCGGGAACACTATCATTTCAATCCCGATGATGAGAATTACCTTCATAACTCCGCCGGCTTGATGAAGGATGTCGGCAATAATGCCCTCAACCCTCTGTCCACGCTCGCCACCAGAAAGCAGGGTGGTGAAACGCAAGTACAGGAGCCCAAGGGCCGATGCAAGGAGGTAGCCCATAAAGATGGCAATGACACGATCCTTCGTATCCCACACAGCTAGATCATAACTCACGGTGATGCCCGCCGAAGCTGGACCGCTCAAACTGGTGCTAAACCAGTTCGTGCCGTTAGATGAGTATAGTATTTGATGACCAAACTCGTACACCTGATCGCGCGCCTGCATTAGCACCATGGTAATGTCGCCAAGTCCACCCTCGAGTGAAAGGGCGCCCGCGATCCCGTGGGACATAATCCGAAGAGGGAAGTCGTGTAGGATGAATTTGCCAGCTGCCAAAGTCGACTGAGCCAAGGCCGCAATGCGCGCTTGATGGATCTTAAGAGCTTGATGGGATAGAACGGAGAACATGGGGACGTCGGATTCATGAAAGACGAAGAAGGCCTGAAGAGCATTCCGTAATCGGTGACCGCTGGCATCGATCAGGGACAACGAGGCACTGGTTACAGACTTGGTCTGCGGAATCCAGTCTCCCAAAGGAACAAAGGCACCGAAAGGGCTCAGCAGCACTTTGCAAATGAGACTAATCCAGTACATGACATAGCCCAAGCTGCCAATGAGAGTGTCCAGCGTAACGTCTGCAAAAACAGATATAGCAGTCATTGGGACACCGAAGATCAGTTGTACCGGATTTGCTAGTAGCACAAGTGCAATTTTGCCCCATAGATAGGGGAGCCAGATTCCAATGGCCACAGTGAACGATATCAGGAGTGCGCTGAACACCCCATTCTGCAAAAGACCGAAGATGGGGCCCTGCATGCCAATAAGCTCGAGTATTCCCTCCAAATCATCCCCATCCTCTACGGCATCGACATCGTTTGGATCAACACCGAATTCAGGGGCAATTGCTTGATTGTTTTGTCCATCGTCATTGGCAAGTCGTCTGTTGTTCTGTATGGGAACGAATGGCGCTTCCAAAGCTGGGTCGTCAACCAAATGTTCGTCATCGTCCTGTGCACGATCTTGGCCTTGATCGGCAGGATTGATATCAGCCCAAAACCAATCGAACAGTCTAGCGATCAGATTCTTCGGAGGAACAGCAGCTTGATCATGTCGCACTGTCGACATGGCATTCTGTGAAGGCCCTTCAGTATTTGATGTGGCGACATGGGAGGAAGCAGAAGCACCGTGGGCTTGGTCCGACTGCATGTCACTGTCGCCGGAAGGTACCGAGTCAGATAGCATTTGAAAATCGCCCGAAGCACGTAGTGTGGCATCGATATTATCATGAGCAGACTCGCGCTGTGGCTGATCAGAATCCATGCCAGTTCCAAGCGGTTGGGACACGGTCGCGATGTCCCAGGGCTGACGAACTGCGGCGGATGATGAGGGTTCCAGAAACGCCGATCGGGTCGGACCCGGTACATTCTCCATCTCCGTATGATCGTCGAGTGAATCAGAACTAGCGGCCTCTTGGAGGGGAGACTCACGCCTCCAAGAAGCGCGCATGTTATCGTTTCGTTGAAGCTTCGTCATTGCCGTGACGATCCAGCCTAGCTCATCCTGGCGGCCTTCCTCCCGCACTAGTCTCAAGACCTGCTCAGGATCGCCATTGCCACGCGCCCAGAGGTCCCTGAATGTCTCCACACCCGGCCAAACCTGACTGCCGTGAGAAGTCGACTGTTCCAGAGACAACGGATTCAAATCATCCTCGCTCTCACTATTGTGCCGGAAAAAGTGCGATGTACTAGGTCCTTGGGTATCCGAGTCGCTAGAACTAGCCGAGCTACCATCGCGGAACGACGATTCCAGGCGAAATGGATCGGATCCGGCCGAAGAACCAAGCTGCACTTCATCCGCACGACCGGCGATATCTTCAACATGTTCATGAGTACCTTCATCGCGAGGTATATCTGCTGGTTGGGGCGCACGTAGCTCCGGCTGGTTATCCTCAGGGCGCTGATTTGGACGGTTGTTAGCAATCAATTGGACCGCTGCTTCCCGCTCACCCTCTGCAATGTTGGCCATCGGCTGCTGTTGGACAACCCACTCCCGGATGAGGAAGATCAAGATGAAAGAGATGACCACCAAGAGAGTTATTAACTGTCCTTCTAAGGTGTCAATGAGGATGTTGTTTATTGTGGGTGATGGCGTTAAGGAATTAAGGAACTCCACGTCCGAGAGCCAGGATGGGCGTCGTGGCTTGTATGATGCTGTCGTCACGTTTGAAGGCCTGATGCCCATGGAGCTGGTACCTGACATCGCCGGAAAGAACAGGGCAGAAAAGGACTTTTTAATGACCGTGAGAAGTATCGGCTCGCCGGAGGAGAAACTAAACATGGATGATACTGGTGATTGCACTGTTGACACATCGGGTGCTCCTGTTGATGCAGTGGCAGCTGCTCCCGCGTTCATGGAAGGAGTTCCATTTGCTACAGCCTGGGCTAGAAGATCGGAAGACGGTTGCTGGGAAGCATCCGCTCCAGACCAACGGCCATCCGCAAGCCAGAAGAGCGCTCTCCAAATAGCTCTCATGGACCACGGTAACCACCCAAGCCAGACGAACGCGACCAGAACGAAACGCAGCCATGTGACGACAGTACGAAAGCTATGGATGAGGAGCTGCCGGAGGAAAAGCGGAGCTGGAAGGCTTTGGGGCATATTAGGATCGTATAGCTTTGTAAAGCGGAAGGGCGTTTTGCAGAGCTCGCAATGCTTCTTCTGGGAATGGGACAACCACTCTACCAAGCATGCTTGATGAACGAACTTAATACTTCCGCTACATTTGCACGGGTAGAATAGTTGCTCCTCCTCGGTACCCTCGCCGCGACATATGCGACAAGTGTCCGGTTCTTCATATTCCCTTTCCTTCCCTTTGTAGTTCGTTTGGTAGGCCGGGTCATTCATTAGGTCCGGGAAGGATGTTGAGCCGGCATAATCGCGAGCTCTGCCCTCGGGGAACTCCATATTCTTTAACCAACGTCAAGTCGACGAGATTGTCGTCTTCAGTGATGGCAATCAGGTATCATGTTCGGAGGCGTCTAGAATCGCGAACAGGTGCGTGAGCCAACGAAGTAAGTGGATGGAACGAAGATGGGGTCTGTTGAGTCAGTACAATCCCCCAACACGTCGTTCGGATAACGCTGCGAAGAGAGAAAATACACGTCAGTGTCCAACCATAAGCCGACTACTGCCAGAGGCGTCTGTGGCAAGTGGTTCAGCAGGCCGGTGAGAGGGCGAAGAAGAACAAGCCAAGGCTGTGGTTGATCCCCCCCAAGAGGCGCTGAGTCAGCTCAATGCCCTCCGCGGTGAGGTCATGTGACAATACGGTACGGGTACCAATAGGGGCGGTGGGGGGGCCGGTCGGTGGCGGCGAGATTGCCGATCAGGGCGTCACGTCCTGTAAGGCTGTAAGACGGGCAGGCAGACGAGGTGCCACCGAGGGACCGATGACCTCACTGCTCAGGGTGCCTTGAATCCAACATGCATCCTGTGGTTGATCGACAGCGGAAGAGCGCACCCAACAGTTATCCTTTAATATCGATTGTATACAAAGACGAGAGCGGGAGTTGGCGTCATCTTGTCCCCGCTTCGCTCCGATTCGAATATATTCTCACTTCTTCCCTTCTGGCAGGGGACGGATTGCCGGCCACTACCACCCACCACCCGCTCACCCCTCTAAAAGTCGGCCACGCCAAGACGGGGCCGGGAGTTTGTCGTCGCGTGCGCTTCGAGGATTCAGCTTGTGATCCCGGAAAAACGTTGCTGGGTTCTACCATTCCCGAATTATCTAGCTGGGCGCTTTGGTTTTTCCGGCTGTCGGAATGCGCAGGCGATGATCTAGACCCCATATACTCGACTTATTTATCTACCATCTTGGTCGAATTGGACACGCGACGCGAGTGACAGTTTTCTCCCCGCCGAACTCAAAAAGCGAGCGGCACTCCCGTTCACCCCGGGGGAGGATCGATGATGGCCATCCCGGATAACAGCAATATCCCGGAGGGAGGCGATCGGGTGGCTGGATCCAGAAACAGTGGACTCAAGTCAAGCAGGCGAAGCACTCTTCGGTGGACGGTTGGGTTGATAGTGCGGTAAGTCTTCCTCCAAGTCTAGGCCGAGATCTCCGGTCCAGAGCGCTTCGGTTTTCGAAGTGTCCTAACCTGGCGACCAAATCGACAGTCTATGCATCTGGTATGCACTTATCACACCGTTCCTGCGCTGCCCCTCCCAATTATCCGACTTGACGGATTCCTCACCGCGAGTTTGCAGACCGTACCTGGTTGCTCGCTCTTACATCGAACCTCATGTGACTCCGTATTACAATGCTTATGGCGCGCCGTACGTCGAGGCAGCGCGCCCGTACGTCCTGGTCCTCAACGAGAAAGTCTATGCGCCAACTTCGCGCGTTGTCAAGCATGGATACGAGAAATATGGGGCGCCCGCTATGGATAAAGCGCATCTCTATGGTCAGCAACAGTGGGAGATCAACGTTGTGCCCCATTTGCAATCCGCTACAGACCGGGTAAACGACCTGTACCAGTCTCAAATACAACCCCACGTAGAACGTGTCGAGGCGTCCTTGTCGCCGTCTTTCCAAAAAGTCAACGGCGCGGTGAAGTCTGCGTATGGAGACTACCTTCTCCCCTTTGGCGCCAAGTACAGGCCGTTCATTGGCAAGACTTATACGTCGGGGCAAGAGATGCTTACAACTACAGTCCTGCCTTACGCGCAAAATACTTGGTCTACAGCTATCTATTTCATCCATAGCTCACTGTGGCCCAGAGTCACCGGGCTTTACTGGGAGAACGTGGAACCCCAGTTGGTCAAGATCGGGGAGAGACTGGCGAGTTATCGCGAGGAGAAGAGACTACGACAAGCTGTGGAGGAAGTCGAAACGTAAGTTGCAGTGCCGTAAGCATGCGCCTCATCTGTTAACCTTTCATCAGTTGTGTATCTGAGCAGCCATCTTCTTCCATCACTGCACCAAAAGTGACTGAAGCAAAAGACTTGACTTCATCTTCTAAAACGGAAGAAATCACAATGCAGCAGACACTGTCGCCTACGGAACAAGCAGCAAAAGCGCGCGATAGCGTTGAGTCGGATCTGCGCACCTGGCAACAAAAGTTTGCTGTTGCTGCAGACAAGGGACTTGAGGACCTTGAAGAGCGATTGCAAGAGGTCGTCGATATGTTCATGACAAGCGGAGCAAGAACGCACGGAGAAAGCTTAACCACCGCATTGGAGGCTGTCGTTGACAATGAGTTGATAGCTCTCAAGCATCATATCAACAACCTGGCAGAGTCTTTGCCAACCGAAGACGCGCCCCGGGAGGAAGAGGCTGCAAAGGACGAGCTCTTGGGGAACGTCAAAGAAGCCGCCGTGTCCATTCGAGACCGTGCCCACGCGCTTCGAGAATGGCGTGGTTCGTTTGAACGGGAGTTAACCTACCGTGTTTCTCGCGCAGTGAACTCTACTCTCGACGTGTTGGATAGTGTCCGTGACCTCGGACTTCAAGAGGTAGGTATGCGTTGGGCTTGGATGGATGGAATCACGTACAAAGATTGGGCGAGGTATCATGCGTTAAAAGCACAGTTCGAGGACTGGAAAGACGAGTTCCTTGATTTTGGTCTGCAACATGAAAGGCTTGAGGAAGCGAGGGCAGTAGCGGACGAAATCCTCTCTTACGGAATGGATATTGCTGAAGCTGCCGCCAAGGAGCTTGCCAGACTAAGGAATGTTGGTAACTGGAAGATCGCTGCCAGGGAAGTGAGCGACAACTTCGACACCAGATCTGATGATCCGCCTCCGCGGCCTAAGCCTATCCCTGCTCCTGAAAATACCGTGGATGAGGACGCAGCAACAGAGGGGGTGGCAGACACTGAGCTTCCAGACGAGACTACCTTTGAATTTGATGCGACCTCCCAGACTGAGAGCGGCGAGGAGGGTGGTGACGATGAAAGCATGGCAGCAGATGAGGAACATACTTCGGCCCAGCCCATCGGTGAGACGTCCTCGGGTTATACCTCGTCAACACCCCCGGACGATAGTGAAAACGATATGGCTGCGGAACAAAATGCCGATGAGACTAGCGACCTGAAGAAGGCACCATGGGGAGTAGCTGCAGCAGATGTCCCCGATCAAAGCATGCCCACTACCCAGCAGACCCCTATTCATGTGTCTTCAGCAAGAGAAAAGCCAGGGGTTTCCGGCCATGACTTGTCTTCCGAGCAGGAAGCTGTCGCGAATCTCATCTCAGGGCTGCTGGTCGGTAAAGACGCCGCCTACGCCGAAGACATCATGAACAAACTGCACTCAATCTACGGAACACCACGACCGACTTCCGAACCTTCTGTCACATCTTATGGCGTCCTTGAGCACGATGGTGTTGATGCAGATGCCCCAGATGCACCCATCCCAGTTCTCGAAGATCAATCTTCGCCTTCCCTACACGACACCGATGTCGATGATGCATCAGGCACAGCAAGCGATGTGTTCAGTATTGCTGACGACAACGAACAGCCGTCAAGTTCCGAGGACATCGAGGTCGAAGTAGAGGTCGAAATCGACTCTACTGTGGACACTGCCGAGTCGCACTCGGCAATTCTAGATGCCACTGCCAGCAGCCTTGTGTCCGAGGCTACTGAAACCATTCTGCCGGAACTAACTCAGTCTGTCGAAGACGATGCCGAGGAGGAGTTGTAATGGCAACTCGAGGAGAGAAGCAGGTTAGCTGTTGCTTGACAATTTGCTATTATGATTGATATCCCAACTTTTGTTATTCGCTTGATCACTATCTCAGATCGATCATGACCTCGATTATTCCCCACATAGTTCCTACGATTGTACGTCACGACATATCATTTTCATTTGATGACACTTTTGCCCCTGTCCTGGTGATCGTTCCACCGTTTCCGTTTCCTACCTTACTCTGTACTATTTGCCCTTTCTGGAACGGCTGGCCGAGATTAATCGCTTTGGGTCCTGTGGCGCCGACCTCTTCGTATTAGCGGCGTTGGTTTCACGTCCAATTTACAAACGGGAATCTTTTGCCTCCACGCTCAAGGCGGTATACTGAACCCCGCTCTGCGTATATATAGATGCCAAAGCTCGGACGGCCATTCAACATGCAGCCCACTGAAAGCCGCCAGTCGAGTTCAGCGGTACTGGGCACGTCCACCCCTCTTCTCCATCTTCTTCTGCCTCTTGCTCTCTGCAGCGACTTGCTCCTGACCACCACCGCCTCCCATGCCCGCCAGACCACTCTTCATCCCAGTAAAGGTAGAGTATGCCAACCAAACCGAATACAAGGGCACCACAATCCACAGCCACCAGGCACGGTCTCCGAACACGCAGACAGCACCGATACAACCCCACGTCCAGTACAGGATGTCCCACATGTATTCCGTCAGTCCGGCAGCTCTGAGATCCTCACCGGGCGAGCGTAGGGACCCATCGGCCGTGTTGTAGCTTGGACGACCTAGGCGGTCGAGGTAGAACTCAATGAGGAGAGTTGGACAGGCCAGAACCACGTAGAAGGTCAAGGAACGCGGACGGTTGAAGACCCAGTGCAGGACGAGGAAGAGTGCATGGAGGGCGGCACTGATGAGGTGGGTGCGGACGAGGAGGGAGGCATTGCGCGCTGCGAGAGTTTTGGCGGCTTTCTAGTAGTGCAGATGAATGTTAGAGTTTAAAGGGGAGCGATAGTGAGAGTGTAGGGGGTTGGAATGGACTAACCTGAGCCATAGTGATCGGTGATCTTGGGGGATGGTTAGGTATGTCGGATGATGCAGGTCGCGTGGTGATGCAGACAGGGTATGTGGAGGGTAGCGCGGGGATGGATGATAGCGAGCGATCCGCGCTCTGATTGTATTAGCGATTAGCGATAAGCCAAGAGCATGATCGTGGGGGAATTGAGGGGAGGAGATCGCAAGGGAAGCAGTGGGTGGAGGGACAAGTACTAAGTAGAGTACGTAGGCAAGTAGCGAGGGAATGGCGTTGCCCACCACAACGGGCCAAGCGCCCGCGCCTCCACCAGCCACTCTTCGGCCATGAATCCGCGGCTCCAAAACATCGCATGGCCAGACCAAAGGCGTCGTGACGACACTGTCGGACTACACCGCATCGCCCCCCGGCCAGCTAGGCCTTCTTTCGCGTCTCTGTCTGCCGCCGCGTTTGCTATCCGTCCTTCGCGACATGCGATTTGACTCCTTCTGACACCTTCCCTGCGCCTTACGGGCGTCACGAGTCGTCCGGACGTCATCCACTCCCTCTGCAAGGCCTCGCATTCACCCCTCAACTCGTCAGGACTGTACCGGAGATAAAGGAAAGACCGTTCGGAACAAAGCGGCGGGGATTGGCCCTGCACTATACAGTGCTTGTCATTGTTTTGGCTGTTGTTGGCTATCGACAGTCTTTTTTCCCTATCTATACAGTCAAAGAAACACCACGTCGTTGTTGCCTTAACCCGGCTTTCGCGGCGCCCCCCAGAATTCTTAGTGTTACTGAATACGACTTGACTACTTCTTCCCCCCGATGCTCCTTTGGTGTTGTTGAAGATCCCTTCAATTATCGCTCACCTGTTCCTCTAATCCGTCCCTCCGCCGTCCTCATACCAACACCAACACCGCCTCCTATCTTCATCGCCGCCCCGATATCCTCATCCAACCTCCCCTCCTTGAATGACTATCACATCTCACCATGTCGCCATCCACCGCACATATATCCAGCCAGCTAAGGCAACTGATATACTACCACCTTGATAACAACCTCGTCCGTAATGCGCTCTTTCTTGCCGGCCGTTTGCATGCATACGAACCCCGGGCGGCGGAATCTTCATACTTACTCGCCTTGTGCCATCTTCAAAACGGGCAAGTGAAAGCGGCCTACGATTACAGCAAGAACTTTGGATCGAGAGGCACACACCTTGGCTGCGCATATGTCTTCGCCCAGGCGTGCTTGGACCTGGGGAAATATCAGGACGGCATCAAAGCGTTGGATCGAAGCAAAGGGCTTTGGGCCTCCAAGAACCACTGGGGTAAGCACTGTCAGCTTTTAATGTTCTTGCGCTCGCTAGAAATGATATGCGATCACCATTACTTGATTAAATTATAACTGACATGTTGTTTTGGCGGACGGGTAGGCAAACACAGTGAAACACGCAGGCAACATTTGCCGGACGCGGCAGCAGTGCTATGTCTGCAAGGCAAATTATGGCATGCGCACAATCAGCTCAACGCAGCTGTAGAGTGTTATGTCGAGGCGCTCAAGTTGAATCCGTTCATGTGGGATGCCTTCTTGGGCCTGTGTGAAACTGGTGAGTGGGGGTTTGGATCGGAGGAGTAACGCCGCTAATTGTCTAAAGGGGTCAATATTCGCGTCCCTAATATTTTTAAAATGACACCGGAACTAAATGCTCTAGTATCCTCCGCTTCACAGGAGGATTTGGACTTCTCCTCGGACAAGCCAGTTCCTGCAGGGGGGCCCTTGCAAACGCAAGCGAAAGCGAACTCCAGTGTCGACCCCTTTACTACGGTTACGTCTCGGAGTGAGCCGGGCAGCACCCATGGGAGCTCTGCTCTGTGGGAGAAACTCAACGGAAGCACAGTCAGCGTGGCATCTACAGGGGCCTCGGCAGCGCCGGCAGTTCGGGAAGGGACCGAAACCCCTGGGGGTCAAAGCAGCGAGTCGGACGACGTTCGTGGTGCGCATCGGACAGATGCACCTTGGGAGCCACCTTTGGCCCCGGCACGGAAAAACAGGACGATACAGGCCATCAGCGCCGACCACACGATGGACTCCCCACCAAAAATGAAGCCCACGGGTATCCGACCTAGAACGAGGACTAAAGCCGAGGTCGAAGAGCAGGCTGCTACCCACGCGGAGCGAGACGTCACTCATGGATCCCGGGTGGGCGATCGCAAGCGCACTGTCTCTGGTTCAGTGGCGCATCCTGCAGCGCAACCCACCGAACCCGGGGCGCCGCAACGGCGCAGCGTCCGGCTGTTCAATCAAATAAAGCCGACCACCAGCAAACTTTCCAGCACGACACTCGGGGCGAAAGACGGCCGCGAACTGAAGAAAGTAAGGTCAACTGGCGCGAAGGGTCGGACCACCACTACAAGCGTGGGTCGTGTCGTAAGCGGCAATCGAAAACATCTCAACGATGCGCACGAGGGTGAAACCAAGGAGCACCGGCCAATGTCATTGGTGCCGACTGGTAGTCATCACACCTCCGCAAGGGGAGCATCGCTTGACCGGTCTAAAGCGGTTGAGGCATTAACCTGGCTGTTAGAACTATTTTCCAAATTGGCGTCAGGGTACTTTGCGTTGTCTCGGTATCGTTGCGCTGAAGCCACGCAAATCTTCGCGGCCTTGTCCCAGGGCCAGCGGGAGACCCCTTGGGTCCTTTCACAGATTGGACGAGCATACTACGAGCAAGCAATGTATTCGGAGGCGGAGAAGTACTTTGTCCGGGTAAAGACAATGGCTCCGTCGCGGTTGGAGGATATGGAAATCTATTCGACCGTGCTTTGGCATCTCAAGAATGATGTCGAGCTGGCCTATTTGGCGCACGAGCTGATGGAGATTGATCGACTGTCCCCTCAGGCGTGGTGTGCCGTTGGCAACTCCTTCTCCCATCAGCGGGATCACGACCAAGCCTTGAAGTGTTTCAAGCGAGCAACGCAACTTGATCCTCACTTCGCGTATGGCTTCACATTGCAAGGGCACGAGTTCGTGGCCAACGAAGAATACGACAAGGCACTCGATGCGTATCGGCATGGCATTAGCGCCGACAGTCGTCATTATAATGCCTGGTATGGATTGGGTACCGTATACGACAAGATGGGCAAGCTGGAGTATGCCGAACAACATTTCCGTAATGCAGCCAATATCAACCCCACGAATGCGGTGCTCATCTGCTGCATTGGGCTCGTCCAGGAGAAGATGAACAACCCCCGAGCTGCTCTAGCCCAGTATGGGCGCGCTTGCCAACTGGCCCCTCATTCGGTGCTTGCTCGGTTCCGCAAAGCTCGGGTGCTGATGAAGCTTTCGGAGCTCAAGTTGGCTCTCACGGAGTTGAAGGTTCTGAAGGACATGGCACCGGATGAGGCCAACGTGCATTACCTCCTGGGTAAGCTCTACAAGATGTTGCATGAGAAGGCCAATGCCATCAAGCATTTCACGACGGCCTTGAATCTGGATCCCAAGGTAAGACCGATCCTGGAGGGTCTCCGCTGGAAGGACATTACTAACTGGATCTGCAGGCGGCCCAATACATCAAGGACGCCATGGAGTCGCTGGATGACGATGAGGAAGATGACGAAGATATGGCCTGATTGTTTCCTCCTTGTTGTTACTATTCATCTCCGTTCACCTATGGACCGTGGTCTGCTTCCTCTGTACCCTGATCCCCATTGGCGAGGGGCGGCGTTTTTCCTGGACTGAGTTTGTGCAGCATCAGCATTATGAGGGCGTTTGCCGGCGGGTTGGTTAGAGAGGCATTTTCGAGTCGAGGCTCCTGGGTTGGATTCTGTATGTTAGCGTGGGAGGGCTTGGAACGAGCGACGACGAGGCCGGACGACGGGACCTGAACATAATCTCTTGGATGTCGGTCGTCCGAGCCGGCTGCATAATCGAGGCTATTGTTAGCATAAGGCCCTGCTGACTTGTCATCATCCTGTAGCCCTACTTGTAAGCCCACCAGATATACAGAGTACCTTGTCTGTATTGTGGGGAATCCACCAGTTGGCGGGCCAAGGCGGTGAGCCGTGCCGAAACCACCCCGGAAAACCGGCGGGCCATCGTCGTCCATCCAGACTTTGGATTCCTCCGGATCGATTGAAGATCTCCCTCTCTGTCCCCCCCTAATTGCCTCGGTGCGTCCGCTGTCTCCATCCTCGTCCTACCCCGACCTCCCTCTTTCCCACTCCTCCTTCTCCTCCGCCTCCGCCTCCTCCCTCCTCTCCTCCTCTCCACCCCTGCCGCCTGGTCATGCTCCATCTCCGCAACACTCTCGCCTGACCTCATCATCCCCAACCGCCTTTCCCCAGCATTCCCTCGTACGGATGCCCCTCGCCCGCCTGGCTGGCTATAAAGTCTCCATCTAACCTAGTCTCCACGCAGATCAACCGGCGCACTTCCCCTCCCCCACCTCGTCAGCGCCCTCCACTCCACCATGTCCGTCTTCTCCTACATTGCGTCGGGCATCAGCTCCTTCGTCGTTGTTACGCTCTCCCTCTTCGCCATCGGCCAGAAAGTCCCCCGCGCCGCCTTCGTCGCCCGGTGCCTTGCTGCCTATGGCTCCCTTCTCCTCTGCGCCACCTACGGCGTCGTCGCCTCCATTGTGCTCCGTCTCGCCGGCTATGGGCGTATTTCTCAGTGGGCCACCGCGCGCAGCTTCAAATGGGTCATGCGCTACACCACCGGCGTGCGCTTCAACGTCATCGAGGGCGCCGAGCACCTGACCACCCGGCCCGCCGTGTTCATCGGGAACCACCAGTCCGAACTCGATGTCCTCATGCTCGGCACCATCTTCCCTCCCTACTGCAGCGTCACGGCCAAGAAGTCCCTTCGTCACATCCCCTTCCTCGGCTGGTTCATGGCCCTCTCCCGCACCGTCTTCATTGACCGTGCCAACCGCGAGACTGCCGTCAAGGCGTTCGACAGCGCCGCCGATGAGATGCGCAATCACCGCCAGAGCGTTTTCATCTTCGCAGAGGGTACCCGCAGTTACTCTGATAGCCCGGAGTTGTTGCCCTTCAAAAAGGGCGCGTTCCACCTTGCCGTAAAGGCCGGCGTGCCGATTGTCCCCGTCGTCACGGAGAACTACTCGCATGTGCTGTCCCCCCGGAACTTGCGTTTCGAGGCTGGCACCATCAAGATCAAGGGTATCTCCCCTTCTTCTCTTTCCCTTTCTGCTCCAATATCGCATATCATACTAATCGCATATAGTCCTCCCCCCTATCAGCACCGAGGGTCTCACTCCCGCCGATGTCGATGCCCTAACCAAGTCCACGCGCGAGTCCATGCTCAAGACCCTCCTCGAATTAGCCGAGAGAGAAGACCTGGAGACGGAGGCTGTCGCCGCCAACGGCAAATCCACCTCCGTGGAGCTGTAAGCCGATGAGGAAATGAGGATTCGTCTCGTCATTGTGATCCCCATTCCTCATCTCTACGATTTGCACGTCGACACGAAGTAACGGCTTGACACGCAGATGACAGGGTATATATAGCATTCGTATGTCTGTCATCTGTCGTCGAGGAGGGTGTCTCTCGCTCCGATATTAATTCTTTCCCTCTGCTCTCCTGAATCCCGTGAGTAGAAAAATACCAGGTAGAAGGTAACAGAAAGATATCAATATCGGAGCGAGAACACCCGTCTAGAAATGGAAGTATGATTGGTTGGTTGGATGGATGCAGAGGAACGGGGCGTGATTGAGGATTCAGTCGAATGAGAAGAAGATAAGATGAGAGATTCTTCTCTCGACAGACCAGTTTGGGCCGGGTTCATTCTGTCCCTAGAGTGTACATAGAAGCATTATTCCTGTTCCTAGTAGTAGTAGTATTAACTTTTCTAGACCGTTTCTTGCTCTGGTATCGGCTAGTCGGCATGTATCGCGTCCAGGTAGATAAATACACAGTATTATGGAATAATCGCTAGATACTCGTATGTATCAGGACATTGATACCATATGTCTGGTTCTGAGATGAGAGATATTCTCTTGTGTCGCTTGGTAGCTGTTCCAACAACAGATATGCTCGCTTGCTATGACGCTACGCAATATATTCCATCTCAAATGCACATCCACATCCTCTCCTTCGAAAGTTAGTACAGCTAGGAGGGACACTAGACCAAACACCGACACTCCCCCATCGCACAAGGCCTCACATCCTCCTCAATATCAATCCTCACCAACCCCTCCCAGACATCCCCCTTCTCCCCGTCACAACCATCCCCCGCCCTCGCCGCCCCAATCTTCCCTCCCCTGGCAGCCGTAGCAACCAAATAATCCTCCTCAAACGCCACCACCTCCAGCCGGACATCCTGCACCTCCGTCCCGTACAATGATGTCTTGACACCCCGATACGCATTCTCACCCGCATCCGGCGCAATAACGTCCGTGAATTCCAGCTCGCGCAACCACGGCGCGAGCAGCGCCTCCCCGGTCATCTTGATATAGGCTTCTTTCAGGGCCCAATAGGTGAAGAAGACGCGGTAGCTGTATTCGACGCCCTCGAGGGAGGTGAGTGGGTATTTCCCGCTGGGGTGGGTGAGGGATTGGATGAGCGAGAGTTCGCGCGCGGAGAAGACCTCGGAGAAGATGGTGGCGTATTCGAGGAAGGAGGCGCGGGTGCGTGGCTCTGGGCCGCGTTTGCCGTGGCGTTCGTTGACGCAGGTGATGTCGATGCCGACTTGGGGGATCGTGGGGTGGGGGTTGGTGGTGGGGTCTGGGGGCGCGGTGGTTGCTGCGGTGGTGGTGAATTGGGAGGCGGGGGTTGGGATGGTGGTGCCGGCTAGGGCGACGAGGGAGTTTTGGTGGCTGACGTTGAATTCGACGGTTGGGATGGGCGCGGAGAGGGTCGAGAGGAGGGCCGGGGACGGGATGAAGCACGGCCGTTTATGCGGGGCGGGCGTCCGGCTAATGCTGATTTGGTTCCAGGGGATGTGGCATGTGCGGTGGATGAAGAGGTATTTGAGGAGGTTGGAGGCCAGGGACATGTGCTTGTCTTTGAGGTGGTAGAATTTCTGTATGGCTTCTTGCTCGGTGGGCTGGAGGGTGGAGAGGAGGGGTAACGTGGAGGTGTGCGTAGTGAGGGGGCGCGTGTCCATGTACCAGCGCACCAAGGTGGGAGGTGTGTTGTCTGGAGTGGAGGCCATCGTGAAGTTCAATTAGTTGAAGGAGGCTGGTGTGATGGTTCAATTGAGCGTAAGATACGGAGTATAGTTGTCTGATGTATTCGGGCGTAAGCGGAGAGATGATATAGAAGGTATAGGGAGCTCCACCACGATCATAAAGTCATGCTTGTGTCGGGGCTTTGCCAGCAGTTGCTCGAGGAAGGTCCTACAAGGACCAAGGTCACCAGCTCGAGGATGACAGGGAGAGTGAAGAAAGCCAGACACGAAGTCGTTCAGCTGCCCTGAGGACTGCCGCATTGGGACAATCGGGCCGCGGGGCAGCACGTGGTGATAAGCCGGCCCGTCGTTGATCCGCTGACATAAGGCGGCGTTTATACTTTATTTAAAGTATAGAGGGCGGCGGCGATTCAGCCAGTGACTCAGTGGCCATCCTACATCTGCAATGGGCAGCACCACCGTCGGCATTCTCGCCTTGCAAGGCGCATTTTACGAGCATGTTCAGTTGCTGAAGAAGGCGGCGGCCAGTTTGTCCGCAGACAACGCCGGCTCTTCGTCGCAATGGGAGTTCATCGAAGTGCGCACCCCGCAGGAACTGGAGAGATGCGATGCCCTCGTGCTGCCCGGAGGCGAGAGTACCACCATCTCTCTCGTTGCGGCCAGATCTAACCTCTTGGAGCCTCTGAGGGATTTTGTCAAGTACGTTCAGTGTCTCCGGTCTTGTCTGCCTCATGTATATAGCCTTACTGACATTCGCCTCCAGGGTCCACCGGAAGCCGACTTGGGGTACTTGCGCCGGTCTGATCCTCCTGGCCGAGTCGGCCAACCGGACGAAGAAAGGTGGTCAGGAGTTGATCGGCGGTCTCGACGTACGCGTCAACCGGAACCATTTCGGCCGACAGACAGAGAGTTTCGAAGCGCCTCTCGACTTGCCGTTCTTGGGTGAGGAGCAGCCTCCCTTCCCCGCCGTCTTTATCCGGGCCCCGATTGTGGAGAAAATCCTCCCCCATCAGGAAGGCGAACAAGTTGCTGAGGCCCAGAGAGACGAGACGGTCATCGCGCCTTCGCGACAGGCCGAAGACGAAACCGCACGGCAGGCAATGGCAGACAGCGTGGAAGTTCTGGCAACTCTACCTGGAAGAGCGGCGAAACTGGCCAGCCAGGGGACGCACATCGATGCGGATAAGGAGACGGGCGATATCATCGCTGTCCGCCAAGGGAACGTCTTCGGAACGAGCTTCCACCCGGAATTGACCGACGACGCCCGCATCCATTCGTGGTGGTTGCGCCAGGTGGAAGAATCCGTCCGGAGAAGACATGCCAAGCAACGCGCATGACTTGCTGCGCGGTGGTAATGGAGTCTTCTTGCTGGATCGTGGGTATCGGATGTAAATTTTCTTTCTTGGGATGCCTTCTAGCAGGTGATAGAAATAGATTGTACATAAACGCCGCTTTTGCGCCAACCTGAATTATTCCCCTCTGTTTACCTACCCTTGCCGTACTCTTCTTCCTCCCGTCGTCGCTGATCGTCGGCATATGCGCGACCGTAACCACCCCGACCGGGATCATACTCCTCTCTGTACTCATCACGGACCTGGCCACCCGACTTACCACGCCTGCCAGAGTCAGGAGCCTGTCTGCCTTTGAAGGGGGGGGGGGGCCAAAACACATACCCATATTGCCGTCCCTCCTCAAAACCAGGGTCCAAATCCGTCCGGATGATTCGCTCGTCCAGCTTAGTACCTCCAATGTATTTGAGACAGTCCAGAGCATCCTGGTGGGTGTAGTATTCGACGAAGCAAAATCCGCAAGGGGTCTTGTTGTACCGGTCGAGACCCATCACCAGCCGCTTAATCTCGCCGCACCTGCAACATCGATCAGTCTGCGACTCGTATATGATTCATTTTGGGTTGCTGACTTGGCAAAAAGCTCGTGAATCTGCTCCTCTGTGGTATAGAAAGAACTGCGACGGTTAGCAGCGGCATACAGGATCGCTAGACGCAAGATCAATCCAAGAACGTACAGGTTGCCAACATATAGTGTGGTAGCATTTTTCAGATGATCAACAGGCTCTTCTGCCTTCTCAGTGTCATCCTGGCTATACTTGCGTCTCTTGTTCTGTTGATGGGTCGTCAATAACCTCCAAGCTCCGGATAGCCTCTGGAGGGAGAAGCTCTACCTTTCCCTGATAGTAGGCACTAGGCCGATCCAGCCGGTCGACAGTGTTGTGCCTGAGGGTGCTCATGCTGCCGGTTAATTAGCCAAAGCAGTCTTGAATTTCAAGCTGGCAAGCGACGGCGTGCAGGAGGAAGCAACTGGAGCGGGAATGAGAGCGGGAGCCGCGCTGGAAGAAGATCGGGAGCTGACTTCTTGGCGCGCGCCAGTGACTGCTTCATTCTCCGCCAAAATTTCCCCGACCCTCCAGGTGTTTGCTGCCTTTCCTCCTCTTCTCCTTGACAATTTCTTCGTTTTCGCAGCTTGCTTCCAGCGCATAATGATATTTTAAGCTTGCTCGAAATCTCTATCATCCCAAGCACTCCTACGATGCCGAAAGTCATCAGCTACACTCCGCCCTGGCTCTCGCGCCCTTCGCCTGGTGCCTCCATCTTCGCCAGCTCCGCAAAGGCTCCCGAATATTCTACAAGCCTCAAGGAACTCGCCTATTCAGGCCCTACACGCATCCAGGCCAAGCGGGGGAATGAATTGTTCACGGTGGTCGACAACCAGATCCGCTGGTCCATCCTTACGAGATTGAAAGACGACTGGCAACAAACCACCAGATCGAATGGTGCCACGGAGAAGCAGCAGTCTGAGGATCGCGCCGTGCATTACAGGGTATGACGAACCGTGCGGTGCAACATAGCTTGGTTTGGCGCTCTAACTGACGACGTCCAGATTCTAGCGGTGCCGGTTTTCGAGAAGATCCGTCAACTGATTCCTTCGCCTAATGGCGCATTCTTAGCCATCGTTGCTGATCACACTGTCTTTATCGCTGTGCTTCCCGACCCGTCTCACCTGTCCGGAACAGATAGCTCTTCCATCCGGGTGAAATCGTACCAACTAGGCCCGACGACGCACGTTATTCCCGAGTCCCCTGTGGTGTCGGCGCTATGGCATCCTTTGGGCGTCCATAGCAACCTCGGGGGTTGCTTTGTGACGGTCACCGCGGACGCCGCGGTTCGGGTGTGGGAGCTGGATCGCAACAACCACTGGTCCTTTGACCGTCCGACATTGGCAGTCGACCTGCGGAAGCTGGTGGATGGCACCTCGTCAGACCAGGACTTTGCGCCATCGGGATTTGGGAAGAACAAGGGTTTTTCGGCCGATTTTATCGACATGGAGGTTGCATCCGCATCTTTCGGAGGCAGTGGAAATGACAAGGAGGACGCATGGGCGCCCATGACTCTGTGGGTTGCGATGCGACCCGGCGATCTCTACGCTTTGTGTCCGCTCTTGCCCTCCAAGTGGCGCGCGCCGTCGACGACCGTTCCCTCGCTGACTGCGGCGATTGTCCCGAAACTGGCTGCTTTGGAAGAAGACGCGCCGGACTCGGAGGATGAGCTGACCGCCTCCCGCCAACAGTACGACTGGTTAGCTGAAATCGACAACCAGGAGCCTTTGCATACGGAGTTTGATACGGAGACCGGCGCTGGCTCGGAGATCCTCACTCGTCCAGCCAACCCCAGCGCAATCCCGAGATTGCAGGGTCCTTTCCGGTTCGATACCGGAGATGCAATCGACGACCTGGACCTCTGCGATCTCCTCGTCATGAGTGCCAAGGTTGACCTCGATGCGCTCATGATGGGCGAAGAGGAGCTTGGGCTGGAAGAGATTGGAGACGACCGGCTTTCCGCTACCGTCATATGTCTATCGACGGGAAGTGGCAGGATCCATATCTGTCTCGAGCTCGATGGCGTTGAAGGACAGTGGCTTCCGAAGGCTAAGAAGAACGTGTTTAGCACTCCTGTCTCGGAGCCATCGGATCTGCTTCTCGTGGAATCATTGGACACCATGAGGGGAGAACGGACGTCGACCAACAACTGGCCCACATTCACGAAGGATGCCTACTCTCGGTACAGCTTTTTTGTTACCAACGCCAATAACGTGACTTTCATCTCTCTCACCTCCTGGGTTCAGAGGCTCGAGGCGGAACTGCAGTCGGAGGACACAGCTGGCTCTGCCTTCCGCTTGCAGATCCTCTGTGAGGGCTCTGCATCCCTGAGAGAACGGATCCTTGAGGTGGATGGAAACGCCGGTGCGAAGGATCTGGCCGGCCACCTACCGGCCGCTTTGGTGTACTATGACTACGACCTTGGTTACTTACTATTGACCTCCCACGCATCCACTCCTCATGCTGCTATCTTGGATGCGCCCGAGGTGCCCCTGCCCTCGATTGCGGATCTGCGACTGTTCGACCCGGAGGATCAAGCGCCGGGCTCACCCGTCTTGCCCCCTCGTCGGCCTCCGTACCAGGTTCCGGCCATCTTCTATGCGGAGCCGCCTTTGGAGTTCTTCGTCGACAAGCATGTGCCGCATCGCCAACGTCAGGCCCTGAAAGAACAGGTGCGGCTGTCTCCGGCCACCTTGGACCTGGTTGCCGCTGCGCACCGGATCTTGTCTGCCCACACCAACGCTCTTGAGCGAGCGGCGTCGGACCTCTTCCGTCGCTGCGAGCGACTGCAGGGCGAGATGCGGGATCAGCTGAAGCAGCTGGCCGATGTGGCGGACCGCGTCAAGGGGGTTTCCAGCGCGATTGCCGAGGACGGCACACGGATTGAGGGTTCTCGGAGCGGAGAGGCCCTGGACAAAAGGCTGCAGACAGCCAAGGATAAACACACACAGTTGGTGCAGCGGTACGAGGCATTGCGGAGTAAGCTGCTCAAATCGGGCGGACGGCCGCTGAGCGAGAAGGAGAAGTCGTGGGTTGTCGAGGTGGAGACGGTGTCGGAATCGGTTGGGGATTCCAAGCAGGAGGGCCAGCAGGACGGCGTCCTGACACAACGGTTAGAAGCTGTAAGTTGTTCCCTTGCAACCCTGCAGCACACGATACTAACTTCCCGACAGGTCAAGGAGATTGCAGGCGATCTGCTCACGGAGGTCAAGACCATTGCGGCCAAGTCGCCCATCAGTGCGGAACCCGGGAGCCCGGCATCGCCTGGAGCCCATCCCCGGGTGCCGCAGCGACTGCAGCGGGCGAAGATTGCAGATGCCATGCAGATGGTCGAGCGCGAGTCGGCCATTATCGAGAACATCACGTCGCGTCTGGAACGACTGAACTCGGCGCTGTGAGCATCGGCTCGTCTGATAGTTAATCGGGATAAGACATTATGCTATGGATGATTAAGGTTCTGCGACTAGTTACCTCTCTCAGCCGTAGACCAGCCTGTAAACAACCACGACAGACTCGGTCACTTTCTCTCCTTGTCTTTGCCTTTCTCCCCATCCACAAACCTCCTACTCTTCGGCCCTCTCACCTTTCTCCTCCTCATTCTATCCCCTGCCTTCCCCTTGCCCTTACCCCTTTCCACCCCAGACCGACCTCCAGCAACACCCCCAGTATAAATCGAAACCGGATCACAAACCCTCGACAAATCACACCTCCTCGACTTCTTCTCCTCCCCTTCCCCCTCCCCCTCCCCACCTTCATCCCCATCATACTCCCACCCCACCCCAAAATCCTCCTCAAAATCGACATCAAAATACCTCCCCTCCAACCACCCAATCAACCCCAACACCCTCTCCCTCTTCTCCGCCACCGCCGTCCCAATACACATCCCACAGACCCCAGTATTCTCCCCCTCGGCACCCTCCTCGTCTGCGTCCTTCAGGAAGACCATTTCCCGTCGGGTGCAGAATTTCCCGTGCGTGCGGAGGCGACACGCTGAGACGTATTTTGTTGTTAGGCAGCCGCAGCGCGGGTGTGTGGTTGTTAGGGTTAGGCACATGGTTCCTCTCTTTTTTCTGTTTTTGGGTTGGGGGTGGGTTTGGGTTTGGGGATAGATCTGTATTGGATTGGATGTGAGTGTTGGGTTGAGATTATTGGGGAGAGGGAAGGGGAGGGAGGTTGAAGTTGGATGGATGGGAGTATAGAATGGGGATAATATGTTAGGATTTTGAGATGTAGTACAGAAGTGTAGTGGGAAACAAACATAAAACAAAAGGTTACGGGAGTGATTGTCAACATTGTGGCTTGGGCTTTCTTATTTTCTTTGCTTGTAATAAATGGTTGGTTGACTTACATCTCGCTTCGTTGTAATAGTGGTGATGATTCTTTGTTGTAAAGTAGGGTTCAGTGTTCACGTGAGCTGTGATGAGTGAGGCGCGGTGAAGAGAGCCACGACTGATCATGCAGGTGCAGGAGGCATAGCTTGTGAGAGAAAGGGCTAAATATAGGAGAAAGATAGAATGTGAGATACGATGAGTGTCTTGGACAGTGGGTGGTGTTGACGGGACTTGTTGGATCTGTTTGACAACTTCCTTCCCTACAAGGGCAGGGCCGACCATCGTACGGTATTTGGAACTGTGGTCATACCCATGGCTGTATGAATAGATAATGAATAGATATTTTCATTCACTGATAAAGAAAGTCCATTCTATATTGTTCATTTGGTATTAATCACCCGAAAATCAACAAAGGAAAACCACAGCGACATTCTCTGGCAGTCTCCCTCTCCACGTCTCACTCCTACCATATGGTTCCCAAGCATTCATCACCATGACATGGCGTAATACTGCCGTTAAATCCCCCGAGCCTCTCTTTCAAAGTTCTCGGCGACCTGATCTCCGTCCTCGACCCTCTCTCGGATCAACCTACAGAAATCCCTGATGGTTTCCTCCCTCGTCGGCACATATAAGAGACTTCGATCATCACTCCACTTCTTCATTTCGCCGAGGAAACTCGTCCGTAACCGGAATAGGCATTCCCTGCGCGCGGCCTCGGATAGCTTGAGATCTTCTATGTATTTTTTCATTTGCTGGACAGCGCTGTGGCACGCTGAACGTGCCTCCAAATCTTTGATGTTCAGAGCCATTTGTTCCTGATACTCGAACACTCTGTAACCGTCTCCGAATGGACTTAGGTAAACCGTATTCTTTGGGATTTTCATAGGTGGGGTACAGCGCAGGATCGCTTGTACTGACGCTGTATGCTGGGCATATATCTCACCATCTGCGGAACACAAACCGATAAAGCGCCCAGTATGGTACTGCTCGTTAAACCGCTGCCTGTGGCGCTCCCTAGCCTCATTCAGAGACGACTTCAGTTTATCCTCGATCCCAGGGGGCATGATTGATTCGAGATCGGGCGGTACATTGAGGGCGTTCTGGTTGACGCCGGAGTCAGCGAGAGCTCTGTTTTCGTTAATGGGAGCCATTGTAACAAGCAAAGACTACTTTTGGGGGTCAGTGAATGTATTTGATGAGGTCGATGAATGCATTCTAGAAAATCGAAAGTATGTCCTGAAGCGCACCTTTATAGCCTCCAGTCCGGATAATACTTCCATGGAAGTGACCTATCCAAAATCATTCAAGCTTTCTACCCTAGCTCGTCCAGCGGGATTCCGCGCAGAATTATTCAGGACAGGGAACCGCACATGTTAGATGCTTCATTATCAACGGGGAATTTCTTATGTGAAATGGACTTTACCTCCTCCATGCAGAGCTGCTGTTTATATCGGGTTGAGAATTGGCGGAAGACGCCAGCCACGGACCAGACAAGATCCGGTTCCTTCATTCAAGGTTCGGCCCGTGCTCATCAAGAACAAATCACACCTTCCCCTGACTAGTTGCAGGGGAGGGATGGGAAAGAGTGTTTCCATGTAAATGACGCGCGAAGGTCGCCAAGCCCCGGAAGGGCCCAGTCGAGATGCCCACTGAAGCAAGGGTGGCTTCTGCTGATTCCAAGTTCAAGTGGGGAAACTGCACTTCAGGATGTTGCCGAGTATCACTAGGAAATTCTGGAGTGAGTAAACTGGTAGGAGGAAGCACCTGAAGAAGGTGAATAAAGGTTCCTATCTCATACTACTGTGTAGATCGAGTATCCTTCAAGTGCGCATCATACATCAAAATGACACGTTTGGACCTATGGGGCAGATTGGACTCCATTCAAGTTCCCATCACAGGCGGCTAAGAGTTCCACTGGCGGGAGGAGAAGGAATATCATCCTGAAACTCTCCTTCCAATCTATCTTCTCTTGTCTCCTCAACACTGGGATCGCCCATCCCAACGTACTTTCCACAGTCAACGGGACATCGCGACATCGAGGTTAGTCGAATGGCAGATAGTCTAGCGCTCTTTCAAGGGCGATGCAGGGAATTGAACAGAGTAAAGGTAATTCTCAGCCAGCCCTCGCTAAGCTGGAAAGCCCCGCCAGGAGTGAATAGTTTGCAATAGGACCAAGGGATCTTCCACGTCTTGGATTAAACCATGCATGGAAGCTTCCCAGCTCATCGGAGGCCTGAATCTCGAGGCCGCTATCGGAGCTAGCTATGTGATAGACTAATCGAATTGGACAACTCCTCATTCAGCCCTAATCCATGTATAGGGTGACCCGGATCACATGACATTGCGTCATATTGCAGTGCGTCTAGTGCAGTCGCGTAGTCTGGGGAAGTACATTCCAGGAAAAATGGTCTGCAGGTTAGAGGACTTGACGCCCAATTTGCCCTATTGAAGGCTTCTGGTGCGAACCATGATGCATACGGTCACATTCTTCCAAAGGGCCTAGAATATATACAAGGGTCAGACAAGCTACCTACTGTCATCGAAGCTAGTAGGTTGATGGGAGCTCGAGAATATGATTCCTCATGTAGCAAGGATAGCAAACTTAGGTAGCTATTTCTTCCAAGTAGATACACTCGTAATAAATAGGTGACTCTGAGATTTACTGCACACTGATAGATTCATCTCGTTAGCACCTATTGAACCACAAACCAACGGGTACATACCGTTCGATGAGATGGACTCCCGAGGCAGTTTCAACAATACTACTGACCTGGCCAGGCTGCAGTGCAAAGGCCGCGTCCTCAAATTCTTTCTGCATTTCACCCCGTCCAAAGAAGCCCCTAGACATCGATTAGCCTGACTGAAACAAACAATCCACAACCTGGCCGTAAGACATACAGGTCTCCTCGTTTCCTGGCACTGCTGCAGTCCGACTCTGATACAGCAATGTCTCCCAAGCTGGCCTCACCCACATTGATGCGCGCCTCGTGGGCCCGGAGAATCTCGATGGCCTCCTCCTTCGACCGAGTGATCTCCGCTTCCCTCCAGCTGCTGGGCCGTCTGCTATCCCGGTGCTTGACGAGAAGGTGGCTGCAGCGGATCTTGCCCTCACTTTGACCATTTCCATCGGGGCGTCCGGCCGGGCCGCTGTGGTAGTTTGCCATGTAGTACTTGAGCTTTTCGGTGTCGGTGTCCGCCGGCGGCTCCCAACGAGACTCCTTCGTCATGGGGTTGAAGTAATAAGGGAGGTTTTTGGAGTTGGAGTGGCGAACCTCCCATCCTGCCGGAAGACCTGTCTCTACCTATAAATCATAGTCAGCACCAATCGCGAGCTTGGTAAACAATAGCTTCTATGGGGGCGGTGGCGGGGTGAGCTTACCATTTTGCTGAGTGGGGATGCCTGTCTATCTATAATCTGTATAGCTTTCTATAGCTTCTAGAGGTTGTCCAGGATCAACGAGCGAACCAGGGGGGTCAATAGAGGGGTATATAAAGCTGCAGGAATGGGAGCGGTTTTGTGCTGCAGCTGCTGCGGGACAAACTGCGGGGGAGAAGAGGGCCGTCCGCAAACTACGCAAAGCCCGCAAACATGACAAACACCCCGGGCGGTGAGACGCTAGGTGGTGCACTAACCGTCGTTAGCCTCGAACCTCCCAGCTCGACGCTTCTTCCGACTTCCATCTCAAACGTCTCTCGCTCATCTTCAGTCACTTCGCACGTCCTTCTTGTTATCTGTTTCTTAAGAGAAACGGAATCGAACGCATACTACGCACTCGCTATATATCACTGCACGCGATCTTCTATCTTTCCAGCACAAGTTCAATAACCCAACATCCGAAAATGTCTGCAAGCCCGTCCCCGTCCGCCGGTGGCGATAGCAAGCCCAGTGATCAGATTCATTTCCGCTTCTGTCGCGAATGGTAGGTTTCCTTCTCTGTACATTTGACTTGACATTCGCTAACGATCGACAGCTCCAACTTGCTTTATCCGAAAGAAGACCGCATCAACAACCGGTTGATGTTCACCTGCCGAACCTGCCACGTCGGCGAGCCCGCGACCTCCTACTGCGTCTACCAAAACAAGCTGAACACCCAAGTCGGAGATACTGCTGGTGTGACTCAGGATGTGGGATCTGATCCTACGGTTTGTCTCCCGGGTTTCTGTGCTCATTGTGGGGAGGAGATTACCTGCTTCGTCTGTGACTCATGGTCTGAGGACTCATGGTCCGAGGAAGACTATGACGGGTTTTCGTCGTCATGAGGCCCAACTATCATGGATACATTCCAAGGTGTCTGAAATTTCCGTGGCTAATACACACTCTTATTAGCTTCCACGATCCAACAAGCTCTGCCCGAGCTGCGGTGAAGCCGAAGCAGTCTTCTTCCAGTCCCAACAGCGATCTGCCGAAACTGGAATGGTGAGCCTCCTTGCTTGGTGTTGGAGTCAAGATGCGGGTGTTGGCTGACGTTCGATCCCCAGAAACTTTACTATGTGTGCTGCGCATGCGGCAACGTTTTCGTCTGATCTCGGTTTTATCATCTATTTGTCATGTACCTGATACCCAATCTTGGCTCTTTGCAGCAACATCTTTGTGGAGTTTTGGCGATGTTTGAATAGGAAGGGGGAGTTTGAAAGGAGAAAGAAATTTCTATTGCTACAAACTAGATAGGAAAAAGAACAATTCGCTTCCAAAAGGTATATCCTACACATGCATGGGGGCCAACGACAGAATCTTGGACCACTGTCTTCCTCGTAGTTCCGTAGCCACGACACCTAAATTGAGGTCAGTCAAGCGCGCCATTTGCAGGCCGTGCCGGATGTGGACTGACCGTTCATTCTCGTTCCGATAGGATCTCCGGACTTGTTGACCAGGACGCAGGCGTTGTCGTCGAACTTGACAATCGACCCGTCCGGCCTTTGCATCTCCTTCCTTGCCCGGACGACGACGGCGTGGCGGATGTCTCCTCGACGGACCTTGTTCGCGATACCAACGTTGTTCGTGCTGTCGGGGCCGAAGTTTCGTTGTTTCTGGACGACGACCACAATTCGGTCACCTGTTGACCACCAGGACGTACATCAGTAATGATCTCCTTTGGTATTGAATAGAGGGGGATGAAAATCGTACCAACGGTGGCTGGGCGCTTCTTTTTCAGGACGTTCACGCACTCGACAACGGCGGCGCCGGAGTTGTCGATGCAGTTGAGCATCGTCTGGTGGGACCCGTCAGCGTGAAAATTCTCCCGCTTCAGCGACTCTAACAAAATCGTAGACGCACCTTTAGCTGAATCATCTTGACCGAGTGCCCTGACGGAGGGGAAGCGTAGGGGAGGGGTGGGATGTCGAGGAGATGATGGGGTCGCCCGAAAGAAAAGCAGCGCAGCAGTCGCGGGCCGGCAGGTTTCGCCGACGACCGACCCCGGACGGGGCGCTGCAGGCCTTCTTCACATCGCATGGGCAACGCCGGGTGTGTCTGTGTGTGTGTGTGTGTGTGTGTGTGTGGGTGCGTGTGCCTGGTCTTTTCCTTTCATGCGCGCTAGCTTTCACTGCCTCTCCTTCGTTTCCTTTGTTCGCCATGACAGTCACCTCACTTCGTATTCACGTCGTTCCCTAATTTTTCTACCCATCCCCTCTTTTCCCCCGAAATTGGCGCCCTTGTGTTAGATCTCCTTTGGCCCCCCGACCTTCCGCTGCTGCTTCCCCTTGACGCTTGGTCGCATTATTCCACCAAACAATCCACCCTCCACACTCCACACAGTCTCAAAATTTCTTGTATGGGATCTCCTGGTCTCGGACTTCATCATGCCAGCCTTCAAGGCGAAATCCAGCCCCTCCGTCGACCGTCGTGATCGGCTTACGCTTGCGAAACTGGCCAGCTATGATGATGTCGCAACGGATGCGCTTGTTGACCGTGTACGTTTGCGAGTCCCCATTGGCAGTCATTCAGCTGGCCACTGACTCTACTTTGCTCACAGGCCTATTTCTGGACCAACACCCGCAAGAACCGCACCAAGTACAACCCCGCCCGCGGCATCAAGGACGATGAGGTTGCCAGCATCCTCCTCCACGATGTCATTGTCGGCAAGGATGCGGCCAGGGCGGAGGCGAAGTTGCTGAACATGTCCGGTCTAAAGAAATACTTGGCCAAACTTCCCACCGACCGGGAGAAGGACTGGTTCCGTCGACACCTCCGCAAGTACATCCAGATGTATCTCCCGGACTCGCCCTTTGAGGTGACTACGACCAATCGCTACATGGTGACCGAACACGAGGCTGCCATCTGCGCCCGCAAATTCATCAAGCAAGGCCAGGAGATCAAGTACCTCAGCGGGACCCTCGTACCCATGACGCGGGAGGAGGAGCAGGATCTCGATTTGAAGAGGAAGGATTTCAGCATTGTCATGTCGAGCCGGCGAAAAACGCCATCTTTCTTCCTTGGTCCCGCTCGGTTCGCCAACCACGACTGCAATGCCAACGGACGGCTCGTGACGCGCGGCGTGGAAGGCATGCAAGTCGTGGCGATCCGGAACATCCACATCGGGGAGGAAATTACAGTTTCTTACGGAGACGATTATTTCGGCATTGACAATTGCGAGTGTCTTTGCTTGACGTGCGAGCGGGCAGTCCGGAATGGGTGGGCGCCGCAGCTCGATTCCGACGAGGAGAGTCCGGCCTCAACACCTGCCTTGACCGATGACGCTCTCCTTTCGCCCAGAAAACGCAGACACGCCCCGGATTCGGACTCGGAAAGCTCTCCGACATCGAGCCCTCGCAAGCGTACCAAGTTCACCCGACAGAATTCCAAGTTGCGATCCGAGGTCGTGTTTTCCGACATCACTCTCTCGATTGAGTCCGCCGCGGAGCAGCCAGCGGGCGCCGAGTTTTCCCCCCAAGTCTTATCGCTGCAACATGCTACCGTTGCTGAAACCGTCAGCGACCACGTCATCGACAATAAAGATGACATGAATACTGAATCTACGGTTCAGAACACCACCGCCACAGAACCCGAATCACCCGGTTCACTTGAAGCCGATGATTCACACCGCTCTTCGACCTCGACAGCTGCGACGTCCGTTTGTGACAATGCGGTGCAGATCAAGGTTGAGGAAACTACCGAGGCTTCTGTCCAGACAGCTACACTAGCTGTAGAGGGACACCTCGATCTCTCAGTCACCGCTCCGACAGATAGAGAACGACGCATCCTGGGTACTGACAATGATGCCTTGTCGGACTTGTCGGATTCGCTGGAGCTCGACGAGAAGCTTGGAACCGTCGTGAAAAAGTCTCGAAAGTCCCGAAACAAGGAAGTGGTCCCATCCGTCGAGGTCGAGCCACCTCGTGCTCGGGTCCCTGGCGACTACACCAAGACTTCCAGACTGCTTGCACAGGCTTACGACCGCTGGGTTGATTGCCGGACTTGTACCAATTGGTTCGTTCAACAAGATTCCTACCTGACGCGAAGAGAGTGCCCCCGGTGCGAACGGCACTCCAAGTTATATGGTTTCCAATGGCCGAAGACCGACAAAGAGGGCCCAATGGACGACGAAGAACGCGTGATGGACCACCGTGTTGTGCACCGATTCCTGTACCCGGAGGAGGAGGCGCTCGTCTCGCGCAAGGACCGCGGAGTCAGTTTTGGAATCACCCCGACCCCCGAACTATCCGAGCCTCGCGCGGAGACCGAGGAAAGTGAGGCCGGCGAGGATCGACGCAACACGCGCGCCAGCCGGCGGCGCACCCGGTCTCTTCGGATGACTATGTAATGATGGATATGCTTAATTTTTGGGACATTTGAAACCTGGAGTTTGGCAGTCATTTGGAGTTCGGATTCGGAGTCCCAGGCGTTGGATTACTATGGACCCAGCATTTCAACCAGTTCGGCGATTTTGACAGACTTTACATTGATTGAAAGATTTTTCATAGTCCCTGTCTTCTATGGGTGTCTTTCTCTCTCCTTTTCTCTATTTCTTTTAATTCTGCACATTTTTCGGGCATTTGGTTACCCTGTATAGAATATCGGTCGCCCCTGGCCCTTGGTCTCTTGTACTTACGCGACTCGCGCCGCAGCCCAGGGCCTTGGGAAAGGAGTTGGTCCAGGTCTGCTGACAGTCATCTTGAAGAATCCTTTCGCACTCCCCCGCAGTTTGTTGGTACTGCATCTCCGCATCCCCGCGTGCCTGCATCGTGAAGGAGAAACATATTGCACCAATGGCAGCCCCGAAAGAGCCTGGATCCGAGCTCCCTCGACTCTTCGTCATATGCTTGTGCAAGTATTCAAGCTTCTCCGAGTTGACTCTTATTGAAGTTCGGGCTGCATCATACCGACGCAGATTCCATCATCGAAGCCATAATGCTCTATAAGACCCTGCTGATTTCCGGGCAGGCCTTCTTCCCCCGGCCAGGTCATCGGGGTAAAATCGACATCTTCAGCCATGGACTTCTCACGTGTCCTCCTGGCCTTGTGCTTCATTCTGACTATATCCACTTCTAGCGCCTACGATAGCCCCCTCGTCACCCTTGACTATGGATCATTTCAAGGTACCTACGACGCCACCTACAACCTCTCCTACTTTCGCAAGATCCCCTTCGCAGCACCTGCAACAGGCGAGAACCGCTTTCGAGCACCCCAGCCCCCGTTGAACATCACCAATGGCACCTATGACACCGACCAATCCTTCGACATGTGCCCTCAACGGACGGTCAACGGCTCCGAGGACTGCCTCTACCTAGGCCTCTACTCCCGACCCTGGGACACCGCCTCCACCACCAACCGACCCGTCCTCGTTGTCTTCTATGGTGGCGGCTTCATTGAAGGCAGTGCCCTCTTCGGCATGCCCCCCAACTCGTACCCCGTCCTTAATGTCAGCACCCTCAACGACTACGTCGTCGTTTATTCCAACTACCGCGTCAACGCCTTCGGCTTCCTCCCCGGCCAAGCCATCAAAGACTCGACCACCTCTGACCTGAACCCGGGACTCCTCGATCAACAATACGCCCTCAAATGGGTGCAATCCCACATCCACCAGTTCGGCGGTAACCCCAACAACGTCACCATCTGGGGTCAGTCCGCCGGTGGCGGGTCCGTCGTCGCCCAAGTCCTCGCCAACGGCCGCGGCTCCAACCCTAAACTCTTCTCCAAAGCCCTCGCCAGCTCCCCCTTCTGGCCCAAAACCTACGCCTACAACGCTCCACAAGCCGAGGAGATCTACACTCAACTTGTCAACCTCACCGGCTGCTCTAATGCATCGGACACGCTCGCCTGTCTGAAAACCGTCGACGTCCAATCCATCCGCGACGCAAGCCTCATCATCGATGACAGCCACACCTACACCACCAGCTCCTACACCTGGGCCCCTGTCATCGACGACGTTTTCCTCATCGAGCCCCTCACGACCGCCATTGACTCCGGTGCCATTGACACAGAACTCGTCTGGGGCATGTACAATGCCCACGAAGGGCAGAACTTCATCCCCTCCGGCCTCGACTCCACCTCCTCTTCTGACGGGTTCAACTCCTCTCTCGCCAGCTTCCACGATTGGCTCACAGGGTTTGTGCCCGGGCTCTCCTCAAAAGATATCGCTCTCATCGAGTCCACATACTACCCCGTTTCCGGGAGCGCCGAAACCCTCACATACAATACCACTTATGTCCGCGCCGGCCTCGTATTCCGAGATCTCGTCCTCGCCTGTCCCGCCTACTGGGTGGCCTCGGCAGCCAAGGAACGGGGCTATGTAGGCGAATACACCATTCCTCCGGCCACGCACGGGAGTGATACTGTTTGGGTTAGTCTTCCTCATCCTACCTCATCCCGCCTCATCCATACACTGAACACACATCTTCTGATCACATCTGTGTTATCCCCTCCTATCATATCAATCAAACATACACTAACAAATCCATGAAACAACAGTGGGACACCGTCAACTCCGACCAAGAAACCGACCCCCTAATCTACCAAGGCTACGCCGGAGCATTCGGAAGTTTCTTCCAAACGGGCGATCCCAACGCCCATAAACTAACCAATGCATCTGAGCCCGGCGTCCCAGAGCTCCAAGACACCGGGGCCGAGTTTGTAATTGCAACAGATGGGTTCGAGAATGTCGACCTGACACAGTTGGAGAAGAGATGTGCGTTTTGGAAATCAGTGGGGAAGGATATTCCGGTTTGATTTCATTCGGATATATCGATCTATCTGTTGTTCTTTGTCTATCTAGGTAGGTAGGGATGAAATGATCAAGGGGAATGGGTGATATGTAGGTGAGGTGAGGTGATACCATACAATTATAATACAACAAATACATCCCGTGTGTCCTGATTCTCGAGTCATGCGTGTTGAGGTTCATATGATTCGCCTTTATCGCCGTTTCCGAACGCCGGTTCGTCAAAGGCCAGTTAGACTGGCCGAGGGGGTAATAGTACAGATAATTTGCTGCTTGCTTGCTTGGGGTTGCTTTAAATCAAGGCCTGTCCGCGGAACATGCCCTCGCGCACTTCTTTCACCACGTCCTTGCGGTCTTTCTTGCCCACGAGCACCACGGCACGGCCGCGCTTGCCCATCCGACCGAGACGGCCCAGACGGTGGATGAAATCAATCGTATTGTGCGGGACGTGGTAGAGAATGACGGTCTTGACAGCCAGAGTGTCGATACCACGCGAGGCGATATCGGTCGTCACCAGCACCTTGGTGTTCGGCAGTCCGCGCTCCGGGCCCTGCTTTTTCTGGTCGGGGAAGATGAAGGGGATGGCGCTATCCTGTCGACGCTTGTTCTTGGCCAACATAATTTCCTCGGCGGTAGGGGGGAGGGGTGACTCGGTGAATTCCTCGAGCAACTCTTCTTGCTTACGACTGCTGGAGTCGCGAGAGAGTGATTGGGCGTCGATGCCCTTCGAGCGTAAGAACTGGGCCACCTCGTCCGCTTCTTCGCGCTCGTTGACAAACACTAGGATCTTCTTGACCTTTGGTCCGGCTTGCGCCAAGAAGGGGTGCACAGGTTCCGTGTCGCCCGCTTTGCCGATCGACCAAATCACGTCGGCGCAGGCCAGATTGCGGTTGCCACGGTAGGGGTCCCGTTGAATGTCCACCACACCCAGCTGGACGCGACGGGGAATAGCATGCAGGTTCGGAGTCGTCAGTCGTCTGATATCAGGATAGCGCTTTCGAAGGAGATTGTCGAGACTGCGGGGGATAGTGGCGGAGCAGAGGATGAGCTTGCGGAGGGATGGTGCCGTCTTGTCGATGATCTCGGTCGTCGTGGGCAAAAAGGATCGATCCATGAGCGAATCTGCTTCATCGAGAACCAGATGGCTGACACGACTCAGCACATATGGTTCGGTCTTTGCGATCGATGCGAGCAGGTGGGGTGTGGTAACGAGGATATCAATGCCGCTCGGGTGGAAGAGTGTGCTCTTGATGCGACGGGGGGTCAGGTTGGAGGAAATCATTCCTGACCGGTATTTGACCGTGTGCGAGAACGCCTTGACCTTGGCACTGACTTGGGCAACCAACTCAGATGTCGGGACGAGGATAATCACCCGGGGTCTTCCGGCATTCGACAGCGGCGCTTCTTCCGGTTCAACGTCGAAAGCCCGGTTCTTGAGCCTCTCTTCCCGCTCCCTGGCCTTTTGTTCCGCTTCCTTCTTCTCAATTTCCTTGTCCTCCGCTTCCAGGCGCTTCATGGAGTCGATCAATGGAATTAGATAGGCCAGCGTTTTTCCTGAGCCGGTCTCAGCAGCCAGAAGGAATTGTTCATAATTAGGGGCGCCGTCCTCAAGGTCTCTCGAGGATCTTCTCGGTTTGGAGTCTTGTAGGAGTTGCGGGATAGCCAGACGTTGGATCGGGGTCGGTACGACATCCGCGAGACCGGGGAGAGCTTGGGAAAAGATCGAGTGGCGCACGACTGGTAGTAGAGGAAACTGGTCGAAACTCGAGATTTCCGCGATCTTCGACTTGATGGCGGTCCTGCGACCGTAGGATACAGGCGCCAATGTTGTCTGCATCTTGAGTGCCTTGTAGAGAGGACTGTCATTGTTCTGCTTGCCGTCTTCAGAGTCGCCGGAGCGCTTCAACGCCGCCTGGGACCGTGATCGTGACCGAGGCGTATCAAGGCGCGCTTCTGTCTGGTTCATGCCCGCAAACGGTCCCCCACGGTCCCTTTTGGAGCGACCGGGCTTCACCGATGATTTGGCAACGTTGGAGGACAGAGTCATGCGGGCGACCTGGCGGCGCTGTCGGAGGGTGGCCATGGAGCGGACGGCCTGCCCTCCGGACAGCGGCGAGGAAATGGTTGGGTGGCTCTGACAGAGCAGACATACTTGAGGCCGAAGCGGCAGCGAGAGTCTGCCTAGCCGATTCATGGTGTCAATGGGAACGAGGAAGAGGAGGGAGGGAGGGAAAATCAAGAACTTCTTGTCGCCTCCCGGAGCTTCATTCTTTTCGATCGGCGGGCGGAAAGAATCAGCAGTTCATCCCGTGCCAGGCCCAGAACGGAAGGCGCTCGGGCTCCGGGGCGATCCTGCGCTAAGATCAGATAGGGGCTAGCGCAATCGGGGCAGCCCGCCAGGCGACCAGGTGTCGAGGCCATCAGGCCAAGCTGAGACCAGTGACGCTGAGGCCTTGTTCCGGCCCAGGGATTCAGGCTCGCGGACCGTTGTTGCTATGGAGACTCCCGCCGCCAAAATGTCAACAGCTGCCAGCGGCGTGCGTCCATCCAGCGATCCCAACTGCGGCCGATTTGCGAACGGCTTCGACTACTTATTAGTCAACAAAGGCTGTCCGGTCTGTTTCTCCCTCTTCCAATCCCCTTCCCCGACTTCTCGTTCTCCTCCCCTTCTCCCTCGTTGGTCCGGTGGTGGATGGTGTGTTGGGTTTCTCTTCCAATTCCGTCATTGTCCCTGCCATTGTTGCACATCTCTTCGCCATCTCGATCACTACTATCCCTTCGTTTATCCATCGGCTCCGTCCGGCAGGCTGAAAAGTAAAGAAATTCGGACCTGACGAATCGGCAATCGTTCGAATGATCTCCATTTTGTGACGCGTCTTATCACTCCGTTACGATTCCCATGAGCTGCTTAATGTCCAAGTGAAATTCAAGCGACTCATTTCTTGTCCTCGTTCTGTCATTCAACGCCTCTGATTTGTTCCGATCTCTTTTACTTATCGACTCCGTTGCATCCGCCTCGTATTCTTTTATTATTTGCCCCCCCAATTCGACTCAGCCAGGTATGCGCGCGTTACTGTTCGGCAAGGGATGGCCATTGTTGCATAGGCCTTGCATTGCTAAGTTATGACGAAAGAACCGTTGCTGATTCAGCTTCTCTAGCTGTGTTTTTTTCCAGGCGCTTCTGTCGACTTGATCTTTTCCGCTTTGATTCTGCGATTATTGCCGTGCATTTTGCAACAATATGGGCAGCAGTACCGGTCAACGCCCACTGACGGAGGTGAGCCCAATGGCCCAACGGCGAAATTCTCCGAGCTGGAGCCAGAGTACCAAAGTAGGTGGCTCCACGTGTTGTTAATCTTCCGACGCCGGACCTGACCATGTTCCCCCCAGATGACGAAAACCCACGAATCGTCACCGCACGAGATGCCATCCTCGCCGCGTCTCTTCTGGAAGGGCCGTGAGTCGGGTTCTCCCTTCCCAAGAAGCTCCGAGAACCAGACCCCCTACGACCCCGAGGCCTCATTTTCTCCTTCCAAGCGCCCCTCCCTTGAGAACCTTAAGCGCGCTTCGAGGGTCAAAAACAACAACATGTTCCGCGGTTACAACCAGGAGTACGACCCCGCGAATGTATATGTTCCACAGAGGCCCTTGGCCACCAGTCGCTCGCCGCAGAAGCAGGGACCGAACGTGCCCCAAGCGCGACTATCAGACATCCAAGATGGCAGCCAAATCGGTTCCAGACCCCCGTCCCCGAGCAAGGACCAGGTTCCCCCCGCCAAGTCATCTCTGTCTCGAGCGAGTCGCTTCGGCGCAAAGGATGCATTCGACCCCGAGAGCGAAATCTGGTCCGATATTGATGGAAGTCGGCATGCCAAAAGCGTGACCTTCGACGCCGCGCCGCCACAGGTGAACGAGTACGAGATGACCACGCCTGACCCGTCCTCCATCGCCTCCGGGTCCCGTGAAGGAAGTTATGATTCGGAGGAAGACGAAGGCGACATCAGTTTTGACCGTGAATCCTCCCTTGACCGGGACGACAGCTTCGATGCTTCCTTGGAGGACCTCGAGAAGACTCCTGTGGTCTTGCCGGAAGACTGGCGCTACATGAGCCCCGCCAATGCCAACGACGACCTGGTGAAGGAGGATGAGGATCCGTTTACGGAGGATGACGAAAGCCACAGCCCCGATCCGCGACCGTCCTCCCACCAAGGACCGCCTGTCCAGCATTCCCGTGTTGAGTCGCTAGATTCAAATGGCGAGCGCCGCCCTCTTCCCCCTCTTCCGCCTACAAACCGCCCGTCGTTTTCCCAGCATGGTTCGTCCCCGGGGAAGCTGGCTGCAGCCTTCGAGCTGGGAAGCGGTGGTCAACGTGTTCTGCCATCCCCTCCCGGCCCAGCCACGTACAGCAAGTCCGACATTACCGACCGTGCTCATGCGTCCATGTCATTGGAGGATAGACTGCGTTTGATGATGATTCAGGAAAATGAGAGGAAAAACAAGGATAAAGACCATGCGGATGCGCAGGTTGCCCAGCCGAATGCGGAGCATGAGGAGGAAGAGGAAGAGGAAGAGGAAGAGGAAGAGGAAGAGGAGGAAGACTGCGAAACCCAGGATAATGAATCAACCCCGAGAGAGGCTGCAGAAGACTCAGAGGAAGAGGCCACCGAGGTATTCTCACCCCCCCGGATCTCCAGGGATTCCATTCTCCGAGATCTCCGGAAGAGCGAGAGTTTCCTTGACGACTCTTTCGAGGACGTGTCCCAGATCGAATCGAGCCCTCATCATTACATGCATTATGACCCTGATGTCCCTATCCCATCCCTTGAGGACAATGACGACGAGTATGACGACGACGACGATGATGACCAAAGCAGCGTGGTGATCAAGCCAGAAGAGCACGATGACGATCTTTATGACATACCGGATTATTATGAAACGATAAAATCACAGAGTTCTTCTTCCAAAAGCCTGAAAGATCATCTGGTCGGCGATGACGAGGTCAGCCATCCAAGCTTGCCGCAGGAAGAGGACATGGCGCCGCAGAGCGGGTCGCAAGAGTCCGAAGACAGGCAGCCAACACCCGTTCCCGAGGTGCGAGAGGAAGCTCCCGCCGAACCGTCGAAAAATCAACCAGAACTAGAACCTCAAGAGAATGAACTGCCCGCCCCGAAGATGGCAGCTATGAGAGAGGCACTGCAGCGACCAGCGACGCCAGAAGACCATCACCAGATATCCGAGCCCTCGACTCCCGAGTCTGTCATCCGGCATCCTGTTGATGAAGAGGTCAGCGATGACGAGGTTTCTGCTGATGAGGATGTACCGGACCCCATTGCCACGGTCAAAGCCCCCGGAACTGGTTTGAAAACCCGTCCATCCCTGACACCTGCCGATATGGAACAAATGGCCGCCACCCGTCGCAAGGTCAGCGGGCAGCTGCCTCCATCCATGCCACACCTGAGCAAACAGAATTCGAACGATTCGCAGGCCTCCCAGGCCTCCCAAGGCTCTGACGGCTCTGCCCCTGACGAACCTGCCGCAGCCCAGCCCGCAAAGGAACCTACTCGCAGACAACCAAGCTTGATGAAATTGGATATCCCATTCAGCATCCAGGAAGAAGAGAGCCTTGGATTTGATATGGACAAGGAATTTGACCGAGTCATTGAGTCCCAAAAGGTGGCGTTTGAGCAATCCCTAACCCAACTCCGAAACACTCCGTCCACCACTCACCCCCAGGAACCCCTGCACCATGGACCAGGAGCCTATTCTTTGGATTCTGGACTGTCCACTAACCAGCATATCCCTAAACAGAGAGGTTATCTCATGCGACACAACACGAAGGTTATCATCGCCAGCAGCCGCAACGAGGACGAAAGTGCCCCGGCCGCCGGGGACACACCCACAGCGGCCCGACCCGCACCAACGCCGCGCAAGCCCAGTCAACAGACATGGACGACGGTGCCTTGGAATGGCCAGACTCGCCGTGCGAGTATGAGAACCTCCAGCGGGATGGTCCGCAAGAAGCCCGTCACGGGGCCTGCACCGCCGCTTCCAGGCCAACAGAGCAGCGTTCAAGAGCCCCCGGCGACCATTGAGGAGACCGAGCCCGCGTTGAACGGTGCCTTGGACGAAGGCGAAGAGCGTGGTCGCCTCTTTGTCAAGGTAGTTGGAATGAAGTATCTCGACCTGCCCCTTCCCCGAGGTAAGTGCATACCCTGTCTTACTGCATGGTCCGATTATTGATTGACAATCGTCCCAGGCGAGAGATCGTACTTCGCCCTCACGTTAGACAACGGTCTTCACTGCGTCACCACTGCTTGGTTGGAACTGGGAAAGACTGCCCCCATCGGCCAGGAGTTTGAGCTCATCGTGCAGAATGACCTTGAGTTCCAACTGACTCTTCAAATGAAGGTGGATGAGGAGAAGTTCCGCACACAGGAGCCTGCGCCGCCTGTATCCCCCACGAAGCAGAAGGCGTCAACCTTTAGTAAGATGTTTGCTTCTCCCCGTAAGCGCAAGGAGCTCGACATGAAACAACAACTTGTGTCCCAGCAAAACAAGGCTCGAGATGTCAACGCACCTGTGTGGGAGCGGCTTCGAACCCTCATCGCACGTGACGGAAGCTTTGCCCGCGCCTATGTTTCCCTCAGTGACCATGAGAAGCACGCCTATGGCCGGCCCTACACGGTGGATGTGGCATGCTTCAACGAGTGGGCTGTTGAAGAGCAGCCGAGCAGTGTGAAGAGCAAGAAGAGCACCACAAGCACATCATCCCAGCGGCGGCCTCCCTACAAGATCGGAAAACTGGAGCTTCAACTCCTCTTCGTGCCGAAGCCGAAGGGTGCCAAGGACGACGACATGCCCAAGAGCATGAACGCATGCATTCGGGAAATGCGTGAAGCCGAAAGCGTGTCCGCTCGCAGTTGGGAAGGATTTCTCTCTCAGCAGGGTGGTGACTGTCCGGTAAGCCTACCATGATCCCGGTGGTTCCGAAACGAAGCTAATGTTTCTTTGCTAGTTCTGGCGTCGTCGTTACTTCAAGCTGCAGGGCTCCAAGTTGACCGCGTACCACGAGACCACCCGTCAGCCTCGCGCGACCATCAATCTGTCCAAGGCCGTCAAGCTGATTGACGACCGGTCCTCCCTAGTCCAAAAGGAGACCACCACCCGGGGAGGTGGCCGTCGCAAGTCCGCGTTCGCCGAAGAGGAGGAGGGCTACATGTTTGTCGAAGAAGGGTTCCGGATCCGGTTCGGCAACGGCGAAGTGATTGACTTCTACGCCGACAGCGCGGCCGACAAAGACGGCTGGATGAAGGTGCTGGCGGACGCCGTGGGCAAGGGATCTTCTGGCAGCAGCCAAGTGAAGGCCTGGACCGAGGCAGTTCTCAAGCGGGAACGCAGCATGAAGGTGAAAAGGGAGACGATGGACCGGCCCCCTCATCCCGCGGCGCCGCCCCCGCCGCCGGCTAAGGATCCGGCCCCTCCGATGACCCCGACGGCGCCGGCGCCGCCCGTGGGTCGTCCTCGACACAAGCACACCCTGTCGCAGCCCGAAGTTCGCGGGGCGGACGCTCGCCGGCAGAAGACGCGCTCCCTGATGTTCTAGATATGACTTTGTATTCCACCATGTCACTTCTATCTCTTCTTGTGATTTGACCCCTTAACCTTTGGACCCGTTCTTTTTCTGTGTCTTTTCTCTTCTGTGTGGTTTCTACTTGTTCGTCTACGGTGTTGGAGCCCAGCCTGCTTGCTGCATCTTCCCTTTGTCCTATCCCTTGATCTAAGAATTTCAGCATCCAGCACTGTCCGTTCTGCCAGCGTTGTCTTCTTTGTTTTTCGTGTTTGATGTTCGTCCCGTTTCTGCTTCCTGCGCCGCCCTTCCATGATACATAGCGCCTTTCCTTCATGAGTCTATAATTGAGTTCTCGCTTCTCTGTGTATCAAAAGATCTCGGTCCGACATGTCACCTACGCAATCTAGCAATTGTAATTGTGCCCACTGCCTAGAGCCTATCTTGTGCTGTAGTGATCTATCGGTATGAGGATACCCCTATAAACCTCGATGTAAATTTCACCGACGGTCATGTGACCATCTCGCCGATTTCTTCCCTGTCTTCCGCACACGCTCCACTGTCAACCTTGTTTTCTGTATAAGCATACCTAGATTTTCAATTATTGATGCTATCAGTAGTCTCTCCTCATACGCAAGAATTATATATTTGTTGGTCTAGCATTCGATTCATAGTCTTAGATCATCTGTCCGGATTTAGTGTATGCGGATATATATATCTTCCCCACAAGATACAACGAAAACAACGTCGAAACTGGAGTAAACCTCACTAAACTGAACAACGAAGTGAAAAAAGCGCAATAAAATACTAGGTCGTGGCCTGCGGGCACGACCTACGGTCTCGCACACAGCTCAAGGCATTCCGAAGCGCATTTTCTTACTAAAGCAGACAACTCTCTCTAAATTACATGAATAATGTACGCAAGTTCTGCAAGTTATATAGAGGCACGTAGGACCTCACGTAGGGCCTCAGACAGGGCCTCTGAAGCTATTCAGAAAAGTAAGCTAGAAAGAAAAAAAAAAAAACGAAAGGAAATGGCAGAACAAAAGTCACGTTACTGGTGAAAAATAAAAGCCAACAAGAAGCTGAATCTGTGACTTTTTTGGACCAATGAGAAGCGAACGGGCTGGCAACAGACCTAGTAGGAGCAAACCTAGAGTTACTCAGCGCTAGCGCGCTTCGTAAATGAAGATCAAATCATTGTTATAAGCTTGTAACTGGCGATGAATTTAGTATGATTATATCGCCGAGGAGAAAATGTGAAAAGGTCGGAGTGTACGGAGGACTCCGGAGGTATAAAGCGGAGTGGAGTGGTTTCTACGCCGAGATCGATTCGATGCAGGGAAAACGACTTTATCATTTTTCTTTACAAAAATAAAAAAAAGAAAAGAAGAAGAAAGGGAGCAAAAGCTGATAGGTGAGAAGATTTATAGTGCTTAACGAGAATACTTGTTTATTGAAAATTAGGAGAAAGGCACTTTCACAAAGAATAATACGGACGCATTTTGTTTCGTTCTTTTGAGGGTGAGTATAGCATGGCGATGGATGGCTTCTATACATATCCCACCCACCCATCGGCCACTGCTCACTCGAGAGGATATCTATCTATACATCATCATCTATCTAACCTCCTTCTTCTCCGCCGTTCGGGGCAGCACCCTCGTCATCGGATCCGCCCTCGACTTCTGCCAGTGCCTCGCGCTGGGACTTCTTCCCCTCTGGACCGGTCGTAGGGAGTAGTTTGGCGGCGGGGATGCCGCCTGACGTGATGTAGAGGAACTCCTCCTGGGAGTAGTGATCGAGATGGCCGAAGAAGGCAGAGAAGCTGGAGAGGATGGTTAGTTGAGTTACTGATGATTAAAAATTATGGGGGAAGGATGGAACGTACGCGTTAGATTCCTCTTCCTCGCGGAAAATACGATCGTAGATCTCACGCTGCTTGAATTCGTTAATCGTATCGGCGTGCTTGTCGAAGTCGATGGGCTCTTTGCCGGTTTCCAGGGTCTTGCGGTTGTACGAGTTGAAGACGGGCCGTTCGAGAAGCAGACCGAGACCCGGGGCCTTGGGGATGGCGATCTTGTTGGCGCCGTAGGTTTCGACAATACGCTGGGGATCGCAGCCGCAGCGCACGACCATGGCGGCCATGGCGACCATCTTGCGGATCTGGTGCATCATGAAGCTTTGGCCGTGGACTTTGAGGCTGAGCCATTCGGTGCCGTTAATGAGGATGGGTTCGGGGGCGGCGTTGAAGGACTTGATGTGACGTTTCGAGGACGGATCGGCGTGCACCTTCTGGATCGTGTAGTTGAAGAAGTTATTCGTGCCGACATACTTGTCGAGGGTTTCCTGGACGCGAGCCAGACGGGCGGGCGGGATGCGGTAGGCCTTCTTGGCCTTGAGATACGCCGCCTTGACGGCCTTGACGGTCTGGAAGATTTGGCGTCGGCGGGCTTCTTCGGCCTCGTCGGCTTCGGCAGTAGGCTTCTCTTCCGAGGCTGGCTGTTCGGTGGCCGGGGTTCCCTCTTCGGTGGGCTGTCCTTGCTTCTCGAAGAGCTCATCCTGCGCGGATTGGTCCTCATCGTTCAGGTGCAGGACCTTCTCGATGAGCTTGCGAATGTCCTCGGGCGTCTCCTCGAGGATCGGACAAATATACTTGTCATCGATCTCCTCCCAGTATCCAGCCACTTCCGCCTGTCGCGCCTTGTGAGCCTCCAGGTCACCTTCCTTCTCGGCATACTCGACGAGTTTCTTGCCCAGGTAGGTGCTGGGATGGGGCGGCAGGAAGCAGTAAGTCGGGATGAGGTATTCGTAGATGCGCGAGTCGCACAATTGGTAGCTGCTGAACGACTTGTTCGTCACGAGGATATCCCAGACGCGAATCTGCGGGCTGAGCTTCTCGTTGATCTTCTGAATGATATCATCGTCCTCGACAATCAGCTTGAGAGAGACAATGTTTCCGGCGGCATGGACACCCTTATCGGTACGCGCGCACCGCACCAGCGACGACTTCTTCGGATCGGTTGCGTTAGCCTTGGAGATTGCGCCGGCCGCCACGAAGGCTGCGAAGAGTTCTCCTTCGATGGTCTTTTCTGTGTCACTCCTACAGACAATCAGCATCAGCCCAAACATGTCTCCCGATCGACCACGCGGGCTCTAGATCATACAATTGCATGCCCTTGTAACCCGTTCCCGAGTATCCCAGCAGCACGGCGACCTTCTTTTTCGGGCGGCGCTGCTCATTCTCGATATCTTCCTTGGAGAACTCAGTAGCGTAGACAGGAGCCTTGACCTCCTCTCCGCTCTCAATCTTCCGACGTTTCGTTTCCTGCTGAGCATCATGGCGGGCTCTCTTATCTACCATTTGCCGACTTGCTAGGTTAGCTGGATGTCAGACAATGCATCGCGCAATTGAATATCCGGACGGGCCTGCGCATACCTCCATTCGGATCTTCCCAGATTCCGCTTCTTACGAGCTGAATCAGCTCCGCCTCCGGCTTGCGGAGATCTTCCCTCGTGATTTCCCATGGTATGCGACGGGCCCTGATCGAGCGCAAGTAGTCGGGACCAAAGAACCGGACTTGAGAGGCACGCGGAGGAAAGCGCGCAATGTGACGAGACAAGTGGGGGGGGAGAGGGCGTCGCAAGAAGATGTGGGCGGACATGGGAAAAGCTGCTGGCGATGCTCGTCTTCATCGCGGGTTTTTGCCGCATTTGCCTTCGCCGGGCCCCGGGGCTAGGCCCGATGCGGATTTCTCGCTGTTCCTCAGGCAGAAGCCAATCGCTGCCCCAGGTATTAGGGTGTCAAGGTGTCCAAGGACTCATGCCTCAGGTGTCGAGATTGGCCAGCTCCAGCTTTCGTCTTTCATCTTTCATCTTCATCTCCAGCTCCATCTTCTTCCATCCTCCATTCTTTCACTTCGCTCAGCCCTGAACACCCTGCGCACACCCAATCAACCACTCCCGGCCATCTACCGGCTAGCATCACCTTCGCCTCCGCCTCCGCCTCCCCGCTGTCTCCCTACAAAGCATGTGGTCCTTGCGGTGCCGAGCTTAACATCGGAAGACATATCGACATTTGCGCCAGTTGCGCCGACAGACCTCAGCTGCCCTGACGACCCCACGATCCCCTCTATATTCTACCTTAATTCCAGCCAAGATACACAACCTCAACCATGGATCTCGCCAACACCCTCATTCGCAGCGTCGTGCGCGCCTTCTACGAGACCCGTCACATTCTCGTCGTCGATGCGCTCTTCATCCACTCCGTGTACGTCCCGCACCCCGATGTCATCGCAACCTAAGAAACCCTGCATACTAACCCTTCTCCCCCCACCAGTCTCCACGCCGAAGACCTCGCCTTCCTGCTCGGCATGCAACAAAAAGACCTTCGTAAACTATGCGCCAAGTTGCGCGAAGACCGTCTAATCTCCGTGTACGCACAGCACCCTCACCTTACTACCACCACCACCCCTCCCAGCTAACCATCCGCCTACACGCAGTAACACCCGCGCAGAGATCCGCGACGGATCTACCCGCCCTGTCAATCGCGAATACTACTACATCCCACTGCACCCCGTGATCGACGCGATCAAGTACAAAGTCTCCAAGTTAACCTCGACCATCAAAGCGCAGTACACGCCGAGCCAAGAACGGAAAGAATACATCTGCCTCCGATGCAGCGCGGAATGGACCGAGCTCGACGTACTAAGTCTCTATTCCGAGGAAGGCTTCGAGTGCCAAAACTGCGGAGCGATCCTCGAACGTACCGAGGACGTCAAAGGTGCCGAGGGCATCGACCGGACCGGCCACGAGAAGAACAGCAAGCTAATGAACCAACTCGACACGATGCTCAAACTCCTCAAACAGATCGACACCGTCGAGATCCCCCCCAACGATTTCGACACCGCCTGGGACCACAAGGTCGACGTCATCCGAAACCAGCAGACCCATCCAACCCGCGCGGCGGTAATCGTCCCCTCCAAACAACAAGAAGCCGTCCGCGGCAACACCAAGACCGACGCCGCCGCCCTGGAAATCTCCCTAACATCCAGCGCCGAGAAAAGCGCCGCCGAACAAGCCGCCGAAGCGGCGCGCAAAGCCGCAGTCGAGAAACAGAACGCCCTCCCCGTCTGGCACACGCATTCGACGGTGTCCACCTCCGCTGGAAACGTCCCCCGGGTCAAATCCGAGACCGACCTCGACATCAAGCCCGAGATCAAATCGGAAGACGAAGATCGCAAACCAGAGCTGGATGCCCTGGACGACAAGGTCGCTGCGTACTATGCCGAGATGGAGCGCGAAAAGGCCCTCCAGGCCCAGGAGGATGCCAGTAGTGCTGAGGAAGATTCCGACGACTTTGACGAGGAATTCGAGGACGTCGGAGGCGTGTCCGCCAGTGACGCCGCTTCTCCTGCTGTTAATTCTACTCCGACGACAGGTGGTGGTGCCGGGGGACCGACCAGTGCACCGATGAATACTACGAACTCCTCAATGGGCATCAAGAGGGAGCTGGATACGGATTATTCGAGTGTCAGCGCTTCCCAAACGGCGGTGGCTACGCCATCCACGGGCGGGGATGAGGGACCCGCGTCGAAGAAAATCAAGGTTGAGCCCGAGGTCAAGAAAGAAGAAGAGTCGGACGAGGATGACGATGAGGAGTTTGAAGATGTATAGCATCTGCTCCATTTCAATTCTCATTTCACCCCCTTTGCTACGGGCGCTGGCGCCTGTTACACACGATACATGAGATCTACCCTGGGCACTCAATATTTGTTCACTCGTGACTCAGTCCCGGTCCGGCCGGGACGTATGATAGACGAATGTAAGATTAGAATAGTCCCTTTGATGTGGGATAACAAGTCCTCAAGTTTCATCAGATTTGGAGCCAACACGTGTGCAAGATCACATCCCGAAGCATGGCGTGTCTAATCAACTGCCCGCAGGCCTATCTTTGGCAATAATAAAACTCCCTCGGGTGTATGAAAATGTGACGGCAATGTTGCAGAAACCAGCACCCCCCCAGAAAACGCACAACAGACCTTCCCTGTAAAGCCACGACGACACAATTCCCGTTGCATTAACACATGGTATGGAAACAAAACGGCATCGCGAGAAAAGCAAATCGACACGCAAAGCAACAGTAGCCGGAACGGAAGCAAAGGCCCAATTCTGTTAGAACCGGCTGAGTTAAGGAAACGCCGAGAAATGCAGGCCATAAGCACACAAAAAGCGTTTTATCGTAAATTCGTCTCTCATATGTGATACAAGTGAAACACCTCAGCGCAGTGCCGGACGTAGGGCTACGGAGAACCTGCCAGTCCCATTTCGGAATCACTGGCCATAACGGAGTTGTCCTCCCAGTCTTCTATACAAGGTAATTAGAGTCTAGACACCTAAAGGCTAGACGGGCATCCAAATCTATACTTACCAGACGCCAACTCTTCTGGCACGTCAACGACCAAGTCTTCCACGGCTGCGATGGTTTCTATAAAGCCTCCTGTCAGTAACAGTCAACTACCTATGCTTCCTGGAGTAACGTACCTTGAGCTTGCATAATAGCCTCCTGGTCTTCCTCACTGTCTCCAAAATACGTGCTTAGGCAATGCTCAACGACGGTGCGGATGGACTCCACGGCTCTTGGTTCGACATTACATCCTGGGACGTTGACGTATGTTTTCCGCAACCTGTCAACGCTCATAAGGACCAACTTTTTGGCAACTTCAGTTTGGTGCGTCTGCCAATCATCGCCCATTTCTTCCGCTTCGCCGGTGAACAGAATCTGTCGAAGTACCTCCAGAGTCATGTTTCGGACCGCTCTCTCTGGGTAGATTAGCAGAGTGGGAGCCCACTCTGGCACAGTGTCGATGAGATGGGTCAAAAACCAAGCTTCGTTGAGCCCAAGCCTGTCATTGCGACTGCCCATAATGCTCGTGAAGAACGAGAGATGCTCCCGACCACCGCTGTTGTTGATGGTTTCGACCCCTTTAGCAACGAAGTCGAGTAAGCTGGTGATTCTAGCCTCGTCAGGACCTCGGCGACAGAATATCAGTGTCGCTTCCAGAAATGGGGCACAGAGATTGGCAGGTGCCACTCTAAGACCTTCTTCTAGAGCTTTACAGATCGGATCCATGAGGCTAGCGTCGGGCTCTGCATCCACAAAGTTACTGACGATAGCTCTGCACGCCGCCGGGCTATTGTTACTGGTAAGAATCATCTTGAGGAACAAGAGCTCCTTGTTCTTCCCCAGTGGCCGGATGAGGAACGTTTCTGTCGAAGTGAGAGTGTACCTGCCATCTGGCAAAGCGCGTCGTTTGTCATCTGAACTGGGCGGTACAGTAAGGTCAGTATGCGTCAACAGCAATGCCAAGACATCCATCAGCTTCTTGTATGAAAATCTCCGTCCTTTCTCCATCAATTTGATGAAGACCGCGTACTGACGCCGCAACCGCTTCGAATCTTCATGCTCAAGCCACACGATTTCAAGGCACTTGAGAAGGAACCCGTTGTTGAGCACTATACCGGCCTCGTATTGCCCGAAGCCTGTAAGTAATAACAAGAACTCGAAATAGTCATCCCATGAGCGACTGGCGGTATAGAGGGTCGACCACAGGCCATCCAGTGTGCCCACAACATTCTCGAAGCCGTGCAGGTAGCGCATTTGCCATTTCTCCTTTTCGGCACTGCCATCGTCCGCTTTCTGGTGGAGATCTTGCAGTTTTGAAAGGGCACACATGATGATCCTCATCGAACTGTTGCGGACAGCGGCGTGGGGACTCCTTAGGATCAAGTTGCGGATCGCTGCCGGCTTACGTTCGAACCACTGCAGGACTCTGTAAGCGGCCTTCGGTACGTCGGTAATGATTCCCACGATTTCAGCCACAAATGTTTCCAGACCCAATGGTTCCCTGGCCCTCGAAAGCAACTGCTCGAGTGTATCCAAGGCAACAAAAATCATGGACTTATCCAGCTTGGTCCGTTTATCACTCCTGGATTCCTTCGTCCCATGAAGCATGGAAAGAAGATATCGAACGAAAAGGGCGTGATATGGATCCATCAGACAGTAAGTCCGTATAAATATCTCGTTCTCCATCACGATGTGGTTCGCAAGAGCCACAGGCAAGGGCACGCGTACAGGGTGGTGAGGTCTTGTAGGGTTGTAAACCGACTTCGCCGCCTCCATGCTGGAAGCACGTTGATAAAATAGCATATAGGCGTTCCAGACCTTGTTGAACCGGACTTGGCCCATGGCAGAGGACTGTAGGGAGTCGTTGTAGCCACCGAAACATTGGTCTGCGAGTTTTCCTTGGTCAAATCGGCTAACATCGGAGTCATTGAATTCGACCCATGAGCCTCTGGCACCAGTGGTAGGTCTTTCGCGGATGTACGAATAGTAGTGGCCGGATTCAGCCGTACCACTGTGGACTAAGACACCGACCAGCTCGAAGATATCTTCCTGGACGTCAGCAGCCTGGTCAGAAAGATATTCCACCTTAAAAGGGCTCATGTCAATGAACTCCGGGAACTGAAACTCGTCATTTATCTTGCTTCGCAACATGGTCACCATGTCAAAGTCAAAGCGCTTCAGATGAAAGATGAGATTGTCAGGCACATCTTTCAAGCACGCTCGTTTAACAGCATCGACATGGCGCCCGCATGATGTGCAAGAGTATTTGTTGTCTGCAATTAGAGAAAGTGTTAGTGCGAAAACCCCTTATACCATCCGGGTCAATTATGAACTTACCGCCTTGCATGATCTCTCCTTCGACATATGCTTGCAGGCTCTCTTCAAGACTCGCTTTATCCTTGATTTCGCACTGAATGGCGGAGAAAGGTTCAAGACGCTCGGAGATATGGGGGCATTCTTTTGACTTGATTTGTTGGACCAACTGACCGCCGTAGAACGACCGAAACTTCTTCTTGCACTCTGGATCAGAGATCAGGGCCTCCCATCTATCGAAGAGAAGGTTGTAGAACTCGTCGACATCCATCTGGATGGTAACATCGATGGGTTCGTTATCATACGTGCGTATCGTGTCAACGAATGCCTGGGAGTCGACGCTTTTGGTCCACGTTTCCTGCATGTACCCAAACAACTTCTTCGTCTCAAAGAGCAGCTTCTGGGAGCCCTCCGGATCTTCGAGATGAAGTTGCAGCATGAAGTCACGAAACCCAACGTTCATGAAAAGCTGGGTAAGAAGAGAATTCAAATAGCAGGTGTTGGAAAGATTCTTCAGCCCGGCATATCCTTCCGGCGACCGGATCATTTTGTAACGGTCGAACCCCCAAGAGGGAGAATAAGTGTAGTCCTCTGAGTGGGAATCAGCAAGAAACGCTGAGGAAGGGCGGATAGGCGGCTGGGTGTCCAAACCTAGGGGAATGATCTCTTCGAGACGCTCCACGATTTTTGAGTAGTCCTCGTCGACCTTGCAGAGCTGGCACAAGATACTGTACAGCTCCTGGCGGGTTTGCCCGTGCATGACAGGGATTTGGGGTACGATGACATCAGCCGAGGACAGGGAGAGATCGGGGAAGAGGTATTGGTCGAATAAGCTCTCGGCGAGGTCGCTGTGAAGTCAGTACAGGTAAAAAAAGGTATACCAGGTCTCGCCTCCAGCGAGCGGAACTTACGAGGTATCGACCGTGGTGTCGTTAGAACTTGCCAGATCCAGGCACAATCTAAGAAGGCGAGAAAACCCCAAGATGAGATGGTCCACGGGCTCGCGGCCAACGAACTGAAGAAAAGGTTAGCATCGACGATGCATATCTTATAAGAAAACCGACCTCTTCTGTCCGATGACGCAGCATGGTAGCGCTCCACTGCTTCAGGTATTCACTGAATGCAAGATCATGTGGTGACCTCTCCGCAACCGAGCGAAAAACCAGATTAGCAATTTCAAAAAATTCCTGGCACTGACGCGCATGGTCTACTGTCACCGGAAAAGCCTTGACAAAAGCATCCCAGATCGTTGCAAGGATCTCGATCCGGATCGGATTATCAGACGCTGATGCGCCTCCTGTCTCCTGTGGGTCCGACCCAACAGCCTTCGGTTTTCTCAGTAGTTTGGAGGGACTGCAAGTGACAGCAATGTTTTCCGCGATCCCTTTACGAATGGGCTGACGATTTTCCTCCAGAAGAAGTGAACGAAGGAGTTCATCGAATTGTACCTGTCGCTTGACAGCTTCCCAGAAACAAAGGTCCCTCACTGAGCCCTCGGACAGGACAGCAAATGAGTTACAGATCAATTTAGCGATGCCAGTTTCGGGAAGATAGGAGACAGGTAGACGTCGCGCCACTTCCATGAAGTGGAGGAGCTGCTGGGCTAATGCCGCTGGATTTGGAACCGCAGAGGCTTCATCTGGGAGAGCTGGTCGTACCAGAAGAGCGTAGAGGAGGCACTCGACCATATGAGATGCGAACAGAAGCTTGGCGGGGCTATCTTTCAAAGAATCCGACATTGCGGGGCGCGTCAACGCAGAAACCAGGACACGGACGCTATGAGACACATATTCTGGATTTGGGGACGCCTAGCAACGAGTTAGTCAAATATACGCCAAACGGGCACCATATCCTTACCTCGAGGGATTCTTCCCGCAGGGTCACTGAAAGTGCATTGACCGAGTAAAGAAGGCTATACGGCTTGTTCATTGGAAACATGTCGTCCTCAGTCTTGTCGGCGGATTTCACCAACTGCAGAACCCTGTCCTGCGGCGGGAAAACGACAAGGAAGTCATATATCTATTACAAGGATGGTCAGGATGGAAGAAGAAGAGGCCTGGGTTTGGAAAGCTTACCTCTCGTGCTAAGTGGTCCTCGAGTACGAGAAGATCATAGAGATCGTCAAAGTGTTTGAGCACTTCAGAATCGACTAATGTCAGCGACTGACGCCTACCAGTCAGCGCTAGTTCGCGACTGTCTGGGTCTCGACGAATAAGAAGTAACCCCGAGCCGAGCTTCAAGTCCCGGATGGTCATGTCAGGCTTCTCAAGAAGGTCAGTCCTTTGGCCACCAGATATCGTACTGAATTTAGTGAAGCCGGTAACACGCACGAGTGTTTCCACGAGCTCCGCAGCGGTTGACAGATCACCAATAGGCAATGAGCGAACTTTTGACTGGGTACCACCATTGAAAGTTTGGTAGCGGATATCTATTACCTCCCCTTGGACAGGCTTGCCAGGTAAGTCGAGAGGCAGGTTTTGCGGCGGGCTATACTGAGGACGACTCCGCAAGCCTTGTAGAAATTGACGAAGAAAAAGTAGTGAACGGCTGAACCTCAGCTCCTCTGCCTTGACAACGTCAAGTTTGGAGGCGACTGCCTCCGTTGATTCGTCCTGAGCTGTGCTGGCATTCTCACGATACTCCTTCAACCTCAACGCAGCAGACTTGAGCTGGTCAACACAACGATCCACCAGAGCAATGTGAGTAGCCTCAACAGCAGACCGTGGAGACCGGTTGATCACGCCCTGATCGAGATAAACCTCAATGGCGAAAGCAATCGCATCTGTCTCAATCGTACCAGGCGGAGCGGTCAAAATAAAGCTCCATATTCGATCCATACCTGGAATTGCCACGACTTCATTCTCGCCAGCTATTGGTGGAGGATTGAAACGGACCTCGTAGTTAATGGTCTGCTTTGCAAATTGAAGAACCTCAGGAAGGTAGTCTTCAGAAGGTGAGAGCTCGGGTAGATAGACCTGAATGCATCGTTCAATGAACGAGTTCGGTTGGGCGCTATACCGGGTAGTTCCGCAGAGCATATCCCAGAGAGCTCGTCTACCTTGCTGCGCGAGAGTCTTGGCCATGAAGACTTTGCGCCAAAGCAGATCACCAAGGTCGGGAGTGATCGTGTCAGGCACCATATCGATGATTCGGGCCAGCATGTGGATCCTCGCGGAGAATCCGGTTAGAGAAAATGGATCGGTAAAGTCTGTCTGGTCCATGTCCACCGTTTGGGCCAGCTCAGTGATCACCAAGCGGGTCAGGTCGTATTCCTCGGCAAGCTTTCGAAGCTCCTGGGAATCAGTACCAGGAAGAAGGGCATTCAGAGCCTGGATGCTGCCAACAGTAAACTGGTTCATTTCAGCGATGTCTTGAAGACATTGCTCATATGTCTCCATCTTATCCACCTCACTCAAACCGATGTCCATGAATGAACTCAGCTGGGCACCTGCACACTTCTGTAAAAGGGCCTTGTGCTCAACGGGCAAATCGTCGGCGCCAGCACTCTCACGAATCAAACGCACGCATAAGCGCAGCGGAATAGCATCAACATGGGTCTGATCTTGTAGGTCACGACGACTTCTGTCGCCATATTTCTCTCGCACTTGGTGGAGAAGCTGCTCACAGAAGTCTACCATGCGCGCATCGAAGCGAGACAATGGCAGATCCAGCAGCTTCGAACACAAGTAGAGCAATGCAGGCGACGTTGGCAGATGCATATGAAACGTCTTGCCCAACATCGCTAAAACTTCGGACACTGTTCGTGGGTCCGGGCTCTCCGTTACTGTTTTCCATATCGTGTCAGTGTCAGCATCGGTATATGTAGATGTGACAACAAGGAATCCGACAATGTTCCCACTTCTGCTGATCAGCTGAGGGTGAGAATCAATTCCCACGATGTATTCAACAATCCGGTTTTGCCGTAAGAAGCCCACAAGGTACTGGACTATAGGATGCTCAACGCCATCGGGATTGCTCTGGATGTGTTGTCTCCATACATTGACCAGGTCCGCCTGCATTGCCTCCATCCCATGAACACGCAGCTCCATTCGTCCGTCCATGATGTGTTTCTTCAGGACGGCAAACTTCCAGCCGTAGTGGATGATGTACGAACGATCATCGGGCGTAAGGCCTTCGGGGAGTTGTATCGCGAGATCCTTGGCGATCTGCCCAGCAAGTTCTGGATCACGGCGGCACAATGTGAGGTAAGACAATGCTATGAGGCGAAGCATCGATTCGCTCGTATCACTGGACACCCAGGGCGACTTCTTGGTTATGTGAGTCTGATACTTATCATCCGCGGCGCGGATCAAAGTGTAGGCACGTTTCATGGTGCGAGAATAGACGGAAGAATTTGACAGAGTATCATCCGCGCGGTACCTCCGCCGCTCGTTCCCTGACTCTAGCAGGTTATGCACGATCGTCACAATTGAGACCAGCGAGGTCGATAGCTGAGGCCAGCGGGTAATGAGAGTGAGAATGCAGACAGCATGTTCAGACAAACGCTGGACAATGTCTAAAGGGGAAGAGGCGACCTGATCGTTGGTACGCGCGAGCAGATTTAAAACTTCAGACCCATGCATCTTCTCCATGGCCCGGAAAAACGGGATACTATTTAATTGTAGGATCCAACCCAATGATGGCAGGTAGGCTTTCGACAATGGATCCGACATTTGTGCATCTGCGTCTTCCATGACTTGAGTCAACAAGAAGGTGTCCAGGCCCACAACGTGAAGCGCCAGTTGAGCGTAGTCGAGGAAGAACTCCTCCAGACAAGTCCATGGTCCTCGACCTTCATCCGGTAGAAACGCTGAGCTGTGAAATTGTCAGTGCTTGTCGTCCGTGTGATTGATGGGCCAACTGCATGGCGATAGTCCAAAAACAACTAGGGATCGCTTACGTTCTTCGTAACAAGCTATCCACGACCGTGGGCAGCTCCTCCCAAAAGTCCCGCTCTTCCGCCAGTACTTCATACGTTAACTGATCCAAATTATTTGCGACGTCATCTAGCCAGCCTTTCACGGCAATAAAGACCGGTATCTCATGCTGCGACCCTATAGAATGACTTAGTATGAGTACCGCAACAGTTGACTTGACGCAACAGAAGAAGGAATCTCTTACCTTTCTCAATGATCGCACAGATCTCCTCTAGGTTCTCCCGCAACTCATTGCCCAAGTGGATTTTCGGGAATGAATCCGTCAGAGGTTGGTCATGTAGCTGTACCACGTCCGGTGTTTCTGGTTCCCGCATCGCCTCACCCAGGGATTTCCAATTAGAGGTATTGGGATCCTGATCCATATCTTCCAAATCGGCTACTTCGATCTCCGGGCTCTGGGCAGGCGATGATGACAGCGATATGGCGGTGGAAGCGTCAACGCCGGCCTCACCCGCGGACGGAGCGGGGAGATCGCCGCTGGGATGTTCGACCGGGGAGTCTTCGGAAGCAGACGCCATCTTGTCGGGGGTAGGAGTCTTCAGCTTAATGGCCACTCGACTGGCGGGGCGAGAGGAGGGAGAAGCTTCTTGGCCCGTTGTGGCAGGAGCATCCGGGATATGGTCGGGGAGTCGAGAAGCGGCCGTTTCGCTGGAAGCGGACCACGACTCACAGGCACGACTTCCACTGTCGAGACGAGGGCGTTTCCGGGTAGATTGGGGATCGGACTCTTCCATGGGATGGCCGAGCGGACGCGTCGAGTCGCTCGAGATAGCGTCAGGCGGGGTGCTAGAGCTGTCTAGCGGGGCAGCTGCCATGACATTTTCTTAGCCCGTTCGATGGGGACCTCGAAATGCGGCAACGAAGTGAATGGGGAAGCGGGAGGGAAGGATCGAAGGGGATCTAATCGGGGGGGAAAGTTTGATAGGAAGGGGAGCGTAGAAGATCGAGCGCCCGGGGACAAGGAAAGGGAGCGAGGTAAGTAGTGAGAGGAAGGCAAGCAAGCCGTGTCGCTGCTGCGGATAAGAACAATGCGGGAAAGGATGGAATCCAGCTGGCGGAGGGCGAAAGGGCGTTTGCCGCAGGGAGCAATGGATCAAGAAGTAGCTGTCTAGACCCCAGGGGAGATGCAGGTCTTGAACGAGCAAAGCTGAACAAACAGCTAGCTGAAGGCCGGGCGTGAGGGAAACTGGCAGGCAAGTGAAGAAATGAATGGAGGACGAGGCCCAGCTCTGACGTTGCGGTGGAGCAGTGGATTGGCGGCTTTCAGGGCGAATCGGGGAGAGCCTGGAAATGAACGGTTTCTTTCAGCCAAACTCTCGGAACTGGTCTCTCCACCTAGTAAGGGATTCTAGGCTCCTCTTTTTGGGACTTAGGTGCTCCGCAATTATTCTATCATCCTTGTGACCCTTTCTACCTCTTGTTGGGTATTTTCATCACTTCCTCTCTATCAAACTGACTGTTCATCTGCGGCGCGGAAAGAAGCTGTGGTTACTGGGGAGGAAAGCAGTGTGTATCTTTACCCAGAAGAAGCTCCCCGAGGATACCTCGGTATTACCTACGATACTTCACTTGTTATAGATAAACACAGTCTGGACTGCAAGCCCAGCTGTGATGGCTCGGGAAGTAAGAGTAAAAATCAAGTTCCAAAAGAATAACAGCAAAGTAGTTACATCTGTAGCATTGGGCTCAGAGCAAATAAAGACGCATGATAGGTCTCCTTCTCCGGATGCTATCATCATTATTTCACCTGGGAGTTTGTGTTACCTAGATACAGTACCCATGGTACATCCGGTTGTCTCTTGGACATTTCTTTCGTTTGGTGTCCTGTTTCATGCATTCCTCTGGCAATCACTCACTACTGAGTTCTTCCCCAGCCAGCCCTAGGAGAAATTCTCCCGGTGACCGTCGCGAAGCCAACTGGATGCGCATTGTCAAATATGTACTCGGTACTTATAGTATGTACCTGGGCAGGGGAGCTGCAGGGGGCACATCGCATTTCCCCCCGCCGCCGCAGCCATCGAAGTGCTCCCAAACCCAGCTAGAGCCCCGTCCCCTGGAGCTTAATCGACCCCCAACTCCACTTGAAGCTTTCAGGCGCTCTACCTAGCGTGGGGACGCCCATTGGCGCATCCGATTAGTGTCCCGTCATCGGCACAGTTGTCATCTGTGCCTGTTTCCAAGGGTCCTGTTGCGTCCCCACTGTGCGCTGTCGATCATGGTGATTAACACCCAACCGTGCTTGGGGGAAGCAGAAAAGAATGCTTGTGTTACTGCTCGTGCTTAGTGGGTAGATCCCTGTGGCTCTAGAATTGTCCCCGTCCTTATGTCTATTTCCTAGTGTCCAAGCTCTGGAAACACCCAACGACCACAAGTATCCAAAATCTTCCCCAGCACCAGTTTACGCACAATTAAATTATTCCGTCATCGATGTCTCAATCTTGCGGATCACCTTGGCTGGATTTCCCACCGCCAGATGAAAGGCTGGTACATCCTGCAATCGCGATCCTCATCAGCAACCATTGTCTCCTGAATGCTAGATAATAGTCAACCCGTCCTACCTTGGTCACCACACTGCCCGCGCCAATGACGGCACCTTTCCCGATCGTTACCCCCGGCAGCACGGTCACATTCCCTGCCAACCAGCAATCCTCGCCGATATGGATCTCTTTGCCTGACTCGGGCCCCTCCAACCCCTTGCGCACGGCCGGATCGAGAGGATGTATGCCACTATATAGACTGACCTTGGGCCCGAACAAGGTGCGCGCCCCGATTGTCACCAAGCAGGTGTCGATGATGACACAGTCGAAGTTGATGAACGCGCCTTCTCCCACTTTCACGTTGTACCCGTAGTCCATGCGGATCGGAGCCTCGACCCATGGGTACTTCTGCAAGAGCTTATCATCCTCGGCGGGGTCCTCGTTAAGAGGCGGGAGGGGCGTGGAATCGCCCACGATGCTATTCCTGTCAGCAAGGTTCCATTTGCGGAGCCGTGGCTGATTATTCCGTTGAAATGCCTTAGGCCTAGCGTAGACAGATGGCCATCTGCTTACTTACTCCTTCCACAGCGTAAGTGATTGCCGACGGGATACTTCGCCCGCATTGTTGAAACGGCGACAGGCACTGGCACACCGGATCCGATCAGCCGTGAGGTCGGGGACGAATGCATGGTAGAGCTCCCCGCGGCGCATACGGTCCCTATTCTCTTGGAGATCCATGGTTGTGGCGGAATGAAGCAAACGAGACAGTGATTGATCCTTTCTTTGTTGGATTATCTAGGCGGGGTAACCGAGGCCTCCGCTACTAGTCTTCGGGGGTCGCGCTATCTGGTATCTACGGGGTAAATGGGGGTCCTCGGAGTTGACAAAAAGGGCCGGTCCAGCTCAGAAGATGGCCGACTCCAATGTTCATACAACAATCGACCCGGTGGTGCATTAAGCTCAAGAATGCATGACTGTAAATTGTGTAGTTGACAGTAATTATGACAGCGACCTCCAAGTCTACTATAATTGCGGATGGAATGGACCCAACTCTCCATATTTTTTTTCCTGTCGGATTTGCCACCATGTAGGAGATATGAATTTTTGATCCAGCAGCACCGATGACAACAATGGCTCCTCCGACATCCAACAACAAAGCTCTGCTCCGCCTGCATCTAGAACATCTCCCAGGAATCGAAAGTGCGGCCAACACGCGACGCCCTGACCAATCAGGGGCCCTCCCGTCGGAGCTCCTCCGCATGGCTCGATCCGTCATATTGTTCTCCAACTCCCGCCATTGTTCCAAAATTTCCATATAAACACTTCCACTCCACGCCTCATCACCTCCCCAGCATGCCAATTCCCTAACTCACCAAACACAACCACTACTTCCCTTACGACAGCCACAATGGTCCAACCCGCACCCACCTCCGCACCAGCATCAGCGCCATCCCCGCCATCCTCCCCCTCTCCCTCCCCCGAACCCCCGACCTGGCGACCCTACCGACCACCACCAGGCCAAACCACCACCTCCAACAACAACAACAACAACAACATCAACATCGACCAAGAACCCCCGCTCGACCCCTCCATTCTCCCCACTGGCAGCAAATCCCTCTCGGGCATCTCCCTCCGAGCCTTCCTCATCGGCACCACCTTCGGCCTCACCACCGCCCTAACCCTCCTCACCACCACCAGCAACCCCCTATACACCCCCCTCTGGCGCATCCCCTTCTTCCTCTCCAGCCTCTCCCTCTTCCACTTCCTCGAATACTACATCACCGCAGCCTACAACACCCGCTTCGCCACCACCTCCGCCTACCTCCTCTCCTCCAACGGCTGGACCTACCACATCGCCCACGCCTCCGCCATCACAGAATGTCTCCTAACCAACTACTTCTCCCCGACTCCCCTCGTCCTTACCCCCCGTCTCATAACCGCCCAAGTCACCCTCGGTCTTATCCTTATGATCGTCGGCCAAACCGTCCGGAGCGTCGCCATGGCCCAGGCGGGAAGTAACTTCAACCATACAGTGCAGGTTAAACGGCGCGAGGGTCATATTCTCGTTACGGGTGGGCTGTACTCTGTGTTCAGACATCCGAGTTACTTTGGGTTCTTTTGGTGGGGGTTGGGCACCCAGTTGGTTTTGGGGAATGTGTTTTGCTTGGGGGCGTATGCGCTCGTTCTCTGGAGGTTTTTTGCAAGTAGGATTGATCGTGAGTTTCCTCTGTCTCTCCCCCTTCAGTTTGGGTTGAGTGGGAACTGCGCTAACGCGGACATGGACAGGGGAGGAAAGGTTTCTGGTTGCATTCTTTGGAAAGGAGTATGAGGACTATAGGAAGAGGAGTTGGGTTGGGATTCCTGGGATCCATTGATCTGCTTGTCTTGGTTTATTGGTAAATCATGGAATATGGGGTTGTTTATGGTGGTCATAATGGCATAATATACTGCAATACTCTGTACAGCAAGATGGATAAATTGTCATCGCTAAATGGTATCATGGCTCCAAACGCCGTGCTATCGTGACCCATGCTCGGAAAATCCGTATATACAAAGACAGAATAAAAGAAGGGCTAGAGCTTGCTCTCTCGCGCGACACCGCCAATGGCTCCACTCATGTAAGCGCCCTGGGCGTCGTCGGGCTCGGGATTCTCGCCGGGTTCGGCCCCATACAGAATGAGCTCTCGCCCTCCTAGAGTGCTCCACCAGGTGACGCAGTAATGGGCCCGTTCGACATCCATTTCGCCGCTGCTCAGCGCTTCCCAGAACCGTTCCACGCAGAGCTTGTGCATGCCAGGCCCGGTGATCGCGTGGAGCAGATGCCCTGTGAGAGGAAGCCATTCCTCGAGGTCTTCGACGCGTAGGAAGCAGAGGCTGTCAATGAGAGCGAGCGTCAGGGCTGCTTGTTCTGAGACAGGCGGGGATTTTCCCAGGTCAGGGCCTTCGCCTTGCGACGGCTGGGGGAGCAATTGGTCGGATGCGTGTAATGCTCGGTCATAGAGGACCTCGAGCAGGATAGACGGTAGGAGACGTTGTGTGTTCGCGATGGGTGACGGCGGCGCAGTGACCTGGATTACGGTCTTGAAAGCCAGACGGAACTGTCGGGCTGACAGGTTGTCCGGAAATACCTGAACGAAGAATTAGATCGAGACGCTACTAGCGAGAAGACTACTTACGGCAAAGAGATTGTCGATGTAAAACGGAAGATGCTTGGCAGCTATGGCCGCATTTTCCGGGATAGCGAAAACTGCTAGGACCGCGCTATGGGCAGCCTCAAAGATCTCCAGAAGGTGGTTGTTTCCTCCCGCAGGGAGATATGGGACCGCGGCTGCGATGATCAGTTCTTCGCTGCATGGCGGGGACAGTACAGGTGTGAAAAGTTCGGAAGTGTTGAGGAAGAATAGATCCAGACACCTCTCGATGGGATGGTCAGGAATCTGCCCAAGTTCACTGGGCTTAATACTCCTCAGGAAATTCTCAGCTAGGTCCGGATAGTGTGCGAGGATATCCACAGCCGCCAGAGTCACAAACATGTGCTGCGAAGAAGCGTTCTGACCCATGCGAGAGGATATGAAATAAAGATTCCGCAGGATATGGAGAGCCTGCATCGATAAAAACGGCGCGCCTGGAACAGTTAGTGTACAGCACATCTCGATCGTCCTGAGTATCACCTACTTCGATGAGCAGCCAGCACATGGTCATTAATCACTCTTCCCAGAACAGCCCGTAGAACGATCACGATGGAATATAGGCAGTTACGGAGTAGCCTCCAAAGGCTTGGGATGGTGGTCTTCAACGACTCAGGGTCAAGGAATTCCGCTTCTTCCGCTCGGTCGACCTCCGACAACTTGTTTAGCCGCCACTGCACCATCAGCGTACGCACAAAATCTGTGATATGATCCAAAGTTTGAGCGACTAGGCCCGGGTCTTTGACGTTCTCTATTGCATGCGCCATGAGACGGGAAAGTGGACCTAGTGCGGACACAAGAGGACTGGAGGATATCGCCGATATACGGGCGAATGTGTCGGATTGTGCTGACCACTGGAACTGCTTTCCGGGTGCTTCCACCACGTCCTTATCAACAGTGCCTAAGAAGTACCCTCCCTCCAGGCCTTCCGGTGATGCGTAGGTCGAATTGACCATGACGGGTAGCCAACGGTCATAGTCCAGCCTGTTCTTCTCGGAATCCGATAGGAGTTCGAAGCAGTAGTTCAGGACCATTGTGACACAGCGACCATCCAACTCGTTCCGAGGATCCAACTCTTCAAGTGCAAGCTGCGCCGCCGTCACGAGGGCCCTCTCCAGCTTTCGGCGAACATGCCACGGCAATGCTTGTCTATTTTGACCTTCGAACCCTAGCAGAATCCCCCCAATTAGGATTGTGTGCCGCCATCGTGGTGACTTCTCATCCGCTCCATTGACAACAGCTTTAACCCAGTCCTCGCGCTCGATCTTCCTGGGCTTGGTGGAGGGTATCCTCGGATCATCGGAAGCTTCACTTTGTACGATAGCAATGGCGGCAGTGTTGAAGACGCTGAGAATCTTTCGACAGGTGAGGAGATCGACGGAATCTTCCCATATTGCTGGAGCTGCCAGCAGCCGCGATGCAAGGAGGGTGATGTTCAAGGGGTTACCAAGTACGGACAAGAGACTTGTCGCCGTGGGAAGCAACCTAGGCGAGAACGGTCAGTTGCATCCGCGCTGCCGGGGGCCGGAGGGGATGGTATCTTACGTGAAGACATCCTGAAGGTCGGATGATGACTGCAGCGAACGCAAAAGAGCGCCCAAGGAGCGCTCGGTCGCCATATTCTCAGAGGAGCGCCAATGATGCAGCTGATGAAGAGGACATGGGATACAACCTGGAGGGACGGTCTGGGAGATAACGGAAGCGAGCTGCCCATCCAAGATGCCGCGGAGAACCCCAGATCACCTGCCGAGGTTAGTTGCGAAGAGAGCAAACAGTGCAAACTACAGCTCCGGCCATCGAAAGCGGATCTTATCGCTTCGCGACCCTTTCTGGCCTCCTGGGGTCTATATCCACCAGTGCCCCTCTACCACTTATCATTATCTTATGATTATCCAATTGCCTGTGCTGGCAGGTGAGGTAGCCTTCTCGCGGTCAAATGGCCAACAATCGTGTTCCGATCAATTACCAGACACCTCCCTTCCCGTCTCTTTATGAGCTCTTCCCGACGCGTAGCACCGGGGCATATTATCTTTACTACAATGAGGACATTTGGCGTTTTACCCTATACTGGACCTTGATTTTCTATGGCGCAAGTCATCTGCTGGTGGCCGCATGGGCGGTGACTATGCAGTGCCGAAGCTGGAAGGTCTGCCTGGCCGTTCCTTTGGTCTATATGGTCATTGGGGGGTTAGAGGCGCTTTTGGCGGGGAGTATCATTGGCCTCGTGTGAGTAACACTGGTGCTACGTCCTACAGTTCTGGCAGTCAAACTAAGTAGCAAATAGTTTAGGTGCAGTTTACGAAGCGGGCAATTTCAGAATGTCAACCTGGATCCCCCTTTTATGGGGAGGCATCAATGTGTTGGTTCTTATCCTTTCTAGTTTTCCGATGCAAGGTGGACTATGAACGCAGCCGAAAACCATGAGTCGCCATCAGACTGCCGTGTCAGTTGCTGGCCCCACGCATATCATCATCCTCTTACGGCCGAAAGCGCAGCTTCCCTTTGATGCCGACTATAATACATTCGAAAAGACCTGGACTAGAAGAATGACAATTCCATGCCGACCGAGCTACCTGCCATTACGCCAGTTATCCAGGCCTAACAGCTATGACCGCAGCTGGAGTTATCTTCCATATCCATGATCAGGCGTCCCGCTCCCTTGCAGACCGGGAAGACCCCCGGGCATACCAGGGAAGTTTGGCGGGGCAAAATTATGCGGTAACGATATTCCTTGGGACAGAAGCTGCTTCTGTAGCTCCGCAAGGTCCACGTTCACCGGAGGAGTACCTGACATGGCAGGGTGCATGGGAAACCCAGGCAAACCACCCGCCGGAGGGAAATTGTTCGGTTGAGGGGGTGCTTGAGTAGACAACAAGGCTGCTAGACGGCCAGGATCCATCTGAGGCATGGAAGTGGAAAACCCAGGCTGAGGTGGAGGCTGCGGAGCACCAATTCCTGGCAGTAATGAACCCATCCCGTCTTGCTGAGGTGCAGCGCCAGGTGGTGCAAATTGGATTCCAGGAAGACCACCCATGCCAGTGGGTTTCCTTTGGTCGACCAAGCCCTCGGCCTCATCTTGAAGCTCCTGTTCTTCTTCTTCACGCATCTGTCGCCTCCCAAAGCCACGGCTCCAGGTTCCCTGGGCTTCCGCCGCCTCCTCTCCGATGTGGAATCTATCTTTCATGTAACTAGTCTCCCCGGGCCTGGCCCTTGACCAGAACCGTGTAAAGTTGTCTTTAGAGCCGGACGCAAGAATATGACCTAGAGGATGCCAGTCAAGTGACCAAATAGTGGCACCATGTGCGTATTGTACCTTGTGGGCAGGATAGATGACCTGAGCTGGTGTGTTAGCCGGGTCAGGGCTGTCATAAGGCGCGATCGTAGGTATTTGCCCGGAAGGCAAATTTGGTTCGTCAAGCAGGTAATGGTACAGTGAGCCATCCTCACTTCCAGTCGAAATGAGGGAGCTGTGGATAGGGTGCCATGTTAGGGATGACACGGGTTTCTCGTGGCCTCGAAGGATACAAATATCCCGCATCATGCGGAGGTCGAAGACTCTCGCCGTTTGGTCGCGAGAGGATGTAGCTAGAAGATTGTTGTTTACCCGAGAGAACCTCGTTGCTGTGACGGTATTCTTGTGACTGTGAAGGGTTGTTAGGCACCTTGCAGTGCGTGGATCCCAAAACTTGACCTGGTGATCCTTAGATCCAGAGACAAGAAGACCTTTGGTGGGATGCCAATCGCAGGACTTTACGTCCCAATTGTGACCAGTAAGCACGGTGTCGCAGGTTCTCGCGGTAAAGTCAAAGATCTTCAACGTGGTGTCATCAGATGCCGAGAGGAATTTGGTATCACTGGGGGACCAGGCTAGGTCGCGAACCGCATCATGGTGCGCGTCATCAATCGTCTCGACGTTGTTAAAGTTAGGTCGCCAATATTTCACATCGCCCTTCTGTCCTCCAGATATCAACCAGTCGTGGCTGTGGGACCACGCCAAGGAAGTTACTCCGGCTTGCAATTGATCATAGTGTGCCTATTCAACCATCAGCGAACTCCAGTCGCCAGCCAGCATGTTATAGTGGCCCAGTCAGCACGTACATCCATGACCGTTTCAAAGTTGAAGGCAGTTCCATTCCATAACATGAACTCGCCAGTGTGTCCACCCGTCAGTAGACGCCTCCCTTCTGGTGTCCATCTCACGACTGTAATCGGCTTTTTCGATTTGCCAATCGACTGGTGTAGATGTCGCACTGGTATGGTGTCTGCTGGAGAGTGAACTCGTGCGAGTGGGGGTAGCATCTAGCAAGAAAAATTGACGCTCAGGTCAGTCAAGAAGACGGGGGAGGAATGCGCAAAAGCGTGTCGCACTTACATCAACCACATAGCTTGCACTAGGCCTTTCCACCTCCAGCTGATGACCTCCTTTGTATCGGGGTTTCCGTGTGCGCATCCATTGCACCAGCGATGAGCCGTAGTCGGTCACGAGTCCTACCAACGACTGTTAACCTCACCGCTTGGGAAATAAGAGCAGCAGGGGAAACAAGATGGACGTAACGAGACATTAAATAGAAAGACACGTACTTGGCCGTCGCGGTCCAGCGATTCCGCCTTCGTAGGATTTTGGCGGTCTCCCAAATGGCTGGGAATCACTCCCAGGATCGTCGTAGAAGGCCATTGCGACAAAGCGTACTACCTAACCCAGGGTGGGTTGCCGGGAAGAGAGAAAGGATGACGGAGAGATCGAAGAGAAAATCGCCAGCATGACAGGGAAGGAAGACAGGATACAATGACAGCTAGCCGACGCTCGACCTGGTGGTAGGATCCCCAGCTAGAACCAAGCGCCCATGTCGCGCATGCAGCAAGAGCAGGAGTAGCGCTTGATTGCTTGTCTTCCGGTGTTGGCGTTGGCGTTGGCGTCGGAGCGTCGAATAATGAGCAGCCGACCTTTGGCCTGGCTGATCGTCATTGGCCGGGGCAAAGCCAGCCGCCGCAGCCATAAATTTTAGGCCCGCAACGGCCTCGATCGGCCTGAGGCCAGGCCGTTGCAACGCCGCAATTATGCGTTCCTCCCCTGCAACCCCCGCCACGCTGCTACTCCTCTTTCTCCTCTTCTTTGTCGCCGTTCCATAATTACCCCTTCACTCCCCCCTCCCAAGCCCTCCCTGTCATGTTTCCCTTGGAGAGTGAACCCTGGTGGGATTCCGTGTCCTGTGTGCCCTGTGTTCTAAGCCGTTACCCGCAATTGGATTGAACCGAGGCCAGACAAGCTAGTCTCCCTATACTTCGGGCCTGTGACACTCACCTGTAAGAACTGGCGTGGTTTGTTTCATTCCGATTAAACCACGAAACCAGCATGATCCCTGTTGAAGAGCTACAGCGAAGCGCTGGTGCTGTCAGCACTGGAAGTGACACCTCAGCCCTTCCATCAAAGGCCATGAACGGAAAGACATCCAACGGCCATCCTCCGAAAGCGACAAATGGCGCCACCAACACCAACTGGAGGAGGAGGAGCAAATATCGCCATGTGGAAGCCTATCATTCTAGAGTACGGCACTCAAGCCTCAGTCGCGAACCCAACGTCACGGCCAGTTTCCTGGGCTTCCGAAATCTCATGGTTATTGTTCTCGGTTAGGCTCTCATCCTCCTCAGGCGTGTTTCCGTGCGTGGCTAATGTGTTGTTCCCGGAACTAGTGGCGATGAATCTCCGGCTGATCATTGAAAACTTCATGAAAGTAAGCCGCACGTGGGATTCAAGATCCATTGACACAACCCAGGCTAACGACTTGGGATAGTATGGTGTTTTGATCTGCATCAGGTGCCACGATTATCGGAAGCAGGATGTCGTACTTGGATCGGCGCTCTTCGCCCTCGTCCCATTCCATCTATACGTCTCCTATCTCATTGAGCTGGCCGCGGCGAAACAGGCCAAGCGGATTGTTGGTCAGAAGAAGAAGGACATCTCGACCGAGGTAAATGAGCGCGAACAACGGATTTTCAAGAACACCTGGTGGATCTCTGCATTCTTCCACTGTTTAAACACCCTTCTTAGTTTGGGAATTACGAGCTTCGTCGTATATTTCTACGTCCATCATCCAGGAATTGGCACTCTTTGCGAGCTTCAGGCTCTCATCGTGTCGTTCAAGATCTGTTCCTATGCTTTCACCAACCGCGACCTCCGTGAAGCAATGCTCAACCCATCTGTTGAGTCCGCGCTCCCAGAGATCTATGCGTCTTGCCCATACCCCAACAACATTACCCTTGGAAACCTGATTTACTTCTGGCTAGCACCTACGCTAGTCTACCAGCCGGTGTACCCCAGGTCATCGCACATCCGGTGGTCGTTCGTGGCCAAGCGTTTATTTGAGTTCTTTTGCCTAGCTGTGTTTATCTGGCTATTGTCGGCCCAGTATGCGGCCCCCGTCTTGCGGAATTCCATCGACAAGATTGCTGTCATGGACATCGCGTCTATTCTGGAGCGGGTGATGAAACTCTCGACAATCTCGCTTATCATTTGGCTGGCCGGGTTCTTTGCGCTCTTTCAAGCACTATTGAACGCCTTGGCTGAGGTGATGCGGTTTGGAGACCGCGAGTTCTACACTGATTGGTGGAATAGTTCCAGTCTCGGGATGTACTGGCGGTCCTGGAATCGGCCGGTATACCTCTTCATGAAGAGACATGTCTATTCGCCGCTTGTTGGGCGAGGGTGGAGTCCTCTTGCGGCAAGTACGGTGGTCTTCACGTTATCTGCTGTTCTCCACGAGGTCCTCGTGGGTATTCCGACGCATAACCTGATTGGTATGTGATTCATTCTTATTGCGTCTTTGGATGAGAACTAACTGAGAGCAGGTGTGGCCTTTGCGGGTATGATGTTTCAACTACCGCTGATCATCCTGACCGCTCCCTTGGACAAGATCCAGGACCCGTCGGGGAAAGTGATTGGCAATTCCGTTTTCTGGATAAGTTTTTGTCTTGTCGGCCAGCCTCTAGGGGCATTGCTATATTTCTTTGCCTGGCAGGCGAAATACGGTACTGTGAGCCGGATGTGAGAATAGAGGCACCTTTCATTGTTTTACCATAATGTAAATCAACCCGTTCAACTCGCACCTTGCAGAATTGCAAACACACAGTAAGCGGAGTAAATTGTACCCGCACGCTCCGTGAAAGTACTTTCCCGACATGTCCATCGTATTCACTTTGCTGACCCATCTGGACCCATGCGTCACTGCGTGGTTGACTCATTCTCCAGCGATGAATGGCAAGGCAGCAATGAGCCCCGGAATGTCGGGTTTGTGAGGATCCACCGGCATGCTTTAGATCCCGCATCCGGCCGTTTCTATCTACACTAGAGTCCAATCCATTTTTGGCATCTTCGAAACATTTTATAAAAAGCTATCTACTCTAGCCTCCCTACTGAGTCCCCATTAGTGTCACCCAATTCCATATAATTATACTTCACCATGCTTACGCTGACCGTTCCCGAGAACTACGGGTATGCGCTAATCCTACAATCCCTGCAGACATTTCATTTCTCCACGCTGGATACTGACTGCTCAACAGCGCCGTCATCGCCGTCGCCCTGGGCGCCATTCCCGTCCTAGGCTTCATCCATGGCGGTATCGTGACGCGTCTTCGTAAGGGGGCTGAAGTCCCATACCCTCACTGCTATGCGACCGTGGAGCAATGCAAGGCCAATGTACGCCACCCGCCCATGAGCAAGCTGCATTGACTGAACTAACATTACTCATTTTCCAGCCCAAAGCTGAACAGTTCAACTGCGCACAGCGCGCTCATGCCAACTTCCTTGAAAACTCCAGCCAAACCATGCTCTTCATCCTGGCCGCTGGACTGAAGTACCCACAGTTGGCGACTGGACTGGGAAGCTTGTGGGTTCTCGGTCGTTCCCTGTTCCTCTACGGATACGTGTACTCCGGCAAGCCCCGGGGTCGCGGACGTATCTACGGCAGCTTCTACTTGTTCGTACAGGGGGCTCTTTGGGCCTTGACGTCGTTTGGGGTTGCGAAGGAGCTGATTTCCTACTGAGTCGGGGTTTGCTCGTCACTTGCTGTCTGATTGGCAGCGTTGGTCATACCAACACTTAATCACCTCTCCTGTATAACACTATTTATGTCATGTAATATTGGCGGCCGCTAGGGCTTGAAAATGACAATGGCTTGTTACACAATCTGGTTGACGTGGTATCTCTTCTGCAAACAGAAATCTTACTGGAGCTCAGAAGAACCTCGGCAGGGGCCTGGTGGCTGACCCCACGGGCCGGAGACGGAGCAATCCAGCGCCGATGTGGCTAGTGCGTGGAGGGGCCCGGCTATGAATTTATTGACTTCCTAGTCCGTGTCGCCATTTCTAGTATTGTTGGTCTTCACCCATTTGTTTAGATATATTGCAGTTATCTGATTCAGTAGTAGACTTCTTCTGCTACTCCCGGATCAATCCATCAGGTTTTTTTCAGTGAACACTCGGAGCCATACCCAGCAGCAGACAATCTTCACCGCACCCCGCATTCACCCCTCCATCGACATCATGTCCTCCAAGTCGCAATTGACCTACAGCGCTCGCGCTAGCAAGCACCCCAATGCTCTGGCCAAGAGGCTATTTGAGATTGCTGAGGCCAAGAAGACTAACGTCACCGTCTCGGCCGATGTGACCACCACTAAGGACCTTCTAGACCTCGCTGACCGTAGGCCGACCCGATACTCTGCCTGAATATTTCCCATGCAAACTTATTAACGGTGGCTCCGGACTACAGGTCTCGGTCCCTACATTGCCGTGATCAAAACCCACATCGACATCCTCTCCGATTTCAGCAACGAGACCATCGAGGGTCTTAAGGCCCTTGCGGAGAAGCACAACTTCCTTATCTTCGAAGATCGGAAATTCATTGACATCGGCAATACTGTCCAGAAGCAATACCACAATGGTACTCTTCGTATCTCGGAATGGGCCCACATCATCAACTGCAGCATCCTGCCCGGTGAGGGCATTGTCGAGGCTCTCGCCCAGACTGCGTCTGCACCGGACTTCGCCTACGGCCCCGAACGCGGCCTCCTCATCTTGGCGGAGATGACCTCCAAGGGCTCCTTGGCTACGGGTCAGTACACTACGTCCTCGGTTGATTATGCCCGGAAATACAAGAACTTTGTCATGGGATTCGTGTCGACTCGCTCTTTGGGTGAGGTGCAATCGGAAGTCAGCTCCCCCTCGGATGAGGAGGACTTTGTGGTCTTCACCACCGGTGTGAACATCTCGTCGAAGGGAGATAAGCTTGGTCAGCAGTATCAGACACCCGGATCGGCTATCGGCCGGGGAGCTGATTTCATTATCGCGGGCCGCGGCATCTACGCTGCACCCGACCCGGTGCAGGCGGTGCAGCAGTACCAGAAGGAGGGATGGGAGGCGTACCTGGCCCGTGTCGGTGCTAACTAAAGTTAAAAAAGGGATAACCATGATGTTTATTGATGATATAGCAATACAGACAGCCACGATCAATGTGGGCGAATGTCGAGTACGGGTAGTGGTGCGTCTCTTGTTAGTGAAGGCCTGCCGAATGCGGCATCATCGGATGTCAAAAGGATATTGATTCTGCAGACATAGTGGCGTGGCGGTCAGCCATCTTGATGTGTCTATTTGGTGCAGATAAGCTCCGGAATAACTTTATGCGTAGGCCATGGAGCAAGTAGTCCGAGCCGGGTGGTGGCTGGCTGATAAGAGTTGGGTGATAAGCTTAATCGTCGTTGAGAGATAAGCGGTGATGACAGTGGCTCTCCTCTTGGAGGTGATAGCACGGGCCTTCTTCCAGGATGATGCCTGTGTCAGACAGACCGCGAAGGATTCGTCGGCATGGTTCCGCATCGATCAATGCCAGATGCCCCAATCGCGCGGCCTGTTGCCCCCCCAGGCATACATCATATCCCGGCATCGCATGCGTCGTGTGATAAGACTGCTCCATTTTGATTGTATCGCGCAACCTGACTAGTTGGCTTCTCAAGCATACTAGTGATGGTGGATGCACGTTGCTTTCGGCTATTTCATCCAATGGATAAGCCGCCTCCAACTGGGTTCGCCTCCCCAACCTTCGCTCGACCGCCTCTTGCCTTCCCCTCACCACTCTTTCATCCAGCATCTCGCAGCTCCCCCCCTCATCACTGTGGGCCCATGGGTGAGAAGACATGGCCGCATTGGCTCAATCGATAAGCTCCTCGTCCGCTACCCCAGACTGATACCAGATAGCATTGCCCAGCGGCTTATCGCCGAGGTATGCAAGCGAAACCCCATTCGGCCGTGCAGATAAAGGGCATGTTGTTTTGTGCTTCCGATGGGGTCGGATGACAAGCTGTCAATGGCCTTGTCTTAAGGAGACCGTGTCGCCTGTGCCTGAATCTACCCCGAGGACTACCAGAACCACTCCCCTCCCCTCCCTCCACCTCCTACTGCGACCACCCAGCTTTGCTCTCCTCTCCAAACCAGATTTCAACATGGCGGATGAGAAATCTGAGAAAGCTCCACCCCCGATGGAGGTGGATGAGGAGACTGGAACAACTAGAGAAATTGATCCGACGCTCCTGAAGCATGCACAGGATGCTGACGAAGCGCTGGCGGTCTTCCAAGATCTCCATGGTGAGGTCATAACTCTGGATGAGTCGACAAACAAGAGGATTCTTCGCACAATCGACTGGCACATCATGCCAGTCATGTGTCTCGTCTATGGAATGAACTTCCTGGATAGTTCGTGATATTCTCACCAGCTTTCTGATCGTTAGTCTAACGGTTCGCAGAGACTACCCTGTCCTATGCCAGTATCATGGGGATCAAAACAGACTTGAACCTCGTAGGCGATGATTACCAGTGGCTTGGTAGTCTGTTTTATTTTGGTCAGTATGCTCGAACACCTCCCATTCATCAATGAGGATAGTAGACTGACTGGAAGAAGGCTACCTGGCATGGGAATACCCGACCAACCGACTTCTTCAGAGGCTCCCCTTGGGGAAATATTCGGCCTCTTGTATTATTATTTGGGGTGCGATCCTGTGCTGTTTCGCTGCCGTCAGTAACTACTCCGGAGCAATTGCCGTTCGGTATATGACCCGTCTCAACTCCATATTCATAACACGATGCTAACCAGAGTTCAGCTTCTTCCTCGGTGTCTTTGAAGCCTCTGTTACCCCCGGTTTCGCCTTGATCACCTCCCAGGTGAGTCTTCCTATCATATGCTTCAACAAGCTCAACACCGCTAACACATACTAGTGGTACACAAAAGCCGAACAAGGCAGTCGAGTCAACATCTGGTTCAGCTTCAATGGCTGGGGCCAGATCTTCGGCGGTCTGGTAGCCTACGGTATCGCCGTGGGAACGGACCGTCACGGCTCTGCCATCGAGCCTTGGAAAATTATCTTCCTTGTCACAGGTCTTCTCACCGTCTGCCTGGGTGTGCTTTTCCTCTGGATTGTCCCCGACAGCCAGCTCAACGCCCGGTGGCTCAAGCAAGAAGACCGCGTTCTTGCCCTTGCCCGTGTGCGTGTCAACCAACAAGGAATCGGAAACAAGCATTTCAAGATGCACCAAGTGAAGGAAGCCCTTGTGGATCCTATGACCTGGGCCTTTTTCTTCTACGCCCTCATCGCTGATATTCCAAACGGTGGCATCACGAACTTCTTCAGTCAAATGGTTTGTCCGTCCTCTCAAGTACCAGGATACCTTCTTCTGACTTAATGTCTTTAGATCACCAGCTTCGGTTATACGGAAGAACAAAGTCTCCTCTACGGTGTCCCCGGCGGTGCCATTGAAGTCATCTCCCTTATCGGGAGCGGCTTTCTTGGCCAATACACCAACCAAAGACTGCTTTGCTGTACAGGCGGCCTCATATTCGGCATAATCGGCATGGTCCTCATCGTTGCACTGCCTCTTTCGAACAATGTCGGTCGGCTGTTAGGTTTCTACATGACGCAAGGGAGTGCCACGCCGTTCGTGGCACTGCTGGCCATGATCTCGTCGAACGTAGCAGGCTACACCAAGAAGACGACTGTTGCGGCCATTTACTTGATCGGGTACTGTGCAGGAAATATCATTGGTATGCTTCCATCCTACTTGTTCTTTCCCCTGGTTCGGCAATTGACAGTACATGGTTCAGGCCCTCAAGTCTTCCGTCCTAAAGACGCACCACGCTATGTTCCCGCAGAGATCACCATCATCGTCTGCTGGGGCGTCTGTCTAATCATTCTCGCATTTATCTGGTGGTGGTACCGCAAACAAAACGAGAAGAAAGCCTTGGTCCGTGCCAGACCGGAGTACGCACGCATGGAGAACCAAGAGTAAGTGATGCCTTCTAATTGCGGTCGAATGACTTAATCTAACAGTTGACCTAGATGGATGGATCTTACCGACTGGGAAAATCACGAACTCGTGTATGTTCTGTAAGAACTTGAATTTATCGTGTGCTATCTTGGGCCTGGTGCCTATTAATGATTATGATGACAACAATGCTACTCTGTGTTATTATCTCTCCCGGGGGTTCTTTGCTTAATGATTTCTAACTTGGGTCTTTCTCTTTCACCGTGATCAATCGTATCTGGACTTGCGACCATGGAATAATACTCTACCCCCTCGATCTCCACAACCGGTACTCCGTAGCAACCATAGATTTCCTGGATTCCGACAAGGAATAGGGAACCAACACGACAGCTGCCAAGCGGGGACTGCGGGGAAGCAGGGCGGGGCCAGCTCCACCACACCCGGATAGCTTCAGTTATACTTTACAGCTCCTCCTCTCCTCCTCTCCTCCTCTCCTCCTCTCCTCCTTCCTCATCGGAGCCGATCCATATGTCATCACTCTAATCTCACCCAATCCACCCCACGAAGGAAGCAGATCCCCTACCGCGGGAAGCAGGTGACTGAGATCATGTCTGTTTGCTTGGATCGAGCAGACTCGGGCATGGGCTTAAGTAGTACTTGATGGTTTAGTTCAGGTACTCATGCCGGCTATCTGATGGTGTTGGATGGGTGATGGATCCGGACTAATTTGGGTTTGGGAATGGGAAAGTCAGAAGGGGCTGTTCTGTCTGTAGTGATCTTTTGGTGGTTCAAGGGAAGGTTGGGGTGGAATAGGAAGTCGCTGGTTGGTTATCCTAGTGGATATCAAAGGATGAAGTGGTTGTTGATCCCTTCACTGGGGGTCATGACTCGCCTCATGGCCTGGGCCTTTGGTTTAAATACTGACCTGGTTCCCCCATGGGTCTTCGGAATGGATACAGATAACATTTTGAAGTGTTGCTAGCCAGGTTATGCTATTCGGACTGTTTTGGCCGTCATTGGAGTATAACAACGCCTTTATGATCTGCATAGTCGACCGCTTCATATATTGCCATGTCACTGCGATCCTGTTGACATCGTGTGCCACGAAACATATCTGATCCTCTCCAGTGTCACCATATATTTCTACAAGGTTTCAAGATCCTCCCCCACAGTGACCAGAAGATTCGCCTATTTCTTCCCACATGCGCAAGAGAGTTTTTTCAGCTCAGAAGTGTACCCACAAGCATACCTCAGTATGTAAGTCTATCCAGCTCACACGATTCCCGAAATACCTCCAAGGTCGCACTACGCAACTCGATCATAGCAGTCTCGGTAATACTGAGAGTCGGAATATTGTTCCCCGCAGAGACCAGGCGCTAGTGCCCCCAAGGTCGAAGAATCCTTCGCCACATACTGAAAGAAGAGTTTAAGAGAGGGACAGCGCTCGGCATACACTGTTCACGGTGCTCACACACCCTGCGTCTGCTTCTGAATCTTAGGATGAGCCTGGCGCTTAGTATAGGTCTGAATGTGAATGTGCCTCGAGAAGATCGAGAGTATGTGCTTTTGGCGATTATAGCGTCAGATGGCGGTGTGAGCTAGTTAGAAGTAAATCCGTGAGATATCGACCAGGCAGGCTTCGTCCTCCACGTATATCTCAGTGCGGCTTTGACTAGTGCGCTTGATAGCAATCGCCATCTGTTGGTTGGAAATGCTCCGATCTACAGGAATAAAATGGCATATCAACACAACCAACAGGTAGCCGTCTAAGGATTGACGGCGATCGCGCCTGACGCCACGTTTCTATCATTCCTCATGATTATTTCCTGGCCACACTTGCCACTTGGTGGTGCTGTTGGCACAGTGAATCGGCTATTATCTCTCGCTCCTCGGCTGATGATTGCTTTCTCTCTTGAAATTGCCTGCCACAAGGGATCGTTGTAATGAGCTTTGTCTTCGATCAGTTCGGTGTTCTATTCGCGTGTCCCTGGCAGCATATAAAGCCTTCATGTCCACTCCATTATATTTGCCACTTGTATTGCGAGCCAGACGGCTCACAGACGGCTCTCATTTGCGCGGGCCGATTCCCTGTAGCCGTGTCATCTCTTAGGCGTTTGAAAATGCGAGCAGTGTTGATCGCGTAGCGAGACAATCAGACAGAGGGATTCGGTGTCTGGGGCTTTGTTCTTGATATAGTGTTGGACGCAGTCTTGCCTATTTCTAAACTAGGATACGAGATAATGTATGGACCTCGGGTTGTCAGAGACACCTTTGCGACCTAGTCATTGGAAGGCGTGCTGGTATACCAGATTCTGTTTAATTTCATAAGAGATATGCAAGGTATGGCAAAGAATAGCCGTTAGGCAGGCCTGCCAGTATATCAGACCCTGCTTCAGGTCTAGCTTCTGCCTCGGTAGAATGCATTGTGGGGATCCTGGTGGCCAGTGTCTGAGAGGACTTGTCCGTTGGACCTGATGGATCTCAATTTGGTCGTGGTGGAAGATTCAGTTGTCTTGCTCCAGTCTAAGCAAGATGGTGTATGCGGACACAAGAGCTGGTCGGACATATTGCAAAGCGTGGATATATAATGGCCTGGATCGAGAGCTAGATCAGTACCCTTGGATACCCGGCTTCGGTTAAGGTTAACCTACATGGTTTGAACCTATTTATCTTTGGAGGTCAGGAATTTTATGTGGTGAGAAACGACGATCCTCAAGGTCGATGTACAACGAGGGACCTCGTCGGATTGGGGCACGTCGCAGCCCAACGACCTAGAAAAACGAGATCGTCCGCTCCCAGATTCTTAGAGCGTCTGTCGTTTCCTCGGCGGACTCACGAAGTAGTCCATCTTGGTGTACACTATGGCCAATGAGAAGAAACTGGCACCGTCGAAGCTGATGTCAACGAATAAGAGAGTGAGAGTGTCTTCGATTGAATACTGTCACTGTGCTCCATTGCCCGAGAACTGGCTTTCGTCGAACGGTACCGCGTAGTGCTGCACTTGACCGCGGACGAAGTCTCTATCGCCCCACAGTGCACTCTGGCCTTCGGGGGCGAGGTAGGCTAGGAACATGTGTCGACAATAGGAGCCGTCCAGGCTGCAGTTTGAGAACCTCGCTGGAAGGTAGTCGCTGCAGCTACCTTGAATTCGTTCTGGGTCGTCTGTTTGTAGATCCCACGGCCTTGTAGGCATAATGATGAGCATCCTTCTGTAGTCTTGAAAGCGGTTCAGTTTACATTCTGGTAGTGGGTTAATCCCTGGCCTCCCAGGCTGTCACTAGGTTGACCGCGAACGCATTGAAGTCCATTGATATTTTCTGGGACAGGCTCTGCACGATTGTGTTCAATGCCGGGATGGGAACTCTCCAGAATATTGTTCCCACATGTAACCCATCCTGACAGGTGGCCTTTGATCATCCCGCCTTAACCCTGATATATATCCATTCCAGTGAGCAACGGCAACTTCGTAAGGTTGGTATGAGGTATTCTATCGAAGAGGACGATGTCGATCGATCGAACAGACAGGCAGGATCGTTGACTCGAACACGCAGCCATCTATACAAAACCCGCACATTATAAACAACACAGGACAACATCATTAAGGGGGGTGTATAGGTACTTCAAGTTAAGGCTCATCGACAGTCTGTCCATCATGGACCGGGCACTAAGGGGAATCCCAGGTTTATATATACATGGCGAGAATGATACACAGCGATGATATCCAAGTAGAATGGAATACGAAAGAAAGAGGAGGAAGGAGGAAGGGAGGCTATATAAGGCGCCGGAGAAGACGCTTCCACGTGATGCGGTCTGTAGGACAAGACAACTGTCATCCAGCGAGCCCCGCGGTCACTGGCTGGGAAGAACGAGGAGTGTCTTGGATCGAAAGACAGGGTCAGGTTAAGAGACGCCTGGGTTCATTGCCTGGCTGCGCAGCTATCCCTACGGAGTTGGGTTCTATTAATGTAGTTTGCTCTAGTTTCAAGGCCAAGTCCAAGAAGAAAGTCTGGACTCTGTCTTGCCATCTCTACGATCAGGTAATATCAAGTTGAACGGATGATCTCATCTACCACTCCTCAATATTTCCCAGACTGGCCAGTGGCGTGGGTTGTGAGGATTATCACTCTCCTTGGCACTACTCTTTCTCTGACATTGCTATTGAAAAGTCTTTCCGCAATGGTATTATAGTTCTAAAGCAAGCTCTTCTCCCTCTGGTTCTTTTGAAAAAATAATGAGCTAGCGTTATAAGGCCAACATGATCAGCCTGATAATTGACAATGATTCGCTATGGAAGGCTAACCACTCCTGACTCGAATGAATCTATTATCCCATGCAACTCACTTCACTTTCCTTTGAGACTGCGGAGAGCCTCCAGTTGCAATCTTCATTCACAATCACAAGTCATGGTGTCATCAGCGTGAGAAATGTGGCAAAATGCGTTTCCAGACTCCAACAGGAGCTGGTTAGACATCATCTGGTACGGGCCGAGCCTAATCTACCCTTCTACCATTGCAATACGCCTGGTAGGCGCATGCGATCCAGTCAGTGCACGTCACTTTACCTTGTGCTCCGAGAAGCCGAGTTTCAGGCCCCTGTGAGCAATCTGTTCCACACTCAGTCCGTATTCCCTTCGGTAGACGGATAACTCTTAATTTTGGTTAACGCGGCCTCACACAGTTGCATCCAACGGACTGACAGCGATGTTTCCTCGCAACGGATCGGAAATGCCGCCCGGACATAAATGTCGAGCCGCAGGCGAATATGGGCCTCTTTCACGCGAGACTTAAAGTGTAATGGGTTCTTAGGAACCGGCTTTCAAGAGGCAGGACTTACAGACGTCGAGCTCGACCGCAAGTAAACCTACTATATCGGACAAGAGCTCTTCGGGGGCGGATTCCTGGCTCTGGAAGACCTCTTATCAAGAACAAAAGCCCCGAAGCAAGGCCAGGAAATACAGGTAACGTGGCAAAAGTCACCGAAAGTACCCCTATGCTAGGCTTCAGGACACTGTCACTGGACAAAAGAGTCTGCTGAATCCATAGGTTCCTCCGACGTCAGTTGTCGTTCAAAAGGAGGTGGCGAGTGCGTGACTTCCTCGGACACGGACTTCTGTTCGACAGGTTGGCGTGATTTCAGCTCCGCCCGTTTCCTTGCCTTTCTGGCTCTACTCCGCCGCTTACTTTCTTCTTCCTCGGTCTATCAAAGACACAATCCGGTATATCATCTTCTGCCCGAATCGGCTTCAACCACATATTGAAACACCGAGTACAGATCGTCGTCAATTCCATATCCCCAGCTACACTCCTCGGCCTGTCTCGAACCGGCGTAAACCATTCCTCCGTCGGTGTCTGCGACCACGGATCCCTGGGTGGGGGCGTTGCTACCCGAGTTGGTGCATGTATCCCATTCGCCACAACCCCCATCACATCCTGCTGCCCGGGCTGGTATGCCTCCTGTAGCTGAGTTTCAGGAATCGTGCTTATCATCTGCGCGAATTGCTGCATAGCAGTAGCACTAGATGCCAGTGCTTCCAGTGGTTGTGTCGGTCTGTTTTCTCCATGTTCTATGGTAGGCACATGCTCAGCTTCCGCACGTGCTATCCCGGTTGCTACTCGTGGTGCTGCTGATACTGCTGCACGTCCCTCCAGATCCCTGTTTGGGGAGATCCGAGGCAGAGGCACTTCTTCTGTGTACAAGACTAGTCGGAGCATCCGATGCATGGCCTGTTGCATGCGTTGCATGGCTTGGTTGGAGCGCTGCATGGCATGCTGAGTGTCCTCCATGATCCGCTGCACTATTTCACGTCGTGGGTCTCGGTGTTCCATTTTGGTATGGTAGTACGGGGTACAGACTTCCTGGCTCGGAGTGCGATTGTCCGTGGCTTCTGGGTAGACTGTAGGGGTACTCCATAGGCGGTCTGCAGTCTTGCGCCGGCCCAGATCGACGATGCTTTTCTTCACCGTCTTTAATGTGACTGTCTCGTTTGTGACATCATTGTTCACTGTCTCCAATCGCTTATCAGTGCTTCACCGTGCCAGATAACCGTGTGGGCAGTGGATAACTGTAGTGGATTCTTTGGTGTTATTGTAGATACAACAGCGACCCATCGTTTCAATTCTCCATTCACAACCCCGTAGTATACCCCGTTGTCTCTGTCCTACCCTCACCCTCACTCATCCCTTCTCCAACCAAGTCCCCTGCGTGTATGATCGTTCAAGAATGCGAAAGGAGGAGGATTATCGTCCGAGCGAACCCAAGAAGTCAGATTGTGCGTGTAACAGAATTCAGAAGGCTGCAAGAAACATACCAACAAGTGACACAACCGTCTATGTCCCAGGCCCGTCCCTACCACCCCGCCGAGGCCTGTTTCGCGTCTAGAGATGCTGCTAGTCTTTGATACAAAGTCAGCATCTCTACTTAGAAATTGCAACGACGGATATCACTTACCTGGGGGAGATATGGCGTGAGATGTGGTCTACAGTCGATGTCCCAAGCCCGTCCCTGCCACCCACCGAGGCTTGTGTTGCGTGTGGAAAGACTCGCCTCTTGAGCCGTGGCGCGCGTCGTTGAGTACCGAAGGTCCAGTCTTTGTAAGTGTGTTAGCATCTTTACCGAAGTCTATCGTATATGACTTACCAGGGAAAAGGGCGTGAGGAGTTGTCTACAGAAGATATCCCAGACTGTCCCTGGCACTCAACCGAGGCTTTGTCGTGTTACGAGGCTAGTTGCGATAAGCTGTTTTTAGCCTTAAATGAAATCATCAGTACCTCTACCAATATTGCATGGAGCAATGTCACTTACCGGAGGAAAACGGCGCGTAAAGTGCGTATGGTGTATGTCCCAGGCCCATCCCTACCACCCTACCGAGGCCTGCTGCGTGTGGAGATGCTGGCCTTGATGAGCACGTGTTGAATGTTGAGTATCGGTTGTCTAGTCTTTGATACGACAATGTCAGCGTGTTTATCAAAATACTGCACAGAATAGATGTCACTCACCGAACGGAGAATGGCGAGAGTGTTGGCAGTATACGATGGCGAATGGGCGTACAGTCTGGGCGTATAGTATGGGCGTATAAGGGGGTATGGCGTATGAGTGGGGTATGGGGAGTAAGGGGAGTAAGGCGTATGGTTTTCGATATGGGGGATATGGCGCGTATGGCGTAGGTGTGAATGGAGCGTGCAAAGTCGTCCCAGGCCCGCCCTACCACCCTTCCGAGGCCTGTGTCGGTGTGGAACTCGCCTCAATGAGATGCGTCTCGAATCCCCCATGAACAAGTCAGTATATGCAGTAATTTATCATCGGTATCACCTACCAAGGAAAATGGATCGTGTAGATGGAGGGTGCAAAGTCGTCTACTATTCATGTCCCAGTCCCGTATCGGTTGGGAGGACTTACCTGGACGGTTGGTGCTAGATGTTTACTGCTAGGCTGTAAGCATATAAACCGATCTATATGGGAACTATATGCCACTCACCGAGCTAGAAAGGGGAGTCTATGTCCCAAGCCCGTCCCTACCACCCATCCGAGGCCTGGTCGATATGGCCTCAATGAAGCGTGTGTGGAGTGTCTGATACTCTATTAGCATATAACCAGACTATCAAAGCAGGCCTTACTCACAGTGCAAGTGAGGATCGTGCAATATTTTCCTTTACCTACCTATGTCCCAGGCCCGACCCTACCACCCTTCCGAGGCCTGTGTTGGTGTGGAGGTCCTTACCTCAGTGGTTGTGTCGGATTCTATTGTGTGACACGCGATAAGTATATCAACCAAGTCACATCGAAGATTAGACATCACTTACCTAGAAAATGGCGTATATAAAATCGTCTACGTCCCAAGCCCGCCCTACCTCCCAACCGGGGCTTGATCGAAGTTGGCGTGATGTTGGCCCTACTTTATTAGCATCCATTCTCTTCAAGTCCCTCGATTAATACACTTACCCAACAAATGTGAAGTATAATGCCGAAGCTGAGTGTGCAGAGTCGTCTATGTCCCAAGCCCGCCCTACCTCCCAACCGGGGCTTGATCGAAGTTGG